CTACAGTTTTAATGTCTATATCTGTAGAATATGTCACAGATTTTAACTAGTGCACCATCTTTATCAAAAGCGTGCTCCACGTTAAACAAATGGGCTGGAACAGTGTGTAAACTCTCCTTTTGCAATAAGTACTTGTAAGCACAGATCCAAATATTGCAGTTTATTTAAGACCAATGTTATTGTCCTTTCAATTAGAGGTTAGGGTGACACATGTTTTTTTTAAGGCCGATATAATTCTGATAGTTTGAGGGAGGAAAAAGCTTCCATTGGCCACTTTTGGAGCCAGATTCCGCTGCTGCCGTGAGGTTGTAAAATGTCCTATCAACGCTGATTAAGACCTCTACTATCAATAATTACTTTCAGTGTATGGTTTGCACCTGGACTATCCCAAGTACATGAAAAACACCTTCTTTTTGTCCAGCAGGTGATGCTCAGCCTGGGTAAAAGTGAGCTGGCACCCAAAATTCAGACTCTGGAAAAATCAGCTTGTACTGTAAAACGGGGTTCCAAATAGTTATGCTACAGTTCCAGATATCAGGTGCATTTTTATTTTTTATTTTTATTTCAGTTTTTTCTCTTTTGTTGATTTCACTCTCACACAGAACTTCAGTGTTTCATATTACAGTAACGTGTCCTATATTGTCTCAATAAAAAGCTCACCAGTAAATTGATAAAGGCAGATTTTGGGCTCATCCAGAAGACCATCCACCAACAAGAGCATCCACCACAGAACTGTGAGCAGCTAACTGGATAGTGAGCCCAACCTTCAAGACCTCAAGTGGGATTAAGAAGACTGTTTCTTCTAAGGAAGAACTTCCTTTGCTACTTCATAGAGCACAGATTAAACAGAAACACACACCTGGATAGAGCCCCGACGAAAAAGACTGGGCCTAGACACTTCAAATGTTTGTTTTATTTCATGTGCACACTTTATTAAGTTGTTAATTGCATTGGTAAATTGTATATTGTAATCTTGACCTGCAATATTTGTATTCCTGTGTGCATCTCTTGACTTGTATTCAGACCTTGGCCTCCAGGAGTCCTAGTCTTCTGATGTTTGTCCACCTTCAACACTTTATTTACAGTAACATGGGTTAAAAACAACCATGCTTTTTCCCTGAATTTGATGTTGGTAGCTATGACACATCAAATGTTATCATAATGTTGTTAACGTTAAAGATAATACTTGTATTTGTCGTAGCATTTTTTTTTCTCACAAACTGTTTGAGTGGAAGTTCGATAGACCTCCTTTTTGTTTCTGCGTTTACTTGAAAGTTGGACCCTGTTCCCACTGAGCTGTTAATAAGTGCATAATAAAGTATTTATTAATCTTAGTGTGTAGTGTTCCCACTTTAGATCCAAGTGCAAGAATCTGTGCTATGTGCAGTAATTACAAAATTTACAGATGTAGACTAAAAAAAGTGAATTATTGGGTATATATGACTGGATTAATGGGATGCTATAAATATAAATAAATGCTATAAATATAAGTATATTCTTCAGATTATAATATACAGATTAAGGTGCAGTAATAAAGTCTTATTAATGTCAATAAACATCTTATGAACGTTGATAAGTGGTCTATAAACAAGTTTCTTTGTGTTAATTAATATCTTACAAGCCAATTATAAATTAATTTATAGTTTAATTAATACTCATGAAGTCTTATTAATGTTAATAAACATCTTATTAATGTTTATGACGGTATATAAGGTGTCAGTACATTTCTAATAAGAGCCTATAAGTGTCTTATAAGACATAATAAATGCGTTAATTATGCCTATATTAACACTTATATAGTCTTATTTGTGTAAATAAGAATCTAATAAGGTCTTATAAGTGACTTACCTGTTATTAATGCTTATTACAAGCACCTTAATACAAAGTCTTACCGATTCATATTAGATCATAGAGTGAAGTAAAAAACAAAGTGTCTTCCATCCAAATTGTTCCACATTTGTGATTTCTTATCATTTAATTAAAAACTGCAGATAATATGCATCCCCAGGGAGATATAAAATCCTACTGGCTCTGAACTGACTTGCAAATATATCTAAATGTTTTTTGGATCACAATGGGATATGCAGCTGCGTGTGTTGCAACAGCTTGAGCCATTAGTTCAGCAATGAATGACAGCGTTTGCCACACATGTTCGAGTGGGTTCCCCTCCCACAGCAGAGAGTGTAAGTAATGTGGAAGCTCTCTGATCACACTGTTCTGTGTGTGTGTAAACGTAGGCGTGAGTCAGTGATTGTTGGAGGCTGACTGCCATGACGGATTGCTGACTGAACTGTGATGTTTCCCGTTTGTGCTACAGTGAAAGCTGGTACAGATAACAACAGAGTAATTATCACCGCCCCGGAGTGTTTCTCTGTTTTTGAATTTGAAAACTATCAAAGTTAGACAAGAATGGGACCATGCGAGATTTGGACATGACCTCTATTCAGATATGACTCTAAGTACATGTATAATTTATTTTAACACAAAAAGAAAAATCAATTTAAAAAACGGTATTATTGGATATAATTTACAAGACATTTAGCTTTTGCCCCTGATGTTTGTGCTTGTGTGTATTATTAACAAAAGGTCAGCTTGATATATATGCACATTCCCGTGTATAAAGAATGATTAAATTCACAGGTGTGACGTTATCCTGGCTTAGAATAATCTTAGTTAATGCTGCTGACGTCTCTTGTTCTACCTGGATTCTGTGCAGTACAGTTAACGTACATAGTCATAAGGATGGCTTTGTTCATAGAGTGTATAAAACATAGACGTGGTCCCAGTGATGTCACCCATCGGATTCTGAAGAGGCAAAAGGAGTCCAGTGATAGCGGTCACCATATTGGAAATGCTGCCCCGCTGGACTTTCTATAAATCTAGAAAAAGAGGAACAGTAAGTGAGTGTGGGACTTGAGGCTCCTTTTCACTACATTATTAACTACAACGTGCCCAACTGTCATTCAACTAAGCCATGCCCCGTCATTATGCAGATCAAGTTTTTGGAGGTGAGGCTAATGACTAAAATATTTTACACATTTGGACTGTGGTGTTACAAATTCAATTCAGAGTGGCTCAGTTGATGTCAAAGAGCCCAGAAGGCATGAATTTGTGACAGGGAGCCCGCATGCAGAAAACAAGGATCCTAGAGGAGAGATAGTTAAAGGCTTTATATGTGATTTTTCACACTTAAATATAATAGAAATCAAGTCTATCCTCTGAAAATAACTCTGTGAGTCATGACTGTCTACAATGGGTGTAACACCCGAGTCCCACTGTCTGTGATGTTTTCAGAGTTTTCAGAGTCCTATCTTCAGTTTGTTTACATCGCCGGGACGGCCGGCTGACTCCTCCCCTCGTGTATAAAAGTTGTTTAATTGAGGGACTAGCGAAAAGAAGAATAACATACTGTACTCACTGCTTAACTGTGTTTCTAGATCACGCTCATTTCAGGTAAATTTACATGCAGTGTGAAGATACCAGCATAATAAAGATCGCTAGCACTAGCATGCTTGTTTTGGTTTCATGCTGGTGCTCAAAGGCAACATCTGCTGGATCAAAAAATCGCATATGAAGCCTTTAAATGGAAGTCTTCCATCACTGAACTTGTTTTTTACACGTATGATTTTTATGTTTTAGACTTGTCTTCAGTGAAGAATTCTTGTATATATATATATAATTGGTAACAGCAAACTTTTTCATTTGTTTGTGTTTTCAAATGATACTAAGTTAGATCATTTTCCAAATTAACTTTTTTGTTCCCAACCAAGCTGAACATTTCCAAACTTCTAATGGCCAAATTGAACCAGACTGATTCATTTTTCATGTGAAACTAGATTTTCTCTCTTTGAGGATGTCCCTGGTTAGTAGCAGAGGATGGCCTAAACCAACCTATGACCTTGAATGTTAATCTTTTTTTTTTCATTTCTGTTTGAGTGAAATTAATAATCCAGGTTTGGTTCCACAGAAGTTTCTTTTACATGCAGAGGTGCACCAATCAACTCTGATCCATTCACCCAGCATCCCTGGCAGACCGGACCCGCCTATTGGTGTGCAGCTGCTGGACCCTTTCATTATTTACACTTGAAATGATAATGACATCATGTGTGCACAGCTGCACTATTTGCATCCATGCGACTTGCAAGCTGCTGAATTTGTGTGACAAAACGGATCCTCACGCAGTATCTACATGCAAACTATATTTGGGTGAGAATGTTTTTCTCCTGGTGTGGTTTAATGACGGGGAGAAGTTAGAGATAAAAATAAATGCAAAGCCTTGAATGTTGCAGTCTTTTCGGAAGGTTTTTGCAAAGTCAGAGCCAAGGGAAGTTCATGGTCAGGGTTTTGCCTCTTGCGTTTGTACCTCCTTCTGGGTTAAAACAGTGTGACAGATTTTGTTGGGCTTGCAGGCTCAGTGCCATGACGGGCTGCGGTTCCTGGGTAGGGCATCTCTCTTTGAGGCTGACTCCTTTGATTCTCCACTGAGCAAAGTTTAAAAGGTTGGAGGGCGATGAATGTCTCTGTTTTTGTTTTTTTATGTCGTGCAGATGTTATAAAGAAGATAGGTAGATTGGCAAAGTGGGCTGAGAATAACCCAAGTATAAGATTTTATTTCATCTGAACAGATTTAACACAAACAACTCTACCAAGCAAGCACGGACACTTACAGTCATGGCAGTGATAGAACTGCTGATAGAAGAGCCTATTATTAGAGAGTACAAAACTGGTGACCAAAGCAAGCCTAGAAGTTACAATGACACTGAATACTAATCGCTGCTCATCAGTTCTTGGATGGCGATCACTTCACACAGCACTGAGTCAGAAATGACGGAAACATTGACATGCATCTCTATGAGATGGAGATGGTGGCATTTTGTTGGTGCTCACTTTGGATGGGTGTGTGTCGACCCAAAACTACACTGGTAACTGGAGCTGCAACTTTTGCAGAGATGTTCTGATAACTAACATAAAACATAATATTGATTAAAAAAAAATACTGATTGTTGACTGTTGAGAGCTTCCAGTAACATTACACTCTGCTAGCATCATTCATTTACCTGAAATAAGTTGATTTTTTTTTTTTTGTTGGGGGGGGGGCTTTTGGTTACACGTTGGAGAGGTGCATTAACCGGCATACACAGTACCACAATACATCTAAACATGAGTGGATTAACTGCAACTTTTTGATTATCCATTAATAATTTCATTTTTCACTCAAAAATGTCAAACATTTGCTGTTTTTTAAAGATTCTTGAATCATATTTTCTTTGCAATCTGAATGTAAATGAAATGTTTGGGGTTTGGGACTATTTGCTGGACAAATGAAGCAACTTTGAGTTTTGAAATTCTGATGTGAAAATTTTCACAAATATTAGACTTTTCATAGCTATACTTGAATAATTGATGAGAAAATAACAGTTGCAGCCCTACCTCTCAATTTGAACATCAAATTGAATGATCATGACTTGAAAAAACTGTCTGACTGATTTGGAATCTATAGGGGCACTGCGTGTTAAATCACAGATTGTATAATAGCCTACTGGCATTCAGCTATTCTTAGAATAATGGAGCAACATATTGAAGCCACTCGCTCTGAGAAACGTTACCATTCAACACAGCAAATGCAACACCTGCCCCCTCTATATTATGAAATGTATATCAACACGACATGTTAACAGTTATTCCCGGCAGAAGACGTATTCAGTGTAGCTTGTCCATATTTTGTCCTCGTTTGGATCATTGCTGGTGTACGCGCAGGTGCCTGTGGAGCTGCAGGCCACCATGTGAAATCCCGCCTCTGTCAGCTTGTCAAACGCCTGCTCTAGAAAATTATACTTGAGATAATACCGGGATGTGTATCTCTCTGGAGGCCTGTCCGGGTCTCTGCTCTCATTCAGCGTGTCTCCAAACACTTCTTTGGCCAGAGCCGTCTTCCCGCACACCGTGATGCGCGCCACTCTCCTGAACTTGGCGTCGGTTTGGATGTCCCTGCCGATGGTGTACGAGCCGCGGTATCCTATCGTGATGTAACCCGACTTTCTGGAGTCCAAAGACGGGGAGCGCATGGTCCCGCTGGAGCTGACCGTCATGGTGCGTAAAGTCTCCATGGCGCCGGAGGAGCCGCACTGCTGCGCGCCGTCCTCCGTGTCGCTCTGGCTGATTTCCTCGCTCATTGAATTGTCCTTAATCATGCGTGGGCTTAGCCGTTTGGCGAGGTCCCGCAGCTGGAAAAAGTCAGCCTCCCTCTGCAGACGACTTTTCTCGGGGAAATAGTCCGGCAGCACCAGGTTCAGGTCCCGGAGGTAATCTAGGATGTAGCGGAACAAGAAGCCGTCTCTGTCCAAGAAGAAGCGCCCTTTGCTGTCTCTCGCCAACTCCTTTGGGGACTTCTTACTAAACATGTTCCACAGCAGAGAGTCCTGGACCGCGATGAGAGTTTTGTGCCTGGTGACATAAACCTGTCCGCCAACATTCAGCTCGATGATCTCTGAGAATGGAGAGCCCGAGTCTCCGCAGTTGGACCCTCCGAGCTCTGTGTCAGCCAGTGCCATGTTCTCTGAGCCGCTGCACTGATGTGGGATCAGTGGAAACACTGAATGAGCGACTCGGTGGCAGCGGGCTTGTTTATGAAGCCTTTGGCTCAACCACGTGCTTGAGAGGGGGGTTTGACTGTTAAATTAACATTTAACTATAACATGACTGTGTCCCCCTGTGTGAGTGCATGTGCAGTTCTTTCTCTCACTCTCTGTCTCTCTCATCTTTTCTTTTAAGTGAGTGTTTGCGTAGGCATGTGTGTGAGAGAGAGAGAGAGAGAGAGAGAGAGAGAGAGAGAGAGAGAGAGAGAGAGAGAAGCAAGCACATTCGATAATGTGTCATTTGTTTTTCCCTTCTGAGTTTGGCACACATATAATTGTAGCCTTCTATCCGATGTTTATTTAATTCATGAAATAAATGATGTTCAGATTTTTTCAGACTTCCCACAGGAACTCTCAAAACCAGAACCACACAGTTGGATGGAGTTAGAAAAGCCTTGCAATCAAGAAATTGATGGGAAAATATGGAAAAGAGTGACACCCATTGCAACTGGGATGGAAATGCAGCCATCTAGCAGTCACACACACACACACACACACACACACACACACACACACACACACACACACACACAGAACTTTAACCCTCAAACATTTCAAGTTGCTGCTGCTGATATCTTCTGAGTCTCTGGGGCACAGCTGCAAATCTTTTGTTCTTGCAGCACCAATAGTTTGTGTCCTAAAGGAAGTACCGCAAGAAATAACTGGTCACATAACTTCGATCCTTCTATCACATAACTTCTAGCCGATGTTTATTAGTCATGAAATAAATGATGTTCAGATTTTTCCAGACTTCCCACAGGAACTCTCAAAACCAGGAACCACACAGTTGGATGGAGTTAGAAAAGCCTTGAAATCAAGAAATTGTTGGGAAAATATGGAAAAGAGTGACACCCATTGCAACTGGGATGGAAATGCAGCCATCTAGCGGTCACACACACACACACTCACACACACACACTCACACACACACATACACACTCTCTATATGCATGAACAAATACACACACAGAACTTTAACCCTTTGAAGAAGTGAGTCCGTCAAAAACGATCCCTCTCTAGGTTTGAAACTCAAATTGGGACAGAGTCAGATGTACAAGAGCAGAAACACCCAAACTTCATTTTATCACCGAGGAAGGAAGACACTGCATGATGTTCACTAAAGATAAACCATGACCGCTAAGTGTCTAATCTCTATAACCAGATATCTACAGAGGAAAACAAGAGACGATGACTGCAAATAAGTTACAAGACTGCTTTATGTGTTACCCAAAACCTAATTCTTTACTTTCTTTTATTCAACAAAATCTTAATCTTAACCCCTAAATGTAATGCTAAACCATATATGGACCGCTTTTAGTCCACAAATAAAACTTAAAAGAGACAAAACATACATTTTTACTTTCATTTGAAAAACTGAGATGAGTTAAGATATAACTCCTGGCAGATATGAAATGTTTGAGGCCGATAACAATACCAGTTACTGATATGATGTCTAATGAAATAAAATAAAATTGTTGCTGGTTTAAAAAAAGTTGTTTTCTAATTGGACTATGAAGATCAAGATACAAAGAAGGCTGAGTTCTTAAAGTTACAACTTGATTTAAGTTTGACATGATTAAACACTGTCAGCATGTGATACTCTGCTGCATGTGCTGCAGACAGAGCTGACGGTAGTGAAATGATAAAGTCAAACATGGCATCAGACAAATCATCAGATGCAGTGTTTCCAGTTTGATATACTGTATATTACGGGGGGAAAAAATGCTTCACATCAGTACTAATTTGAAAAATATTTGCCAATACTTGTGAGAGGCTTATATCGGCCTGCCAAAATATCGATCTGATTTGACTTTTTACATTAGAAAAATGCTTTAATCTTATGTTCCTGTACTTTAATAATGATCTATACCACGATATACAAAGTACATTCATTTTCCTTTTCACTGATCAAGTGCAACATTAAAAATTTCTCACATTTTAAGTGACAAACCTCCAAAAGATAACAATACGATACGATACTATGTGATACACTTTATTGTCCCCTAAGGGAAATTAATCTTGGGCTCAATAATTTAAAAAAAACATTGTAACCACATAGTAACATAGTTGCTCCTCTTGTGTTCATATACAAGCTATAATAGGTCCAGATTTGTCTTTTCCAAAAAGAGCTGCTAAAGAAATATGATCTTAAACTTTTTGTTTAAGCTGAGGTCAAGATGAGTTTGAAAATATTATCATGACTGCACCAACAAATCTAGAAGAACCTATGAGAGCGAGCTGCAGTCACATGATGGGAATGTACAAAGAGAGAGAAGGAGAGATAGGAGCTTCCCTTTGTCATGTGACTGTCAGTGAGTGATTGAGTTGTGTCTTTAATCTTTCAAAACTCCACACTGAAGAGAGCCAACATTTCCAAAATTCCCAAGGTTACTGAAAGACAACCTGTAAGTGACAGGAAACCAGTGTATTATATTCAAAATATCTGAACCACATTTGTCATCAGATTCTTATTATTTCAAATTTTGTGATTTACAAAAGAAACTTCATCAATAAGTTCATGACCCAAAGACAGGTAAAATAGGATTTTTTTATTTTTGTTTACGTTTTTCTTCTTTTTTATAGCTCAAAACGAAAGCAAAAGTAGATTTGCCTGTGTCAGCAAACTCAGGAACAATGAATCAAAGGCGATGTCCAGTCATACTGAAAGTGTTTACTTCTCATCAGAAGGTTTTTTTTGTGCAACTTTGGAAATTTGGTGTATTTCGTGGAACAGCCTCCTGACTTTGGTGTTACCTATAAAAATGCATCTGCACAGGGATGTCTTGTCACTTGGAGACGTTGCTGAGCTTTAACAATGCTGCGCAAGGTATTGGTTTTTTTTTCATACTTGGCAATGAGCCTATCTTTAATAACTTTTTCCTAAAATGCTACTTTGCTGCACAATGTCTCAGTCTTTTTACATAATCAAAAAGAGACCTCTTGTCCGAGGAGATTGTTTCTGATGAGCTGCGTTTCACCTCTGCAGGGAATCACTGAGAGCTTTGGAGCTGCTGTCCATTCACTCGGCGCCTCTCATCTGACAGATGTGGTGATTAACCGGAGCAAAAGGATGATGCTGGACACTTTGGGTGTCGGGTTGCTAGGAACCAGGACAGCTGTGTTCAACAAGGCTCTCAAGTACAGCCAGGTGCGTTTCACCTGTTTCACCCGGTTTCTGATAACTAAGAAAATATTTCTGATCAAAACAAAATACAAACAAAAGTTAACAACTAACAAGGAAGATTTAATTAGGATGTTCTTATAAACTTTATACCAACAAAGACTATCAGCCATATTTTTTTTAATATAGGCTACTAAACATGATGTTTAAGTTGAATTCAGTTTGTTTGAATGGCAGCAGGCTTGGCACAAACAATATTGTTAATATGAAAAAAGTGTTATAATCTGATTTAAAGAGGAAAAAATATACAATTCATTTCAACAAAACAACAATATGACAAGACAACAAACACGTTCTCTGTGTTTATTTGTGAAGTATCAGTACCTGCATAATAAAGGATAAATAACCTTTTTTTTTACCCTTTTTTATGTTAGACTGAGTATGTATCAGTCATTCTGAGAGCAAGCAAGTAATCAGAAGAATAATGAAATAGTTTTAGTCTTTATAGATATAGACTTTTTATAATAATGATGAATTCATTAATGAAGGTAACTTTAAAGCAGGATATAGCAGCATATCCTAATCCTTCACAAATACATATATATGTATGAGGAAGTACACACAGAGTATAGTGTTTCTGAAGATCCACTGGATGTCCTCCTGGGATGAAATGAGGTGTTATGTTCCCTGCATTCATCTTCCCATTCTGGCATTTCCCAAATATGTAACTATGTGAATTTCCTGGGATTTTCTGTATCTCCTCTATGTTTTCTAATACAGGCTGTTTTCTTAAGAGGAAGTTCTGATGCTATCACATGTCTGTTACATCAGGCTCACTCCTATAGGATTTACTTAAACCATTTTTTTGTGTCCGTTTGTCATCTTCCTACAGATCTGTTTGAGATTGTTTGTGTTGAAACTAAAATACCAAACCAAGGATTGTCATATTTCTTTGACAGCTTATAAAATGTTTAATTAGTATGAAGCCATACAGTGGGCTGCTTATTTTCTTCTGGTCTTCTTCTTGACAATCAGCTGATATAATCTTTTATCTGCTATTTTTGCATTGCCCTTTAAGGTTGACAACTGGGAATCCTACCCCTTATCTCTGAAGTCAATCTTTTAATATTTACATTTATATTTATGATTGGCAGTCTTTCTCATCTGACGAGAGGAGCAGTGTTTGGGGTGCATCGGAGATCTCTCTTCCTCCTCATTATGCTGCATTTGTTAATGGCATCGCGGTAAGCTCAGTCAAGTAACGCATTATAATAAGTCGAAAACATTAACCTGATATGGCCTCTATTTTTTCACCTCTGATTATCTTTTTGTCTGACTCACTCCACCAGGTTCACTCCATGGATTTTGATGACACTTGGCACCCTGCTACTCATCCCTCAGGAGCTGTGTTACCAGCCCTGCTCGCCCTGGCAGAGACGCTGCCGAGCCAGCCCTCTGGTCTGGACCTGCTGCTGGCCTTTAATGTGGGCATCGAGGTCCAGGGCAGACTTATGAGGTTCTCTACTGAGGCCTACAACATCCCTGAAAGGTGAGTAATTGATGCTACAAGTCCTTAACCAACAAAATGTGCTGACCTTCTTTTCAGTGCTTTGCCTCTGTTCACTGGATTCAGGGACTAATCAGCCAAAGTGCCAAAGAGTACAACACTGACCTCTAGTGGCCATGCATTTGAGTAGTTTTATGTGAGGCTTTTAAGGTAAATTGATATCAGTTAGTGCTTCTCAGTGTTGAAAGATGACATTTAAAAACATATATTATTTAACAGTGTCCCATTTTACACACCTCACTGTCAACAGCTTTCATAAACTATTTTTTCAGTAAAAAGTGTTTCCAAGAAAACTGAAGGAAAACATAATACAGTTTTAACTGTCTTGTAGTGAAGTGTCAGACTCTTAATTACTTTCCTAACTAATCGAATGGTCAATAAAATGTCAGAAAATAACATAAAGAAAAGTCATGTTATAATATCTCAAGAGTACAAACCACTTCCACACACTAACTACTACCTTGCACTCATTTATACTGATTAGCTTGTCCCTTGAGCTTTCACTGAACTCGGTGAATCTACATTTTCTTTTGATGCCACAAACTCATGGAATCATTCCATCAAACTCCAAAGATTGGAGTTCTTCCCTCTCTTGTAGAGTTCAGGAATTTGATTTGTAGCCACTTTGATTTGAGTGTTTTAATTGATTTCTCTTCTATTTCTATTTGATTGTATGTGTTGTGTTTCTCGCTTGTTTTTAAATGTGATTGTAACCTAGACAGCATTGAAAATGAGGGAAACCTCAATGTCCTTTTGAGAATAAGGAAAGGTTTTGATTAATGTATATATTATACATATCGCCTTATTAAGGTTCAGTACCTGAACGCTGCAAATGTATGAAAGTATACCAGCTGTACCGTCTTCAGTGTCTTCTTGCAACTTTGGTTTAATTGCTCCCACTCTTCTATTCATCTGTGCTTTGTTTTGTTCCTAAACTAAAGGTGACATTTTTATATTGTTTGGTTGTGCTTTAAGCAGTCTTAAATTCAACCATTTCATTTGACAATATCTTAAACAAAAAAAAAAGTTCAAGTTTGGGTTAAACCCTCAAATCCAAGTTGCTGAAACTAATATAACCAATTAACTTTCTTGGAATCAGCTTGTTAATTTTCATTGTAATAGAAACTTATTCAGTTATTTTACTCGAGTGTTTCCTAATCCTTTATTTATCTTTCTTCACTCAGATTCCATCCTCCCAGTGTCGTCGGTGTGATGGGCAGTGCTGCAGCCTCAGCTAAGCTCCTGGCTCTGTCCCCCGCTCAGTGTGCTCATGCTCTGGCCATCGCAGCCTCCTCTGCTGGGGCTCCTTTGGCCAACGCCGCCACACAAACCAAACCCCTGCACATAGGAAACGCTGCTCGAAGAGGCCTGGAGGCCGCTCAGCTGGCCCGGCTGGGACTGGAGGGGAACCCTGCCATCCTGGATAAGAACTGCGGATTTGGGGTGTATTACAAGGACTACAGTCCTTCAGTGATGCCACATTCTGCTTCTGGGGACTTTAAATGGAGGCTTGAAAAACAGGATGTTGCCTTCAAGCGCATCCCGGCTCATCTGGGGATGCACTGGGTTGTGGATGCCGCATTGGCAGCACGTGCAAAACTTGAAAACACAGACGGAAACTTTGACCTCAGAAAAATCAGGCGAGTCACACTTCGAGTGCCTCCATCCAAATACGTCGACTGCCCCTCACCCACATCAGAGCACCAAGCCAGGCACTCGTTTCAGTTCAACTGCGGCTCCGCTCTGCTGGATAACAAAGTGACAGTATCTTCTTTCGACGAAGATCAGATCAACAGGCCTGCCCTGAAAGAGCTCCTCTCCAAAGTGGAGGTGGAGACCCCTGAAGACAACAAGCCAAGCTTTGACAAGATGTACTGCGAGGTTAAGATTGAAACAGATCAGGGCCAGAGATATGGGGCCAGGTGTGATACCTTTTATGGCCACTGGAGGAAGCCTCTGAGTCAGAGGGACCTGGTGGAGAAGTTCAGTGTGAATGCTTCCTCTGTGTTGTGCACAGAGGGAGTGGAGGGAGTGAACGATGTGATCGGAAACATCGAGCAGTGAGAGAAAGTTCGATCCTGAGTTCATATCTGAGAATGACAAGCAGTCAACACAAGCAATTATACAGGACAAGGAGCTTTTAAATGTACTGTATCTGATGAAGCTACTGAAGCAATGTGGTGTACATTTTTCCTAGCAGTAGTATGCAAAAGAAACACAATGTAAATATTCTGTACTCTTTTTTTCCACAAAGTAAAAATTCAAAATAAACAGAACTTTTAAAATAAATGTTTTTTTTTATTGAATTTTTTGTACAAGCTGCTTCTCATATTCTGAATGTCATTCTTCAGTTTGACATTTTGATGCTCTGTATTAGTTTACAATCCAGTCAGTAAAACAGAGTTTTGCAAAGTAAAGTAACACAGACCATGTAGCCCACATTACTACTAACATGTATTTTTTTTAGTGCTTTAAATCAGGAAGTCAATATATCAGACAAAAAAATATCTAAAATAAAAGCCTCTGATATTTTCCCCAAAAGCGAGTATTGCTACATTCAAGCTAGTTTCAGCACGTCCTTAACCATCGCTCCGATTCCATCAAAGATCTCGTGTATGGGAGCGTTGCACATGTAGGCGGAGGTGGTGACCAGTTTGTTCTTCTGGTCCACGTGGCTCTCGCCGACACTCTTACTAACATGTTTGCAGCCCAGCTGGTTGATGGCCTCTGCTGTGCCAGTGGTGTCAGGGTACCTGAGAGAAAAGAAAGAAGCATCGTACAATGTTCAGCTGCTGCAGAAGGATTCAAGAGTGAATCTGTCATACAGTCCTTATAGTTAATATACTGTATGTAGGGAAATGAAATGTAGCATGCTCATAGGGTTAGTTGTGAAATTCTGAATTAAAAAAACCCAAAATGAAAAGGTGACATAATTTTAAGGCAAACTACAAATAATTATGTAAGACGGAATATTAGGGCCATCTTCAAGAAAACAATGTGTAAAGATGAAACTTGTAAATTTACGAGAATGAAGTCATACATTCACGAGATTAATAAATAAATGTATTAGATTAAATTTGTAAATCACTTTAAATTAGTTTGTGCACATAATTATGACAGGAGAGCCCTTAAAGCCTTTTCCTTTGCCACAAAAGACACCATTTCCTCCAAGTCAGTGTGGTTCTTTCTTCATTTTGTTTTCGTTCTTTAGTATCTTTTCAGGGTCCTGAATTTTTATGATGATGACGATGTGCCAAAAGCATGAGTAGTCTAGTTTCATTTCTGCAAAAGTAAAGCCCCAACACAACTAATTTGGATATTTATGTCAAACTGTTTATTTTAGAGACTACACAAGGAAGTAGCCTATTTCCTGTATTTGTGAAACCTTTACTAAAGTATAACTTCTCCACATTTGTCCTTTTTCAAACAGGCGGCTGCTCTTCTGATGTAGACTAAAATAAAATGAATCTCCTAAATGTATGAATTTATTCTTGTAAATTTACAAGTTTAATCTTGAAATTTTAGAATTTTTTTTTCTTTGACGTGGCCCTAATACTCCGTCATAATTATGAATACACTTAATGCACAATAAAATAAACAAAGCAAGCTGATATTGAATGTCAGAAATTAACTCATATTACAAAGAAAAAATGAGTCCTTTGAAAACAATTGTAAGTAAGGTATGGTGTAAAAACAGTGACATGCAGTATTGCAGCACAAAGCCTGTTGGGAAACATAAATGAGTCAAATCTGTGCCGTTCCCCTGAAGTCAGAGTCGTTGTGCTCGGCTCTGTTAGACTCACTTGTCATCCTTCTCGATACCGACGGTGACCTCACAGCCGGGAAACACCTTGGCGGCCAGAACAGGGGAGATGCAGCAGAGGCCGATGGGTTTACCCTCGCTGTGGAACGCCTGCAGTGTGGCCTTAACCTCGTCATTTACAGAGCAGTCCTTCCCCTGCACAGCCCATGTGCACAGATTCTTTGCTGCACCAAAACCACCTACGACACACAAGAGGAATGAGATTCATTTATATAATCAAAAGGAAAAAGGAATATTTCACTGAGAAGACATGCAGATGGTGGAGTAAAGTTTTTTACTCTTCAGTAGAACTGCAATAATTATTAAAGAGCAGCCACACATTTTGTTCCAAAGGGTTCTTCATTAGAATGGACCCAATATTACACCACAAAGAAAAGCCGGCCTTTTGTTATTCAAAATAATGTAACTACAAGTGGAACAAATGATATGTTGTTGTAACCAAACCTGGGAATATAATAGCATCATGTTCTTTGACACTGAGCTTAGACAGGTCTTGGATGTTTCCACGGGCCAATCTGGCGCTCTCCACCAACACGTTTCTCTTCTCCTCAGACGGTTCTCCTTTCAGGTGATTTACAACATGCATCTGATCGATGTTGGGAGCAAACATGTTTACCTGCAGCAGAGAAAGAGCACAGACTCGTTTTTACAGAATTAAAAAGGGACAGCTACAAATAATAAGTGTTTCTTAACTGATGTGTTTTCTAGTGTCTATTTTGAAACTTGAGCATCCCAGTTCACAGTTTGTGCACAGATCGGATCTATCTGATTAAACTCTAGGGCCAGCAGCCCTGTCTAATAGAAAAAAAAGACATTTGCATGCTTGTAAATGATTAAAAATCCTATGGAGGAGTTTTGAAATGGTAATGTAACAGACTGACATTAACAAGAAGACCACAGAGAAAAGATTGATTATTTCTATAAAGGTATATTATAAACCTGTAAACACTATCGGTGTCAGATGAGAAAATTAAAGAGGGATGAGTTTTATGTCATAAAACACCTTTACAGGACAAGAACAGCAAATATGTGAATCGTCCCGCTTTGTCCACAGGGGGCGCCAAAACTGACACAAGTGTCCTCAAGGGATCTTTAAAAAGAGAAATTATCTGGTTGATTATTTACAATGTCTCACATTATTATAGAATTATAAAAACCTTTTCACAGCTCCTGGTTGATGTTACCTTATGATTTGTATCTACTTAGTTGTAAACACCCCAAGAATATGGAAAAGAAAAGGGCGCAGCTTAATGAAAACACCACAATAACCTTTTGATAGTTCCCTACTGTGAGAACTTAAATCATTAGGAGGGTTCGGACAGTTTTACTGTAAATGAGTCATGACTTTCTGCATGTTGGTTCTGTAATATTTACAGTCTATGGTTGGTTCCCCTTGGTTGCCCTGAACCTCCAATGACCAGTGATCGCCACTGGCCTGCAGCATGTGTCTAAGATTGCAAATACAAAACGAAAACGAGTGTAACAATAAGCAGTAGCTTTATTATCAAGGCCAAGTTAGGAGCTCATATATATAATAATATTATAATAAAGTTTATTTATAAAGCACTTATCAAAACCAACGTCACAAAGTGCTTTACAGAAAAAGAAAGAAAAAATCCCAACAGTCAAATACACAACAATAAAATCCTATTAAAAGCATAACAAATAAAACAACAGTGCAGCAATCATCCAATTAACAGAGAAAAAATGGAAACACCATATAATGAGTTTACAGAGTGCAACAGTCCCAAACATCACACTGAACTACACACACACACAGCATGAGATCAGAGCTGAACTAACTCACACTTGCTCCTCCTCTGCTCAGGTGCACCAGAACAGCTGAGGCCTCGTGGATCTCGCTGCCATCATAAACTCCGCAGCCCGCCAAAACCACTGCCACGCGTTTGGCCATCTGTGTGGTGTAGTAACTTTGATTCACCGACTGAACTGTCTTCAATGTCAGCAAGTTGCGACCACAGTGGTGCAGCAGAGTGAGCATGGCGGACTGTCAGCGGAGAGGACGCCTCTTCACGTCTTCTTCTCTGCTCCAAAGTGCGGATTGAATTCAGGTTGCTCAGTGTTTTAGTGACCTCCAGTGTATAAACCCGAGCACTGATGCTTCCCTCTTTAGGAACAGCTGTCATTCCTGAAAATACAAAAAAAAACCCTACTGTGTAGGCTGGTGTCGCAAATTTATGGAAGCCCATTTCTGCCAGTTAAAAAAAATAAAAATTAAAAATTTGGCTTTGTTGAGATTTTTTTTTGACCGAAATTATGAGATAAAAAGTCAAAATTATGAGATAAAAAGTCAAAATTGTCTCTTTGTTTATTGTGTCCCTTGCTCAAGTGGTTTATTCCGTGACTCCTGCTCCAGGGGCCTGTATGTACATTCCTTGAATGTAGTCTTCAATGTGACCGCGATGCATCCTTAAATGTCATAATTATGACTTTATTATCTCATAATTAAAAAAAAAAAAAAAAATCTCAACAAAGCCAAGTTTTCATTTTGATTTTTTAACTGGCGTAAATGGGCTTCCATACAAATTACACTGTTTCCCCATTTTATACACACAAGAAATGGAACTATGCACACAATACTGAAAACGTGAAGCTCAGGTATCAAAAACAAGATTCCAAACTGCTTAACTCTGCACATTTCCACTATAGTCTCACTCAATGTTTTTCATGCAATTATTCTTATTGTTTCGACTGTTAAAGAGACTTAAAAGCGATAGATGATTGGTCTCAGTCAATGAGCACAATACATTTAGAATAAATTAATTAATTGAAATGTTTTAGGATAAAGCAAAAAGACATGAATTGGTTTGATAGGCAGTAAAAATGCATGAAAAAATAATATCCCACAAAGTAAGAATTATAATTACGACAGAGGGCCAAGTTAAAAAATAAATTAATAAATAATTTCGAGATTAAAGTCGTAAATTAACGAGTTTAATCTCGTAAATTTACAAGAATAATCTCGAAATTTAAAAATAAATAAAGTTTTAACGTGGCCCTAATCCTCCGTCGTAATAATTGGATTAAGTTTATATTTTTATTTTATATTTATTCAATGTTAAATTTGTACGGAACCCCTGAAGTCCCAAACAGTAAAAATAAACAATCATATAAATTAATATTATGCTTCAGGGGTTTCGTAATTTCTGTATAGTTTAATTTAGTATTTTCTCCTCAAATCTTGAATTTATATTTCCCTCTAAGTACTTTTCAAATTACTTTTAGTGGTACATTAAACCATTAAACAAATCTTATTTTTAAACTACAGTCCGGTTTTTACTTCCTCATAAGAGCGCGGGTCTTCCCATCACGTGACTTGGTAAACCCTAAACAAAACCATGTGACATAGATAAGGAAGTGAGTTAAGAGGGGACGCATCATGGGAAAGCTATCTGCATCATAACTTCTGCTTTTTCTGACTCGTACAACATGAAACACGCGGAGTTTGTCGTGTGTTTCCTCCTCCTGCTGCTGCTCCATGTCGGTGCTCAGATCAGGAGTAATGGACGGTGGCCCGTTCCTTACAGGTATGAATAAGACAGGTATGAATAAGACAGGTATGAAGACAGCAGTGAAGATTCATCTCTTCATGGGATGTCTGCTCAGTAAAGTTGAGTCATGTGACAGCTAGAAAAAATACAGTTGGCCTATCCTATCTGTCCAGAAAAAAACCTGCAGGGAATAAAGTTTCTGACTCATTTCGCCTTAAAAAAAAAAATCAGTTTGTTTGTTTATTATTTTATTTTTTTCATTTTTCTTCAAACCAGCCAAATGTTCATGTTTCATCCTCCCTCAGCTGTTTATCCGACATAATGTGAATTTCCAATAAGAGTGCTGTAAGACTCGAGCAGTACATAAAGATAAAGCTTTTTAAATGATGTGAAACCAGTTCTTATGGTTTCACATTCACAAACTTTGAATTATGAAGCAGCTTGCTCTATGAGTATATTTCAACTCTCAGTTTAGATATTTGTGAGAGGACAAGTTTTGGCTTTGAGAAGTGTTTTAACACTTCTGCTTAACTTGGGTATTTCAATTCTCTACTCGTCCAACTTTATTCTTGTTCCCCTGGATCAATCAAATCAACTCAATCGGTCAGCTGTTATCTGAAGACACTTTGCAAAAGAGTAGGTTAAAAACCTCCTCTTTGTTATCTTCAAAGACTCAACATGAATCCATCCTGAGCACTGAGCAACATTTAGCAAAGTTACAGTGGCAGAACCAGACTCACGATTACAGCTGTCTGCTGAAACTGTGTTGGGTTTTAAAGGGGACAGAGGGAGAGAGAAGGATAGAGACAAACAGAGCAACGACAACGACAATAAATGAGATGGATTTCTAGCTGTAAAGTCAATAATGATAAAAGGAAGTGTAATAGCAGTAACAGGTTCTGTAGGTATGATAATAGACAGATCAGTCTGATATTAACATTCTGAATAATTTTATCATCAATTGAAATTCACATTAATAACATTTATTTAAGTCTTACCCTTGATTATAAAATGATATGGATCAATTATGTTTTCATCTTTTTAAAGCCTTATTAGGAATGCTTAAAGTTGTCATTGTAGTAAAGACGGTCAGATTTGACCTGAATGCGTTTCCCAATGACTCTTAAGTAAAAGTGTTCACAGTGGCACAAAGTGAGTTTCTCTTGTCACCATCAGGCGGTTTGATCATCGGCCTGATGCAGACTCTTACTGTGAGGCGCTCTACCCGTTCTGTCCCACTGGAGACCGAGACGGGCGGATTCCCGACATGAAGGACAGCGACGTCATCTCAGTTTATCGACTGCAAACTCCAGTTTGGGAATTCAAGTACGGAGGTTTGATGGGGAAATTTGTAAGTAGATGAATTCCCTTGTTATCTGTATATTTCTTATATATATAATTTAATGTGATGAATGGACTGAACTCTAAATGAGCAGGTTTTTGTGGTTTAAAAATTTAAGAATTTTTTCAAAACCATTTGCTTTAAAGTTGTATAATTGAACATTTTATTGGCTATTTTGATTAAATTAATTGGTACTGTTTTCAATTTCTTAGTAGTTTTTTTTTTTTTTTAATAGTTTTAAATAACATTGACAACTGATTCATTACATAAGGAATTTTTAAAATAAATTACAATTTTAAAAAAAATGTTTCTCCTGTGTTCATGAAACTCTATAACAGATTAAATTTGCTTTGTCAGTGTTATTTATATTCTAATATCGTCCGATTGATTGGTCGGGCTCTACTTTTTACTTTAAGACTCCACTAGGGACAACAGCTGGAAATGATCAGAAGCTAACTACTACTGTGTATTAATATATATGGATATAATGTTCAAACCGTATGTGATCTCAAAGGGATAAAAATAATCCATGAGTAGCACACATGTTCTTTGTGTAACTCATAAATAATCTGGAATGGAGAAGTAGATACTGCAGTGTGACTTAAGATGATATAACAGTTTACATCTGGCACAGACAGGTGCGGGGCTGTTGCCATGGAAATGCAACTCACTACTTCATTCATGAAAACACAGCTGCACACCGTTCCTCTATTTCTAGAACAAGAGAGACATTATGATGTTTCTGCTCGGTTCACAGCACATCATGCACGATGCCATCGGGTTCAGCAGTTCAGAGACGGGGGCCAACTTCACCATGGAGTGGTACGAGTTGTTCCAGCTCGGCAACTGCACCTTCCCTCACGTCAGACCCGAGGTGTACCCGCCTTTCTGGTGCAACCAAGGCGCCGCCTGCTTCTACGACGGCATCGATGACTTACACTGGTCACAAAACGGCACCTTGGAGAAAATAGCCGAAATCACAGGTTCGACTTTGAATGTGGGATCGAATATCAACAGAAAATATAAAAGCAGTATGAGTAGATCTGTTGGCTTTCTTTTTGGCTTTCTCCCCACCTGCTTCTTTGCACTCACTTACTCAAGAAGACAGTAATGTGACTTGTTCAAACTCACTTTTTCTCCCTCTTTTGACTGTCCTTTTTATTTTTTATTTAGAGTTTACACAAATATAGGAGTTTCTATTTTTTATTGGGTTTTCAACTTGAACAGCACGTATCACTGTGATTTACAAAATACAAAATAGAAAAGCCGCCCATCCTCCCCAAACCCTCTTGTCTCCCTCACCCATTCTCCCAGTCTATCCTGCCACCCAAAACCACCCTCAGTCCCACCCCAACAGGTTACCACTGTCCACAACTGTATAGAATGCTAATAACCACATGATAACATAACATACATGTATACATTTATCTTCATACATCCAGCAAACACATATAACCAAGGCCGTACAGCTGCCCCTATTAAAGCACATAATCACAAAGAGTGCTATGCATCATACTGATTTAATAGCAGAGAAATAGGCCATGAATGAAAAGTACATTCTACTGACCTCCGCCTGTTCCCTCTCATGGTGCGTTTCATCATGACATCCTTCATCCATCTGACATGGGAAGGAGGCTTAGGATCTCGGACCGTCCTGTTTTCAAATCTATTTTTTGTTCTCTCCACAGGGAACCAGTTCAACGCCATGGCCCAGTGGGTCCAGGACGACAACCGGACGGGGATCTACTACGAGACGTGGACGGTCCGCTCCGACCCCGGTCCTAACGCCACAGTGTGGTTTGAGTCCTACGACTGCTCTCAGTTCGTCCACCGCACGTTCAGGAAGCTAACCGACCTGGGAGCAAAGCTATCCAGTAGATCGCAAACGAACTACACGAAGATCTACCTGTACAGCGGAGAGCCCAAGTACCTGGGCAACGACAGCGCCATATTCGGACAGCCTGCTCTGAAGAATCTGGCCGTGGACATCCGCACGTTTTACCACACGTTCAGACCACACCAGTCGTTTACAGACTTCACCATCAGCTTGTTGGAGGCTTATGAAAAGATCGTTTTGGACAAGAGCTTTTACCTGTACTACAACTTTGAGTACTGGCAGCTGCCGATGAAGTTCCTTATGTGAAGATTACATATGAAGAGGTGCCTTTGCCTTAGCAACACAACTTGTACTATAATGTTTTCATAAAATGCAGCAGGTATTAATTTGTTTTGATTCATTGTTTTAATTGATGCACAGGTCTGACCTCTAAATCTGATACTAGTTATCTGAGCAACAGCTTCAACCAGAGTTCAACTAACAAGCTGTTGATCCTCCTCTGTGAATGAGATCAGGTTTTTACTTAAACACTGCTTTACTCACTCAACAAAAATCTATATTTTTGTAATAAATGAACAGTTATTTCAAGTAGAGTTAGACCTCTTTGGTGTAACAAGCTTAGACATTATAAATAATTAAATAGCTCAACCCCCCCCCCCCCCTCTCTAAAACCAGATCCAAGTTTTTGAGACAGTCAGACCTGTAATATTTATCTGAAGTATTGGATCAGTGCATCCCTCATGAATACATTTTGTTTGTTTATTTTTTCTGCTCTGATTGTCTGAAAGCCAAAGATATTGTCATTAAAAATGTAATATTTAAAAAAATATTTAGTAGTGAATGTTTGGAGTTGTTGCTTATTTATCAGTTTAAAAAATAGTTGTGTTAATTCAAAGTTAACCTTCGGCTCTTGAGACATTTGACAGAACCTCATCACTTGAGATCTGTCTGTGGCCTTTCTTATTTATCAGGGGAGTTTTCAATGAATGGTTGAATAGTAAATGATTGAAAGGCAAAAATGATCATTTGCTTAATAATTCTAGATCTGCTTCGAGGTGTGACTATTCAAAGTTTTGAGCACATTTAACCTATCTGAAATGTGTAATGTTTAATAAAGACTTATTGCAGAACATGCTGATTAACAAGCAGTGAATACTTTAGTGGTATTTATCCACATTTCTTTTTTAAAACTTGAATTCCAAATTTTAGAAATGAAAACCCTTTTTCTGTGTTGATCTGGATGAATAGTGTAAGTTAGGTAAAGTTAGGTTTTAGTTTAAGATTTTTATTTATGCCTTTATTTTAGAGATGGGACAGTGGATGGAGGCTGAAATCAGGGAGAGAGAGAGAGAGAGAGAGAGAGAGAGGGGATTGACATGCAGGAAAGGAGGAGTCCAGCCTCTGTACGTCTGAGCTAGCCGCTCAGCTAATGGCGCCCCCAGACCTTTTTTTTTTTTTTACCACTCATTTGAAAATAAAGAAAAGACAGAAACACAGGAGTACATTCACAAATGTTTATTACCAGTATAAGATCACATTTCCAAACCAATCATTTTAACTTCATGACAGCAGTAAAGCAAAGAAGACGGAGCATTTACCAATACACAAGTAAAACTAAATGACAGCAATATCAACACCAGTTTAATCCTAATAAAAGTTACAGAGGACTCTGAGGTTAAGATAGCTGTGGTGAAGTTTTCCAAGAGAAGCCGACAGAACAATGATTGAAACCAGGAAGAGTATTGACTTTGACTCCAGAGCTGCTGTCACGGCGATCAGTGAATGCACTGCATGAGTTATGAAAACTGTATCAGGATATGTTACTGTACCAATGAGATGCTAAAGTACATGAGCACAGACGATCAGCAAAGGTATCTATTTTAGTGCAAACAGACCAATCCTATCAATAGGCTACGTTAGTTTAATCCAATAGAAAGCCTTGCACTTCCAATCAGTGTGTCTAATTTAGTCTACGTTATTGTTCGGCTGTTTGAAATGTCAAATAAGACGTGAATGAAGCCACACAGAAATCAGATCTGTTGTCTACAGGTCCTACTGACATGCAACGTTGTCAAAGGCTTTTTGTCCATTTAAGTTCTCTTCAACTGTAATGAAGTACATTTAACATCTTAAAGTCTATGTTTCTTAAATACATTTATTTGCTGTTAGTGAAGTACTTGAAGCGTTGAAGATTTTATTGCTATTTTGCTTCATGGTAAATGGACTTTGTTGACACAGCAGTTTAAACAAAAGTCTCTCTTATTATGGCCATTTCTTTTTTTGGGATAACTGTAACATGATGCTGTTTGAGAGCTTCTATGTAAAAGCTTAATTTAAAAAAAAGAAACATTTATAAAATACTATGATGCATTCATTTAAAAAATATATATTGGCTATTCTTTGGTGGCTAAAAGTTAACATGTTGTACAAGTTCATGAGGATATCACCCCAGTCCAGAGAATTTGTTCTTTTGTTGTGAATTTACAACTTTCATGCTGTAAACTCTTTTTCTCAAAATGTTCCCCCCCTTGTGAGGCTCTTGTTAACTTATAATGTGTCATAAAATTCAGACTAAGTCATTGTCCTCTGACTTTAATTTAATGATGATGACCCTAAGACAACGGCCCGACCGATACGAAATATTGGAGAGTGAAAAAATCCGATCTATCGGCTGATATCTTTCTCGGCGTTATCAACCTGTAGAGATCGATGTAGATATACACACGTATTATTTATTGCGTTATTCCTTCAAATGCAGTTATCGAACACTTGTGGAAAGCTTTACAGGACAAAGAAGACAAGATGGTCACTCAACTGTAAAGTCACTGCGCATGTACCTGCATCACTGCTCGACACTCTGGAGTGATAATGCTTGTTTTAATCTATATAGCGCCCTCGGCTGGTGAACGAGAACTGCAAGTTTAATTAAATGAAATGCTTTTTGTCTGGTGAATAAATCCTGTAATATCGGCACATATATGCGATAAAATTAGCTGATACAGATAGTCACTGGATATGCTAATATGGGCCGATATTATCGGTTGGCTGATTAATCGGTCGGGCTCTAATTAAGATTTTCAGTACGATTTAGATCTGGTCACTTGAAGGAAAGCCAAGCAAAACAGCACTACTTTCATGCCATTTTAAGCACATTAATTGTCGTTTAATAATTTTTTCTTCCAGGAAACTGAATCCCTTTTTCACAAAGCATTAAAAAAAATCTGGCAAATCTGAATCACTTACTGGAATGTCAATTTAATTTATTTTTTGGGGGGAGGTTTACATCACTTGTATCTTGTGTGTCACATGATTAAAGGTTTTGTGGACTCAACTTTTGGACAACCTGCATGCAACAAAATCCTGACAATGAAGTTTGAATTGTCAAAACCAAACCAAACTAAAAACTTGTTGCTGGTCTGTTTGCTGGTGCTTATATTGATTGCTTCTTTTGTTTAACTGACAAAACACGGAAAAACAAATTACAAAAGCAGAATCCATATCAATAAATTAAACGTCTTATCTTCTCTAGTGACCACTGTATGAAAAAGATCCACCTAGTAAAGGAGAACTTGCACTCTGGTTCTATAAAAGACACGAGTCGTTGGTTAAAGAAACTTCAAACCCTGACAGAGGGCGAAATTAAAGAAATAAGTACATTTCTATTCATAATAATCAAACACACAGCGTTTTATATACAGATGCATTTGACTTCCTTCTTAAAGGAAAAAAAAATGGTTTCTCTCATCTGACTTTGCCAAATCTCTTCTGACTGAAATGGTTGGATGTTTTCTTGGACAGGAGAACTTAAAATAATATCTGTAAAGTAAAGAGGGAGTTTGTAATTAAGATGAACACTGCTTCCTCTGCTGTATGTACGATGTGTTGACACGATACAGAGTCAATGAGGACCAATGGGAGGAGGGCAGATATTCACTGAAGAGGTTTAGAGCTTGAACAGTCAAATAGCAGAAGATACAAATGAAACCTATTAAGGAAATATTTGATGCACCTGAAAGACACTAAGGGTTACTTTTGCATTCCCAGAGTGCATTGTGAGCTGCAGAGACTCCATTATAGAACTATTAGTTATCTGTATACGAAGGCTAGGGAAATCACCTCCAAATTCAGACAATTCTGTGCATTCTTTATTTACACGATGATCATGTCTCTGCTTTCATTATTTCTCTATATTTCTTCTACATACTGTCATGGGTATCTGACTCAACAGACTCCCAGAACAGTGATAATTCGGAGCATTTTAAAGATTGCTCTTCTAGTTTCAATCATGGCAGAAGGACTTTATCTTTCCTGACTATCATTTGGTGTCCATGTAAGGTGCTTAGAACAAAATCTATGACTGTACAAAACGGAGATAATTCATTCGTAGAGCCAACGTGATTTGCAATGCAGGACATAAAAACAGAGAAAATAAAAGTCCATGATATCAATCAGCACTGTACACCTTCACATCACATAGATAGACACCTATATACACGCTTCGGTTCCCTCTCTGGGCTGACTTCCAAACATTTTCAACTCTTTTCTTGCTATCAATGTACGATTGAGCCTGCTTTAGGAGGAAAAACAAGATGCCGTCAAACGCCTATCCGCTGCATTTTCTTTTTAAATTAGTTTACAGATAGGCGTAGGACCCAGCCACTACTCTGCACGTTTAAAGAGTCTCCTTTCGACTACAGCTGACAAACACCGCCTGTCGCATACTATGTAGGAATAAAGCCATGTGGAAACCTCCAATGCCATATATTGTTAGAATGCAGAGCTGCAATCTGGATTTAAGTAGGCCAAGTGGTAGTGTAACTACATGCAATTGTGCACCTAGTCTTCCCCCCAATGTTAAAAAACATTATAGCACACATACATTTACCTTCATACTCTCACACACACACATCTCTCATATTATAGATAATCATACCCAAGCTAAAGTGTCCATATAACTTAATTTGCAGTTATAAAACATTGCTTTTATAGTCGTATCTTCCCCCTGAACTACTCTGTGTGCTGATTGTTTACTAGCTGGAGAAGCCGGCATGGCGCGTTCTGTCTCCTCATTTAGCAAAGTAGGATTCCACAGTCCACGTTGAAGCTGACAGGCAGAGATTTTTGTGGTCATGACATGACATTGTGTAGCAGTCAGGCGCCACCTTACATCCTCACTCTGCACTCCACACGCAGGAGTTCAGCAAGTTTAAGCTCTCGCAGTTGCCACCAAACATTCTACGACAGCGAGAGAGTTTAGAGACTTTCAACGCAAACACGATTGTTCCACACCACAAATCACTAATCACGTGTGCCTCTTTGGCTTCGCTTTACCAGGTGGGCATCATGTCGGGGAACCACACCCGACCCAGATGCTTAGAAACCTCCCAGTGGATCTCATCCAGGGTGTATTTGTGATCGGGAATAAGCACCTCCTCCATGATGGACAGCTGAGAAAGCCTCCGACCGCACATCTTTACAAACTCCACAAACGCGCTGCAGGAAACCTCGCACTCGCCCAGGCCGATGGCGGACAGCTGGGTGCAGTGCTTGGCGATGCGGATCAGCTCCTCGTCCAGGGGGCGCAGGCCGTTAGCGCACACCACCAGCTCCACCAGACGAGGGCAGTGGAGGCCAACGCGGCCCAAGACCTCCTTACTAACCGAGCGGCCGAAGTAGAGGTGAGTGACGGGGATCTCCTCGTTAAAGAAAGGCCCAAACTCGTCCTCGTAGAGGAAGAAGTACATGACCAGGTTGAATTTGGGCGAGTGCTTCACCATGGCGTCCCAGCTGCTCTTTTTGATGGTGTGGAAGTGTTGGCCGGGGTTCTCGCTCACCACGTCGATCCTCAAGTGCTCCAGGTGGACGTGTTTCTCCGAGGAGAGGGCCAGAAGGAGCTCATCGCTCAGGAGGTGGTAGTTCAGTGCCAGCTCTCTCAGTCCATGACACTGGTCGGCCACACAAAGGATCCCTACAAATACAGAGATATTGTTTTTTATCATGGAATCCAGTTTTTACTTATCTATAATAATTAAACAATTCCTGAAAACATGGCAACTGGCTGAAGGAAATAATAGCTCCCATAGCCAGATAAAGAGCTTTTAAACTTCCCAGACATTATGTAGTTAAATAAGCAGTCATTATCATAGCTCACTTCCAAAAACCGTTCTAGGAAAATGTCTGTCTCAGATTAAGAACCAGATAAACATGCAACAGTTCATTTATAATGTATCATGCAGTCTCTGTGTGCAGGCAGACTAAATAATTACAGGCTCTAAATGAGTCACTGGATGGAAAACACTTACAGCCATGTGACTCAAAAAAGGGAAATCACAAAGACTGGAATGAAACTTTAAAGGCTTTATATGTGATTTTTCACACTTAAATGTAGAAATCAAGTTTATCCTCTGAAAATAACTCTGTGAGTCATGACTGTCTACAATGGGTGTAACACCCGAGTCCCACTGTCTGTCATGTTTTCAGAGTTTTCAGAGTCCTATCTTCAGTTTGTTTACATCGCCAGGACGGCCGGCTGACTCCTCCCCTCACGTATAAAAGTTGTTTAATTGAGGGACTAGAGAAAAGAAGAATAACATACTGTACTCACTGCTTAACTGTGTTTCTAGATCACGCTCATTTCAGGTAAATTTACATGCAGTGTGAAGATACGAGCAGAATAAAGATCACTAGCATTAGCATGCTAACACAACAATGCACCACAAGTTGTTTTGGTTTCATGCTGGTGCTCAAGGGTGACATCTGCTGGATCAAAAAAAATTGCATATAAAGCCTTTAACATACGTGTGACTTCAAATATTCAGCTTTGGAAATCATCCAACAATCACAACAGCAAAAAACGTGACAGGGTAGATACTGTGGACTTTCAGGTGTGAAACATTCACAGGAGTCTTCGTACCTGCAGGCGAGACGTGAGGGCAGCTGCTCATCTTCAGCAGTTTCAGGGTGTCACTGTTGTTGGCCACCAGGACCTTCAGAGACGGATCATCCACTGGCGTGTCGTCGATCTTCAAAGAGGACAGCGATTTGGAGTTGACGAACACCACAGTCAGAGCTGAGATGAAATGAGACTGTGGGGAATAAAAAAAAAAAGAGAGAGAGCACAATGAATTTGAATACTGTCCAGAGTCTCAATGCAACTTTCAACACCAACAGATTAACAGCATGGATGTCAGGAATTACACATAGCTCAGAATCACTGTTAGTATATCTATGTAGAGTAGACTATGATTAATTAATCTGCATTTAGATCATTTAGAAATGAATGTATTTGGAGGTTTATAGTTGAAATGTTTTAAGTCATGCAGGCCCTTCAGGTTTGACACTTTCAGCTGAGACAACTTAATGATCGTAAATGTGGCAAACGTATTAAACAAAGTGAAAATGTAGCAGCCTGAGCCTCCTCAGGTTTTTGGAAAAAAAACAATAAAACATCAATAACTGGAGTTGGTTTCACGTTTTTCTTGAGCTGTAGAATTCATGATTTGCCTAGAACTAGATTACAATATACAATGAATGAACTCATTTGAGTCCCTCAAATCATGCCTTCCTGATACATAACCTGCCACATACCTACGTCTGGTGCCTTTTTATTATCAAGCATTTTGTGATCAATTCTGTCTGACTTAGTTGCTAATTTCAGAGGTACACCAAACAAAAGCCGAGGTAATCTAAGACAGCATCACTTTAAAGTCTTTAAGTTTCACTTTGAGCTCACTTCACCTCTATGTTTACGGTGGAGGCTGATGTTGAATAGTTGGTGTTTCTATGATTGAACAAAGTGGAGAACAAACAAACATTTGTTCACATTATCATGCTGATGACTATGTTGGAATATCCAGATGGTCCCAACATCAAAAACAGTCCTCCTTTGTCTCAGCTGCCCTCGGCTGTCTTGGGTTAGTTTATGATTTAATGGAGGCAAAGAAAAAGAGAAAATGGCCTCTATTTTGAGAATAGAGTATGAGAGTAAAGTATTTTGGTAGAAGTCAAACTTTCAAAGCCTTAAGAGCAAAGCTTTTAGGAAAATAGACTTTGTTGAAAGATGATTTGGTCACATCCCATGACCTAAATAGCTAAATAAAATAAAAAGAAGCCGCATTGGATAGTGACAGATAGTTGTAAATATGGAACGGTTCAGCCGCACTCTGTTTTCCTCAAAAACAGTGTCCCAAAACCCAGGATATCAAGAGGCTGAGGATGAATACGCTGCACCTGTGAGTATGTGTGTGTGAAAGTTTCAAGTTTCAATGCGGACATGACTTTACGTCATGTCCTCTCATTCACTGGTGATAGACTACCAAGGCAGCATAACTTTCCAGAGTTCATACAAAGGATGTCAGGACAAGATGAGAGACACAACATCTACACAAAGCAAGGCTAAATAAAAATAGCAAAAATAACATCCTGTCTCTCCAGGCTTAAAAGTAATTACGTCCTTGTCCTTGGCCATGCATGAGAACAAACACTGCTGTTTTCAGTTTGTTACGCTGATAAGAAAACAAAAACCTCTTTAGCAACTTTTGCCCAGCCTTAAGGGTTCAAACCATGGAAAAAGCAGCATATAATACATTTCACTATTTTCACAACAGCTCTGGTGAATTTTAAACTTCTTATCTGGTTAAAGGGACACCAAGGACAAGGACCCCCCCCATAACATGTTTTATGATCATTTTACCTTCTGGACCTCCATGAAACTGGGCCTGGCTGTGGAGATGAGCCCCAAGGTCTTCAGAGAACAGTTCACCAGCTGTGAAAGAATGTCACATGCTGCCTCTGCAGACTCTGTACTGCTGTCAACCTGCCATTAAAAACAAAGATTATCTTATGAACATGAAAACAGCTGAGGATTACAAACTGTAAACACTTAATCCAAGAATCCTGTTTTTGTTTTTGACACAGACTATAGCGTGTCAAAAACATAGCGTGTAGCGTATGCCCCCTTACCTTGAAGCTGACATACTGCAGGTGGTTGGAGTGCCTTTTTATGATCTGCTTGATGAGGTCTGGATGTGTGGCTTTCAGGTAAGAGCTGGCTGGCTGGTTAAGCTCAAACTCAAAGCACCGCCACAGCTCAGGCATGTGGAATGCCTGGTTCCAGCCGCGGCACACCTGGGACGCATAAGCCCTGTCCAACAGTGGGAGGTACTGGAGGATGTGAAGCAGCAGCTCCTGCGGTAGTCTAGCCCAATCGCATTCTGTTGACTCACTGACCACAGCCTGAGCCTCAGACTCCTCGCTCGTCTGTTTGCGCACCTTCTTGCTGGCTTCTGGTGGGCTCTCACTGGAGGGGCTGATGCTGCCCTCCTCTCCTCCTTTCACCCTCTTCATGCTTTAAAAAAACGCAGAGGACATGTTTGTTTTAGACCAGCGTGGCAAACACAGGCTGCACTATTACAAAAGATTTTTTATGGATTAACAAATCCATTCAGTTAAATCCCATCTGGAGTGAAAGAAGATCTTGACAGCCACTTTAAAGAGATGCCAATCCAAACACAAATACCCTATTTGCAGTAATGCACCTAATTAGGATACTAATGGACTTTGAAAACAGTGCTTTCCTACTTTTTAGAATAGATACTAGCTAATAAGATTTAAACACATTTTTCTTCTGACAACAGTATTGTCTACTTCATCATATACTCATCATATAACAATGTGGTAAAAAAAGTTAGTGATCATTTCAGTATCAAAAAGATCCTGTGCTTATCAACATGGAGATGTGATGTGTCAGATTCACACTCCTCAGTCTTTGATTAAAGCAGAATGAATGGACTTTTGAAATAGCTACAAGGTCCACAATATACATAATAAAGCATATAAAACCCTGACAAGGAGGCATATGATGACTACACTCAGGCATGACACACCAAGACTGAAAATCAAAACCGGCTAATTTATCTCTATGAATGTATCACACATTCCTAATAATAATATTATGAGCACTACTGTCATTATACATATCTTTGGTGTTGTGAATTTGTCTCTTTCATAGTTACTCTATTACAATCAGCCCTGGGTATAGACTTAGACTTTCTTTATTGTCATTCAAACTTGTACTTTACACTGCCGATTAGAACAAAATTTTGTTGCATTAGTTGTATAGGATCTTGTCAAATTTGGTTTGGTATACAGTGGTATATATTATGTAATTTTGTGCATATGTGTTTGTCAATGAGTTTACAGACGACGTGTCACAAAACGCTTAATATCAAACTTAAATGTGTTGTGAGTTTCTTACCCACTTAACTCTCCTACTTTGTGTAAAGTCAGCGTTTTTTATGTTAATGTTTATCTTCCTATACTTGAGAATTTGAATCAGTCTATGCACTTACATGATTACGATTAGAATAGAATTACTTTATTGAGTCCAAACTGGGAAATTGTGGCGTTACAGCAGCAGGTTGTCCAAACACACAATATTAACAGAAAACACAATATTCCACTTTCCACTTTGGATTTAACTAAGCATTACTAGTCTTAAATAGGAGGATTAAATATGGAAGATTAAATGTAAATGTGCAAAAACAGAGTCGTATATCGTTGTAAATTAAATATGAAAGATTAAATGCCAATGTGCAAAATAAATATGAAAGATTAAATGCCAATGTGCAAAATAAATATTGAAGATTAAATGCAAATAAACAAAATAAATATGGAAGATTAAATGCAAATGTGCAAAATAAATATTGAAGATTAAATGCAAATAAACAAAATAAATATGGAAGATTAAATGCAAATGTGCAAAATAAATATTGAAGATTAAATGCAAATAAACAAAATAAATATGGAAGATTAAATGCAATGTGCAAAATAAATATTGAAGATTAAATGCAAATAAACAAAATAAATATGGAAGATTAAATGCAAATGTGCAAAATAAATATTGAAGATTAAATGCAAATAAACAAAATAAATATGGAAGATTAAATGCAAATGTGCAAAATAAATATGGAAGATTAAATGCAAATAAACAAAATAAATATGGAAGATTAAATGCAAATAAACAAAATAAATATGGAAGATTAAATGCAAATGTGCAAAATAAATATTGAAGATTAAATGCAAATAAACAAAATAAATATGGAAGATTAAATGCAAATATGCAAAATAAATATGAAGATTAAATGCAAATAAACAAAATAAATATGGAAGATTAAATGCAAATGTGCAAAATAAATATGGAAGATTAAATGCAAATAAACAAAATAAATATGGAAGATTAAATGCAAATGTGCAAAATAAATATAGAAGATTAAATGCAAATGTGCAAAATAAATATGGAAGATTAAATGCAAATAAACAAAATAAATATGGAAGATTAAATGCAAATGTGCAAAATAAATATGGAAGATTAAATGCAAATAAACAAAATAAATATGGAAGATTAAATGCAAATAAACAAAATAAATATGGAAGATTAAATGCAAATGTGCAAAATAAATATTGAAGATTAAATGCAAATAAACAAAATAAATATGGAAGATTAAATGCAAATATGCAAAATAAATATTGAAGATTAAATGCAAATAAACAAAATAAATATGGAAGATTAAATGCAAATAAACAAAATAAATATGGAAGATTAAATGCAAATGTGCAAAATAAATATAGAAGATTAAATGCAAATGTGCAAAATAAATATGGAAGATTAAATGCAAATGTGCAAAATAAATGTGGAAGATTAAATGCAAATGTGCAAAATAAATATGGAAATGTGCAAAAGCAGAGTCGTAAATGGACACTACTGACATAAGTTAAAGTGCATAGACAGAACATAAACAATATAAAAATACATATACTGTATACTCAACGGAAAACATTTACTTTAAAACTAAATAGCAGACTGTGTTCCTAAAGGAGATGCACAAAAACTATGATCAAATTGTCAAACTGGCATTAATGATGACATTGCTAAAAACTCATTCAGAAGTTGAATTAAGTAGCGCAGTGTATTAGCGGTAGCTTAGTTAGCATGTTTTACGCTAAGCTACTTAGAAAACCAGCGATATCAAATGATATGACACTCAAATAATATTCAAGACTATATTTACAGATTGGGCAAGAGCTAATGTAAAGCTGCCATCTTTTAATGTTAAGCTATCTACAACATAAAACGAGCCACCCAAGCCTACCTTGTTGTTTACACTCAGCTAGCTCCGGAGCTGTGAGCGGAGAAATCCGACTACCGACTCTGACTGAATTCAACCCGGGACAGCGCTGGATAAATTCATCCGTACCATCCAAACTAAACTCATCGGAACACGGAGAGACGACTAGACAGCGTTAAGGGATATTTTCAATGAAGAAACGACCAGATGCAGGAAACCTCGGCTCAGCTGACCTAATTCTTTCGCGGGAGTTTCACAGGAACTCCCCTCCCCTCCCAAATCTGAAATGGCGAAGTGTTGTTGTTGTGACAGCCGAGGTGCATCATGGGGGAAATTGCAATGCGAAATGGCTGTTGAGTAAAGATCGTCTATGTATGAATGATGACTCACGATGTTCAGAAAATACTTACTTATTCTTTTCGACTGATGTTTTAGACTTCGTTATCCAAACTGAAAATCGGTACTTTCTAGTTCTACGTGGATAGATTGCTTCTACTGACTAAACTTTTGTCAATAGCTGATGTATTTCTTTTTTTTTTATTATCTCTTTTTTAGTATCTCTTTTTTATCATTATTTACATTGTACTGTGTTCACTTTTTGTCTGCAATCTTTGCTCTTTGCTGCTGTAACAATGTAAATTTCCCCATTGTGGGATAAATAAAGGATTATCTTATCTTACAAACGTCTCGGATATCATTGACAATGACATGAATATCATATCAACTTTTAAAAGTAAAAGACTCCAAACCTTTGCACACTATCAGGACGTCCCACAGGCAATGAAGGGCCCTAAGCAGAATTTTCTTATGAACAAACAAGTAGCAAGCTACATCACTTACTGTTTACAACTGAAAGAATAAACAACTGATCTGCAAATGAAATATCCAAATGACCTTTTTAATAAACTGTAAATGTCTTGCCTTGTGATTTTTACAGCAAGCTAAGTAAATATATTTTATTTGCCACATGATGAGCCTACACCCAAAGTTCAAAATCATTATGGAGAGTCAAAAACATATAGATCGAGCAAAAAGTATCGGAATATAATTAAATGCACATGAAGTGAAACATTTAAACCACACATCAAGATGGTAGGCATATAGATGACACATCAGAGTCATGGGAATGTGGAAGAAAATAACAGAAGCCTAGTTTAAAGCTGAGATGTTGCTGACAAATGTGTCATCTGGTGGAATTTGATTTTTTTTGCTGATCTTTTCTGGATAAGAATATGTTGTTAATCAGGAGAATCTGGAGGAGGCCTGACAACTAGTTTAGCAGTTTGGCACCTGGAGTAATACATCCTCGTGTGTTACTAGTCTCTGCAGAGCTGCACAGCAAAAGTATTTACAGAATTGATGCGAACATGAACCATTCAAACATTTCTACTAGGTTTGGCACCATTATACTTCTATATAAAAGAATCACTTGACCCACAGCTGTTGTATATAGTTAAATAAAAATGTCAACACTCATTAAAAGACACACTGTATACTTTGCGAAACAGAGAACCTGGTTTATTACCATTCAACTCCATCCACCACAGATATTACAGAGCAGATTCACAAGTATTAAGCTTTTTATATAACAGCAGCTGCTTTTTTTCCATCACTCTGTTTTTCTGACACCCCTTCCCCCCCCGGCCTCCTACAAGGGAAAAGCATTACAGGTGCACAAATTTTATTTGGTGTGAAGACTGGCCCCCCTCCAATCATTCAGCTGTAATCAGTCTCACTGTGAGGTCTTCTGTTTGTTTTTGTATTACTGTAGATTTTGGTACTATTTTGACAGAGCTGCTAATAGAATTTACATCCACCTTCATTCACTGCAGGCCAGGCTCCTCCTTCTCATTTCCAGACAACAGAAAAAAAAAATCTGACATTTAGAAGAGGGGGAATCACGACTGTCTACTGTATAAAAATGTACAGTGGCTTTATTGACATACATTCCATAGGTTAAACAGCTGCAAAATAGGAGGCACACCCAGTATTGCACTTCATTAAAAGTTCTGGCTCAAAACATAACCCAGAATATCAAACAAAACTGAAGTGAAGAGTAGCAACTTCGGAATACAGCTATTTTTGAATAGTATCATTATATACAGGATTAGATAAATCGTACACTATTTTCCTCCCAATCATAATATTCTTAACAGTCTTATCCACCGACGTATCTTTTTTTTTGTCCGTCAACCCATGATGCACTTGACAGTGGAGAATACTGTACAAGATTACGAAAAAGTTTACATACAACAATATTTTAAATGTATAGTTAGGAAGCTGGAAATACGGCCTGTTCCTTATTTTTTTAAACCCTCTCTGAGCCACGGTTGCCTTAAAGCAAATTCATTTCATATTCAATGTTACACGTCAGTGATCAGGAGGTGTGCAACGTCTATAGAAGCCGAGGGAATACAACGGCCGCATGCAAACACGTCACAAGTTTTCTTTTTTCTTCTTTTTTTAAATTTCTATTGTTTCTTTTTTTTTTTTTTAAATTCAGGTTACTCTGCATCCAAAAGGAGCCACAGCTCGTGTTCGTAGCTGAGCCCGGATACTGATGTTGGTAGAAGAGCAGACCTGAGGACTCTTGACGTGAGAGCAGAAACCTGGTCCAGTGTCCAGGAGACTTGACGAATGCAAGAGCCAAGCTTTCACCGCTGAGCTTCAGCATCAGCCAGAAATCACAGTAGACGAACTGGTTTTCAGTTTAAGTCTTTGTCTTTTTGTTTAGAAGGTGTGGGCGTTTCTGCACACCCCACAGCCCAGGGCAAACTCCTCCCCTGTTGGTGGGTGAACCACATGCAAAGGGCACTCGGTTCCCTCCAGCTGCTTGCCTTTGGGCCCTGTGACAGAAAATACAAGAACACCTCACTTAGTTATTACTGAGAAGTTATTTCAGGAAGTGACGTGTGGTGCGTATAATTCAACATTTTCCCTGAGTGCGTAGTAAACAGGATCATTCATCACCTGCAGGACAATGGGGCAGCTCCTCCTTCGGGACGCTGGTCATCCTCTGAAAATCATCGTGGCAGGCGTTGCAGAAGTGTGTGGTGCCAAAGCAGAAGAAAACAGCCACAGAACAGCAGTACCGGCATTTATACTCCAGGAAGTCTGTGCCATGCTTTGAGCACATCTGAGGGAACAAAAAGAAGAACCATCAGGAGCAGGATTCTACTTGTGTACAGAAAAGCAGCAATAAAAAAAAATACAGATGAACGAGTGTGAAGTATATTTCTTCTAGTAGATACTGAGATGATACCAGTTTGGATCTAAACAGTCTGGAGTCAAAAGCTCCTTTCACACATGCACTTCACTACTGAACATGTCCTGACTTTTTAAAAGGACAGGTGCGTGTGTAAATGCAAAGAGCCTCCCTGATTTCATTCAAACTATTGTCAGCCACCCCCCCCCTACACACATCTGTGTATAGTCAGGGTGAGGTAATAATCAGGAGCATTCACCATGGGGGAGTGGGCAAAGCGTTGACATTTTTCACGTTGAGCAGACTCTCCTTGTTTAATACTCTCTGCTGATCGTCTTAGTTGTCAACTGAAACTTTTCCACATTTTTGTTTGTGTTGTGTAAATGTCCATAAACATATCATAGTGACATTAACCCAGAAACAGTCACCTCTTTCTGCACACACACTATCCACCCCCGTAGCGAAACCTAAGGTGTATTTGAAGTTATGAGAGTGTGTCAGACACAGAGGATCTCCGGGTTGTGAGGCGAATGTGTTCCTGATAAAATCAGAGCCTGAAAGACCTGAAATTATGTTGAAAAAAAGTCAGGAGTTCATGTGTGGAAGGAACAGCAGTGAAAACATGGACGACTCAAGGAGGTCAATGACCCTGTAGGGAGCCAGGCTAGCTGTTTCCCCCTGTTTCCAGTCTTTGTGCTAAGCTAGGCTAATGGCCTGACGATCAACAGTGGCAAGAGTTTTACACCATGTAAGAAATGTATGTTTTTATTTGTAACTTCTTTAAACATACCTATTTTATGCTGTTATCTTATGCATGTTTTCACCACTACCAACTTGTCTTAATTACAAGTATTTATCTAATATTATATAGCATTAAACTTATACCCACAAAGAGCGTGTACAGTAAATGCAAAAACTGTATGTGTCGATGAAGGGAATGAGAGTAGTGCCAAAGGATGTAAGAAAATATTAAGTAGTTATTCCATCGTAACATTGAGCATGTAGATGCAAGAGGTGAGTAATTTATTCTCATTTAACTATTGGTAAGAAAGAGAATATGTTTTGTTTCCCCCTCCCTAAAAAAGTCAAATTCTTTCTTTAAATTAGCCACCGTCATCCAACCAACCTGAGCCCTGGAGACGTCTGAGCACGCTCCACAGATCAGCTCACTGGGGTCGTAGTCATCTCCCTGTCCAGCCTCCGCATCGCAGCGAGCCTCCCCCCCGAAATACGCCTGAAAAGAAGAGGAAACGTTAAACCCTGAACACCTAAACACATCACATCAACAACAAACAAAAAAGTATCACAGTCACAGTGTACCTTCTTGCACTTGAAGCAGACATAGTATGCATATCTGTTCATGGCAAAGCCTGCAGGGTCGTTATGGAAACGAGCTCCTGGAGTAGTTATTGCCTCGCTCTTGTGCAGACCCTCATACTCCAGCCTCATCAGAGCCTTCCTCCTCACATCCTCATACAGCTCCTTGATGGGGTCCAGCAGGTCCTTTATCACCGAGTGATTGATTTTGTTCTGGGGCAAACAAACAAACAAACAAACAAACAAAAAAACAGATGAGCCTAAGGTCATGAAGGTATTTCTGTTGAGTTTTCTGTGTGTGTGTCAAATGAAATCCAAAGAAATGACAGTGAACAAAGCAGTCAAAAACTGCACAGTCAGAGGAGCTAAAGTAAACTGAGCTCATTCTGCTTCAGGGCATGGTGGAAACAATGTCTCTGTTGTCTGTTAATCTCTTCAGACAGAGCAGCTAAGGTAACATCTTACCTTGCAAATGGGACACAACATGAACCCAAATGTGATTCTGGGCCCGAGCCAGCGGTTCTCAAGAACACGACGAGTACACTGAAGATGGAACACGTGAGTGCAGTCCAGCTGAGGGCAAGAAACATTGTTCAAACATTAAAACGAGAGTAGAAGTAACTGAAAATCGTCCAGCTAATGGAAACCAATCGGTTCTATTTTTAAGCTACCTGAACTGCAGGAGCAGCGGAGAGAGCCTCGGTGAAGCAGATCATACACATGTCATCTGCGTCCTGTTTCAGACAGCCAGTGTTTTTGTCGCAGCCGTGCAGACATGGGAGGCAGGACTCCTCGTTCTTCACTCCTCCACAGGGGTGTCCACAGGGATGAGTTTTACTGCACGCCAGTTTAGCATACTCCTGAGGAGGTAGATATGAGAGGAACCAGTGAGGCTAACAAAGTACATCACGTATGGAATATATACTTCACTATGTAACTCTATGTTGCAAAATATGCGTCTTGTGGAGGTATTTGTTATGCTCTGAAGTAAGTGGAAGCATCTCATCCCCTAACCACTACACTATCCACCACAGACTGTTCCTTTAAAGGCTTTATATGCGATTTTTTCATCCAGCAGATGTCGCCCTTGAGCACCAGAATGAAACCAAAACAACTTGCGCTGCATTGTTGTTTATTATGCTCGTATCTTCACACTGCATGTAAATTTACCTGAAATGAGCGTGATCTAGAAACACAGTTAAGCAGTGAGTACAGTATGTTATTCTTCTTTTCTCTAGTCCCTCAATTAAACAACTCTGATAGATAGGACTCTGAAAACATCACAGACAGTGGGACTCGAGTGTTACACCCATTGTAGACAGTCATGACTCACAGAGTTACTTTCAGAGGATTAACTTGAGTTCTATTATATTTAAGTGTGAAAAATCACATTTAAAGCCTTTAAAGAGAAACAAACATTTATTTTTTTACTCAGCAAAAGTTCAAATCTTTTTCTCATTCCTCTATCTCCCTAGGATTCACATCACGTACAAGTTCAGTAAGCACCTATGCATCTGCTTTCTGTTTATTTAATAACGTGTAGCATTACAAAAGAATCCAATTGCTTATAAATGAAATAAATGAAAACAGACAAAAGGCTTACATACATGTTAGCAAAAATGTCATTGAGTTCTCAAGGCCTGTTTATTGTTGTATTTTTAAACAAAAGTGTGTGTACTAATTTAATACAAAAACATACATATTTTAACACCTTTACCTTCTTTGTTATAAAAAGCAGCCTACTGGGCACAAATGTAATTGACTATAAGGATGTCTAGCAGTGTTAGTTCGATAATAGTCACCAGTATTTTTAAGTACCTGACAGTCTGGGTCTGAGCAGACGCTGCCTACCGCAGACAGCTCAGTTCCATTTCTGGTACCACAGAACCTGCAGGCGTCTGAGCTGCTGGAGGCTGGTTTACCTGAAAGAATAACAGAGCCGGAGTGGAAAAAACATCGAGTTTGGAAAGCTTTGAGGATATTGAGGAGGTTAAAGTGACATCGATATTAAAGAAATTACAAAACTTGCATTCATTGCATACATTCTTAAAAACGCAGTGTTGTTCCTGTCCCTGTTGCTAAGTTACCTGTGTGCTCCCTGAACTCCACCATGGCCTTCATAGTCTTGGAGTCTGCCAGAGCCATGAGCCAGAAAAGTTTTGTCCTCCCGCAGCCTTCATGGAGATCTACCTTTATGGCCTCCTCTTCCTCCTTAAACACCTGAAAGCGTAAAAAGAAGATTCGATTTAGCGCCAGCTCATCGTTTTATACTATTGAATAATCAGCTGTTAATTGGAAGTCTTTATCATGCTGACAAAGTTGGAGGTGTGCCATCCAACTCTTACCTGTCTCTGGTGGGAGCGTGTGCGGCGGTGCAGGTGGAGGAAGCGGTCGCAGTCGGTGCAGAGGTTGCCGCACATGTTACACAGGATGATGGCTGCCGTCTCCCCGTCATCGTGGTTGTCACACATGGGCTGTGGATACAAGAGCGTGAAATGAATTTTGTCATTCCTCTGATCAGCCGTCCCAATTGTTTTTCTCACAATGATGCTCTCATTCTGTGCTGTCACTCTCACCATCTGCTTCTGCTGCCCATCTTTGCCCATCCAGCGTCCAGATGACAACCTGTCCACGTGGTCCTGATCCAGCACGCACAGTGAAGCTAAAGCCAGCCACAGCTGCAAAACAGAACGGGACACGATACATGATTATCTGTTTAGGTATTATACATCATTTCTAAACGTAGATTTATGCTTTCACGTAACGACTTCATTTGAATTGGCTCCATACCCTTGTTGTGGCGATACAGCGTACAGGCGACCGATGCTCCTCCTCCATTTTGGTCAGCGCTATGATGGTCTCAGCTATTGCATTTTTGGTGACTCTGGACCAAGCATCCGAAAGGTGTCCCTGAAAACAAAAAAAATAACTGTCTAAGAGGTGCTCTTTCAACAAATAACATCGAATGAGACGGCAAATTTGGTTCAAAATCTAATTCTGCTTGTAGACATCTATAGGTAAAGATTTAAACGACAGGAACTCACAGCTGCCATGTCTTTAACCAGCTTTATGATGATCTCTGCTATCTGAGGAGGAGTCGACCCCTTCATCCACCAGTGGCTCTCACCTCTGCGAATGTAGCTGAGAATGGCAAAAAAAAAAAAAAGGCAATAAGAAATCAAACAAAATACATGTTGTTTAATAATCTAAGGAAATGTTGGAGGCATGGGACTTACCTGGAGTTGAAGATCATAGGCAGGGTGACGGTAGTGACCCCTTTTCCCGCAGCCATGCCGGCCGTGCCAGAGATGGTGGTGCCTTTGGCTTTGAGCTGCACGGTGAGTGCTTTGGCGATGCAGCCCAGGAACATGTCAAGGATGCAGAGCTTGTTCCAGTCACCCTTTTCCGTGGAGTGGATGATGTCACTGATGTCTGCCGGTGGAAGCGCCTTCACCCCGATGATGCTGGCAAGTCGGACCGGTGTGACCTCTGGAAGGACACGTCTGAGCAATGATGTGACCTGAAAAGAAGTGAGAATGACTGGTGAGAAACATGAATAGGATTTATTCTTTTCAGTGTAAAAAAATGTGTTAAGACAGAAAGAACTGTTTGTTTTTTTTAGAGTACCAGTACATGTTACAACAACTTTGATACACCCAAGGCGTTTTGTTGAGGAACAGTTATTGTGAGCATGAATTGGTTTGTTTACAAGAAAACCCCCACAGAGTATCTTTAAAACACCAAACTACTCCTCTGGCCGTGTGAAAGTGCTCTCGCCCACCTGTCTCTGTACTCTCGGGGAAGCCGTGTGCAGCAGAGAAAACAGGTCTTGCATAAGCGTCAGCTGCTGAGCGAGATACTGGCGGCCCACGTTGGAGCCGCTCAGAGCGAGCACCATGGACAGGAGCTCGAAGCAGTAAGCGTCCGAGGAGGCGTCGTCGTCGCTGGGCTGCGAGTTGGCGTTCTCTTTGCTGGAGATGGCGTGTTCCCACTCCTCCCTCACACGCGTGGCCTCCATGCGGATGGCCTGGACTATGTGCGCGCACACCTGGAAATGGAAAAACACCGCTTAGGTTAGAGGGGAAGAGATGGAAGAGAATAAAAAAGGTATCATTTGAATGGTTTAATGAAGTGGCTGTTGACCTGTTTCTGCAGGTTGGTCAGTTTGCTCCTGCTGAAAATGATTCCCACCATGTGTTCTTTGAGGTCTGCATCAGATGGTGCCTAGAAAAAAGGAAAAGGGAAAACGTTAGTTTAAGGTTTACTCAGTAATGGAGTCAGTTAAAGAGTGTATTTGTTTCAAACTTCAAACCTTATCTTCTCCCTCGGGTGATGACAACAGATTTTTCTCCTCCTGCTCAGGAGTTGGCTCAGCATCTCCACAGATAAGTTTACCAAAGACCTAAATGAACAAAACAAAGTGTAAACACTTGAGTCCTAGAAAACTACAATATGCTAATAAAACAAAGAATCATCAGGTGATTCTAAGAAGTATGTAGGAAGCAGCGAACGGACCTGTGATGTGATGAGGCGAAACACTCTGAGAGTCTCCGCCTCACAGTTCTTCTGCTGGGCCATGCTGGCTGAGATCTGTCCAAGAATCTTGATGCTCTCGCCCTCTTTCCAGCCGAGGACCTTAACCTGGCGCACCTCAGGGTGTTCTCGGGGCCCTTCAGTTCCACCTTGATCACATGATGATCCCCACCAGGGAGCTCACTCGTCACCCAGCCCATGTGACGCGAGTCGAGGTCGACCTGGGACGAAAAGGAACAAGGACGTTTGAATATGTTCTGCCAAGGAGCATGCAAACTGTAGCGCTATATCAACCAGCCTTATAAAACCACCATCTACTTTAATACGTCATCAAGTACTTCAGATAAGTTCATCATGATTTAGTGAAGAAAGGATAAAGAAAGTACATTTCTATATTTTAAAATGTATAAAGCACATAAAGAGGCTGAACATGGCTTTGATGTAAGTGAACCAGATTTAGTGTGCACTAAAAAAATACCCTTAAACTTCAACATCATTTTCACTTGTCAACCATTTTTATAATTTGTTGAAGATATGACAGCTAACAACATAACTATGTAATCTTTTTATTGTTTAATAATTTTTTCCTTTTTTTTTTTAAATTTAGTTTTATTTTTTCTGTATTTTTTTTCTGTATTTTATTATTTTCTGTCTGTTATTTATTTGTTTACATGTCAGTTTATTCTTCTTGTCATTGTCTGGCTGCAGGCTTACTGATGACCCAGTGCTCGGGGATTTGGGGATTGGACAGGTTTTCTTTCTGACTGTGTTGTTTGTGCTGTTGTTGTTTATGTTTTCGTGATATATTTGAAAAATAAAAATAGAAAGACCTTGATCAAAAAAAAAAAATCTTCAACATCATTCATTAAAGCACAAATTAAACTGGTTATACTGATATAACAATAAACTGACCATACCTGTTTGATTCTGCAGAGGTCCTCGACTGCTTTTCCACACAGAAATGTCACTGATGTGACTTTGTTCTGAGGATATCACAAGAAAAAAACATTCAAATAAATCCATAGAACAAGACTTTGCCTAATAGCCTACTGCATTTAAACTATATTTACTGTGTTTTATCCTCTTTAAACTAACAAATGAATGTCGGGTTTTGCTGTTGCCCTCTTACCCCGATGTCTCTGGAGTTGTCCACATGCACAGACACATTGGAGGCGTTTATTCCCTTCACACAGCTGATGGTGATGCTTTTGGTTTTGTTCTTGTCCTCATCTCCAGATTCCCAGAAGGTCTCAGTGGAGCCGTCTGTGAGGCTGCCAATCATCGCAGGACGGCTGGACGTCTTGATGTCGACTACGCTGGTCAGATCCTTCAGACAGGTCACCAGGCACAGATCCTGTTATCACACACACATCTGTCAGGTTAATGTGTTGTCATATAAACACAGATTCACGCAGTAAGAGCATTACTGATTGAACTGTGAGGACCAACAGGTGATTGTTCCGATGTGTTTGTAAGTAGATACGTGGTAGTTTTCTTGCCTGACTCATTGCTTCATAGCCTGACTGCACACTGATGTTGAAGCTCTCCTCGCTGTCTCCGTCATCCGACTTGGACAAGATGTTATTGATGTGATGGAAAACGTTGCTCTGGTGAAGGAACTGGTGGTCGGACTGCTTGAACTTGAGACTCCAGCACCTGATAGAATAAGTCATCAAGAAAATGTGTTAACTTAGAACCCAAGAAAGAGCAAGCGGTAGGAGATATTTCATACAATTTCACTTGAACAGTGGAAACATTCATAACTGGTCCCTAGAATGAAAAATGTGCAGAATGTCCCACGGGAATTTAATTTATTACTCATTTATCACTATAATACTTTGTTACACTCTCTTGGCAGTTCAGAAAATAGTTCCAAGTGCTGCCAAAATGAATTTCATTGCATTGGACATGCAAAGACAATAAAGTGTATCTCTTTTAGTGATTATTTCTGGGTTGGTATCGGCCTCCGGCAATTCCCAAACTGTACCTAAGTGCCATCTGTTGAAGTGAACTCCCGCTGGGAAGTGACATCATGAGGTCAGAGATGGTCTGGAGGAGGCGGTGGAAGGTGTGGGGGAGAGGATGAGCTGCCTCCCCGGCAATAACAATGTCTGACAGAGGATGTTCACACACGCCGAGGTCTCTTTCCTGTAGGATGCACGAGTGGAATTGAGCGTTATTAGAAAATGCACAGACATGGGAAAAAAAGTATTACTGCTTTCATGTAAACTCTGACTAGCCCAATACCTGTTCAACAACTTCCTTGTTCCCTTTGTTCTCATCGTCCTCCTCATCCTCGGGTTCAAACGGTGATGGGGTGAGAGATGCTACAAAATGCCAGAGGATGTCGTGCAGGGAGGTGGTCTGAATCACATTGCACAGCAGCCAGTTGAAAGCCTGAAGGGGACACACAAAAAAAAAAATCACTGTAATCAGTCTCAATACTGTGCATAGTAATAGTCTGTCTTCCTGTTGTGGTGCCGCAACAGGCAGCAGCTTGCTACAGCTGTTCAACATCGTTCTTTGACTTTTTATTTACCTTCAAGGATATTCAACGTGATTAATAAAGTTTGATCTTATCTTATCGTATAAGCTATGTACTAATGATGTGCGCTACTAGCCAACGTAACACTCAAACATCGTCCCCCTCGCTAGTCTGCTCCAGAATTACAAGGTCGGCTACACAAATCATTATTTTTATACGATGGCTCTAAGTGCCATCTTCGATTTTGACTGTTTTCTGATCGTTTCTTTACTTTAGACTTGTCTGTCCAACTTACTTTAGACTTGTTGGAATTTAAATTCCTGTTCTATTGAGTAAGAAATGAGTCACTAACAACATCCCTACTGTGTACAGATATTTCATTGATAATCAAACAATACCCAGAACACAGATTGCTGCACAAATGGCTAAATAGAACTAGTCTGAGCTCTGAGATTTAAATAGATGAATTACCTCCATGGCAAACACCCTGCAGGCAGACTTTCTCAGTGCATGCCTCATGGCCACCTCCAGGCCCTCCAGGTCGTGATGCTGGATGACAAAGGCGAGGACGGGCCACTGGAAGTTCCTCTCCCCTTTACTGAGGGAGCCGTGAGCCGAGATCAGCCTGGAGAGCTCAGGAGACGGGTGCCGTAGCAGCGAAGATCCCACCTCTGTAATGAGACGAGAGGTTAGAGGTTACATTGGATGCTCTAATTCTCTCGTATAACGCTCGTATCATGGTATGTAATAATTACCTGCATCTCCACTGTGCACCCTGCGTCTGGGCACGGCTTTCACCCGAGCTGGTGAAGGCGAGTGTTGCTTGTCGTACTCCGATGCTACGACCGAGTAAGACCTCTGGAACACTGTTCGTTTGGCCGTGTCGCTGTCTGTGATGGGGCTGGTCTCCAGACTGAAAGACAGTCAGTAATGGCAAAAAAAAAAAAGACTCTTATTGTTTAGCCCTGCAATTCGATGACATCAACACTTCAGGCCGTTGATATAACCCTTTAATAATTGTTTAGGTTTTGGAGAAAATAAAAAAAGTGTACTGACAAAAAAAAAGAAATCTCCTATGTGTATTCATTAAAGGAGACACTGAAGGAATTTTATGTTGAAAAGGAGAAAAGAAGATACAATAAACCACCTTGTTAACGTAGTTATCTCTTTTTCTTTATGAAAACACCTAAATGAGTCTGTAAGTATGAATGGAGCAAGAAAACTCTTTTGTACAAGACAAGTTAAAGGTGGCCAGATAACAAGGCATAACAATGGACTTCAAACAAGAGGAAATTAGATCTGCAGCAGGAGACAGGAAACAACAGATACACAATGGACAACATGAGAAAAATACAGACATACAGAAAATCCAGGTCAAGTGAAAAACAGGTACTGTACATCAACCACACTGAGCCAGAAGCTGAAACAGTTCACACACACAGAACAGGAAAGTGGATTTAGTCAAATAAAGTGGCGTACAGTCGGTAAAATAATTTATTTTGGAGCACATATTCTAAACTAAATGTTAACTCTAAAACTATGTAGCGGTCCGAGGAGATAGTCGGTGTCAAAATCAAATTTTCTTCTTGGCTGTTCCTTTTATTTATTCATCAGTGTGGAAAAGTCAATAAAACGCCGATCGACCATGACTCGATATCATGCATGTGCGACGTTCTATGTCATGTATACAAAGAAGAAGATGGTGAATGAGAACATCTGTAACAAGGAGTCACAGTCTGAAATGTACTCGTTGTGTAAGCATGCACACAAAGGGAGATGGGAAGTGATTAAAAGCATAGTACTATGAAGTGTTACCTAGGGGGCATTGATTTCATGTTGCTCTCTGGTTCCTCAAACACATTTGGACAGGCGTCAGGGGTGACTGAAATATAAGGCGCGGGAACGGACGTCGATCGCAAATACCTCATCTCGTCCTGGAAGAGGTTATCATCCTGGTAGGCCCCAAAGTTCTCGGTGTGTTGCCTGAGGGACGAGAGGAGAGGGGTCTCAAATCTTTTATGAAGGCAACATGTTTCTGCAGGTAACTGATCTGTTAAAAAAAAAAAGTGAATAACTGAGCTGTTAGCTTACCTTGCGAGGGTCTGAAGGTACAGACAGCCCATTTTGTTCGGGATTTCGTCTGACACGCCCTCCTTGAGGCTGGGGAGCAGCTGGGAGTGAAGCGGCCGGGGTGGATGGTGACACAGCATGCTGGGCTCAGCAGCACTGCTGAGGGAGAGCAGGAACAAAGCGTTTGCCCGGATCACCTGGTGAGCCTCCATGGTGGGCAGAGCTCTTGGAGTCTTCACCTGCAGAGGTTTCTTCCTGGACTGCTTCACCTGGAGAAAAAAAAACACAAGCAGGAAGTCAGAATCTTTTAAAAAGCGGGATACAGTAGCACATATCCAAGCACCAAAGACAAGCATCAAGAGGCTACCTTTTCCCTCGCTGCAGTCTGTTTCTCTCTCAGGTATTTCTCCCGACAGCGATCACACACGAGGTACCAGGTGCTGCCCCCGATGCCTCCGTCTCCACAGTTCCCTGCCCAGCCGCCACAGAAGTGTCCGATGCTGTTGTAGCCCTGGCCTCCAGCGTAGCGACCGCAACCTGACAAACAGATTCACAAAGAAGAACGTTAAAGGCGCTGATTGAATTTAGGAGATCATGTTAGTAAGAAAACGTCCCTCTGTTCCTACCTGGGTGAGCCTGTCTCATGTGGTAGGTGACAGGGTAAGGATGAGACTCCCCACACAGCTCACAGATAGTGTCTTTTTCGGGTCCACCCATGGCCAGCTGTGCCATCTCTCCGAACAGATTCCCCCTCGGACGCACCTCCGCCTTCTCCCGTTTCTTCTTCTCCTTCTTCGACTTCTTGCCGTCTTTCTCGTGCTCCTTCTTTTTCAGGATGGCGCTGGAGCCCGGGCTGGGGAAGATCATGTTCTGAGTGGCCGCCTTTATCGTGGCCATGGAGATGTCCTCCCAGAACGCCACCAGATGCTGCAGCGTCAACGGCAGGATGGACTTCGCCCTCATGGACGGATGAGAGGTCATCTCGTAGGAAGCGGCCTCTCCTTTCCCGTCCTCGCACTTCTCCGGCAACGGAGGCTCCTTCAGCATGGAGAGCACCTTGTTCTTGTTGATGCTTCCCATTTTGGAGATGTCGGGCCCGTGCGGCGCAATGTTGAACATGTTGAGCGCCGAGGAAATCTCTAAGGAGTGGCGGTTCTTCAACTTGCTCTCCTTCTCCTCGGCGCCCTGTCCTCCCAGGGAGCTGCGGATGGGGGCGTGCTCTTTGGTTAAGTCTGGGTTGAACTTGAGGAAGGACGAGCAGGCCATTGCGTCGTGGACGATACCTTCATGCCACAGGAAAGCTGCAAAGACAGCTCGTGCACATTCGGCCACAGAGGGAGACATGGCCTGTTTGGCGGGTTCTGTGACCCTCGATGTGCTCTCCCCTTTAAACAGAGGCCCCGATTTGTCCTTTTTGGGCCGCGTGTGTCGGCTGGAGGCTTTGCGGCTGACCTTGGGCGACGAGCGACTCTCCAGCTCCTCTTTGACGGGGGCTTTGCCGATGCTAAAGTGCACCTTGCATGATCCCTCTTCGTTATTTTGGGCCTCCAAGTTCTCATCGTTGCCCTCGTCGTTTGAGAGGAGAGCACTAGAGCAGCACACCTCCACCACCTCGCTATGAAGGTTTTCTTGGGTCACATGGGGGGAAGGAACCCGATTCTCTGCATTATTATGCATTCCTTTGTTTGGATCTTTAGGAGAGAGTTTGGGTTTGGGAGAGGTAGATCTGCCCCGAAGCGGCTCTGTAAGCGGAACCTTCTTCTTTCTTAGTGTGTCTGGATCAAGAGTGTATGAATCTGATTTGGACCTCTCCCGGGGAGGGTCCAGCCGTGCTTTGGAAGGGCTGACTTTAGGTGGGGTGTTCTTGTCATGGTGGGTTGAGGAGGAGTTCTGGGAGGAGGTGCTGGAGGGACTAGACCTGCCTGAGGAGGAAACGCTCTTCTGTTTGGGGGAGGAGGAGCGAGAGCCAGGGTTTGGAGACTCGGCGCGTAGTCCAGAGTTTCTCCCGTCAGCCTTTAGGGCCTGCAGGGTGTTGTGATTGGGCGAGTGGGAGCGGCTGTGAGAGTCCGACCTCAGCTTGCCCGTGTCTGAGCGAAGGATGAGGGCTTCGCTCGCTGAGAGTCCACCTTCCCCCGTCTTAGTCCTGCTCTGCTCCGATGAGCGGCTTCCCCGCCCTTCCTGTTTGGGCGAGCGGTTCTCCTGTCGGTGTTTGGAGGCTGGAGACATGGGCCGCGCTCCGGACATCAGGTTCCCTCGCTCGCCTAAACGTTAATAATTTAAAAAATTGTTACACCACAAAAGTGGACTAAATTAACTAAGTTAACATGTGGCCATTTTACTCTACACACAAAAAAATCAAGACCTGCATAAAATAAAACATTGGAGCATTGAATCTAGAAGGTTAAATGAAATGAAAGGAAGAAAGACAGAAAACTGAAGTCTCATAGAAAAGAGTGAGTGATATATTTTCTGATTATTATTATTATTGTTGAAGACTTTTAATTTACCAGCTGGGGAATATCTCCCACAACTTTGTCCGTCTACTTTTGTACAAGATAAACTCTTGGATGGATGAAGACAGCTGGTGGGTTATGGAAAAAGCTGATGAACGATGGATGCCAGACCAGACGTGGGGCCTCTACCACTAATACAGAATCCAGCCTTAGAGATTGGGATTCCAAAGTTGAATTGATAGAAGTCTAGTAGCCACAGACACCTTTCAGCTTTCATTTTCTTATGTGTTAAGACAAGTCTCACTGAAGGGCCGCAGTTTTAGAGTTTGTCCCTAGCTAACAGAAAAACCCTTCAGATCTTTGAACAGGTTGCGTCCAACAGACTCAGACAGATGAGTGGCTGATTTCTCTTTTTAATGTTAACGTCATTAATTTAACATTTTCCAAACATTTCCCTGCTTATTTATAATGTTTAAATTAACAACTTGCCTCATCAATGGTTATTGATTTTTAACACCATATAAGCACTATTTATTTTGTATTTGTTGTACATTATTTGTTAAGTCTTACAAGCTTCACTCACCAATGTTAATTGCTCTACAGATGTTGTTTGTGATGTGTGTGTGTGTTCTTTTGCTCTGCTGTCATGTATGCAAACTTTATACATACTGATATTTGTACACAAATTAAGTTCCACAAGGATAAATAAAGTTATTTGGGGTTTTTTTTGTGTGTTCTTGAGTTCCTTCCCACCCTCTGTTCAGTCTGAGGGATGCATTGCATGCTGTGATTACCCACCCTTTTGCCTGAGAGCGACAGATGAGAGAGCAGTGCCATGCCCAGCCACTGACACGCTGCTTTTGTGCACGCGCTCACGAGAAGCAAGGCTGCGAGATGAACCATCTACAGCGGAAAACAGTGGAGCAGGTAATGAAAAAAAAAAAAAAGGGAAGCATTGAAATGCAAGAGGGACGCCACAGAGAGAAAGACAGGAAGCACAGAGAGGCAACGGGGTCAAGTCATGAAGGTGAAATAGGAAATAAAGATTTAAAGGTAAAATGTAAAGAGTAATGACAAAGATCAATGAAACAGAAATGTAGAGAGGACCACTTATAGAGAAGGAACAGAGAGAGTACATAGCCCAGGAGGTGTTTGTGCTATCAGTTTCATATCATATATGTAGTTTGTTTCCTCCCCTCATGTGGAACATTTGGGATGCCACCAGATGAAAGTTTCCGTCTTTGTCACAACAACAAAACATTTAGGATTCGCTCCATTTTACGGCACACAAATCCTTTTTGTGTTGAGTAGATTTAAAGGATCTCAGAGACAAAAATCCATCGTTTTTAAGAGCCTCATGCTAAATTTATATCATGTTCAAGATCAAAGAAAGTAATTGAAGCAATCTATAGAGAGTAAACATAGGGCAAGACTGATGACATGAGTGTGGTAAATCCACAAAATGAAGCAAAGAAATTTGATCTTTTTTAAATCTTTGAGACACCTTCTGGAGCTCTGTAAGGAAATGACCACCATATAAAAAGAAAAGAAAAAAAGATTCACAAAAGCAGAAAGACAGTAGCATTACGAAGAAGAAGTCGACAGGGAGAAAAGAGAGCTACACAGGCTGGAAAATGTACACACACACAAATACTGTATTTGATCCTGTTCTTACATAAAGCTGTTTAAATTGTATTTGAATAACCCAGAAAACTCATTTTTTTATAGTTCCATGATAAAGCTGATTTTTATAAGCGGACCTAACCACTATTTTGTCGTTTTTGCGGTGAAGCTCTGGCTGTTTGAGGCAGAAAATGACAAGTTGTTAATCAAGGATGAAATATGCAGATCTCACATTAAAGCAGCAAAGAAAAAGATGAGAAAAAACAAGAGAAAGCTGACTGAACAAGAGAGCAAGCAGAAAAAATAAGCGACTTAGCTTATTACTTCAGCACAAAGAATATACCTTTAACAAGACGTTTAGCCTGGGATTAAAGTTTGAAATCTTGTTTTTTTAAAACTCCAGTTAGTGCATGACAAGGTGGTTTCCCCTTGGTTTGTTCTTTAAAATCAAGATTCAAACATTTAAAAATAGACACCGTAGCTTGTTAAGTATATTGTTGTATAATAGAACATAATATGGTGTGTCCTGTGTCAAACATCACCTATGGAATCATTATAGAACAAAACAGAAAGGAAAAGGTTCGACACCTTTGCAAAGCAAGCGCTGTCAGAAAGCAGGACAGACTTACTCAGAAGCTGTGGTTGTGGCTGAGACAGTTGGGAGGGGGATTGTCCAAACACAAATGGGCTGTGGACAAGGGAGGAGGAGGGAGGAGGTTGGGCGGCTTGCTCAAATACGGAGGAGGAGGAGGAGGAGGGAGCTGCTGAGAGGAAGGGCCCAGACTGAATGGAATTCAGTATGGCGCTCAGCCGGTCACCTGCAAACATGGAGACAGAGGATGGGGAAAAACTACAGCTTGTGCTATGGTTTGAGGTTTCCATAGGGGGGTTGGGGGGGGGGTGGGGGGTGGTGGGGGGTAAGAATCATTCAGGGTGTGTTTTCTCTGTCATTCAGTCACTTGACAAATGGGAGGAGCTATTTTTGTGCTTCCATGTTCCAAGAAGTGAAGCCCACTATTTTGTTCTCTGTTTGGATGAGCGTTCAAAAAAAGAGGAGAGGACGGGCCTTACTGTTTGACTGAAAAGTTAGGAGGTACGAGCTTCCTTTGCTGACTCTGCTTAAGGCAAGTTGAAGCAGAAGACTGGGCTTAACCTGAACTGGTAAGAGAAATTCAGAAGCCGTAGTTTAGAGGCGTTTTCTTCCAAAGTCCAGTTATTAAAGTTGTTGTGAGGATTGAGGAACAAAACGGACAAAAGAAAAAAATCACATTGTCATCCCTTTATGAAGGTAAAAATCAGAGCAACTTATCAGCTGTCTAACCTGCAAGCGTCTGAAGTAATAGAATACTTCCAGGACCTGAGGCTCCTCCCATTTAGCATCTCTATTTGGGCAAAGGATATAGAGAGGGAGGGGCAGAGAGGGTTCTCCGCTTGATACCGTCTATTTCTAAAGAGAAGAGGGTCCTCAGCTGAAGTCTTGTATGTTCTCTGAGACCGTTCTCCATATTCTGCACGTTCAGCTGACACTGCATCAGGCATCATTCAAAGGTTCTTACTAGTTGTCAATCAGATACAAAACTCAGTCACTGAGTCGTTTTTTGGCCCAAAAAAAAAAAAAAAGAGAGACTGCTTTGTTAAAGCACAGCTGGGAGAAATGGACCATCATGGGTTGCTCAGAGTTTGGCTCAGGCTGCCGTCTCATGCTGACCAGGCTGAATGGATTCATTTTGCCGCCTTAAAAGCATGACTGATTCATCCAAAATGTTGTTCAAAAAAAGTGACACAGAAACAAACCAAGAAAATGTTGGTTTCTTAAAGAAGATGCACCGCACCTCAAGAGGTGGTGTTGAAGAGAACGAAAGCTGAAAAGGTATGACTTCATCTCCATGTCAGAAGTGTGGCTTCATCCATAAACATCCTATTTAAGTCTAAGGTTTGTCTTCCTCAAGTGACTCTGAATGAAGTCACCTTTGAACATGTCATGGCTTAATATGAGCTTTTTGGTGGTTTGATTACAATCCCACTCAACTGCAGTGGGACATTCATTCACATTTAGTGTATTTGAGCATTATCCAGACACTTACAATGACAATAAATTGAGTCTTTGTTTTTACTTAAACTATAAGCAGTGAAAGAGAAACTGTGTATAATGAGGTTTAGCCATGGTTAATTCTTAAGCGGGGCTGTGTGCGAACAGGTCAGCCTCTTTTCTTTAAGGGTTAAAGAAGAGATGGGAGGTAAGCCATCTGAAGGACATTTGACAGAGTGTCAGCAGGACATACAGGGAAGACGGTTTATAGAAAGATTTGGGGCCAGCCAATCTTGGACAGTGTGGCAGTCAGAAGTGATCAGTGTTAAACAATATTCTTAGAAAACAATGATTATGTTAATGATCAAATGTTCTACAAGAGACTAAATTAAGGCAACAAAAGGGGAAAGAGTGAATCACAGATGTGTGTATGATCATCGGTATTGGACTAGCCCACAGTACCCAACTATGTGCAACCTGTGGTTTTCTAAATGACTGGAAGCACATTGACTGGCCCATGCGCACACACACACACACACACACACACACACACACAAACAGACTTACAGGCATATATGCCTGACATAGCAAAGATGTGAGGCATGAAATAACAGTAAAAAAGACTTAAAAGCATGCATAAATAAAAAGAGATAACAGATCGGTGACTGACGACTCGACTGACTGACCCATCCTAGATCACAAATAACTTATCGCTGCTCTTCATCATTATCATTATTTTTAATATAAGAGTAAAAGATCAGTGTCTGCATAAAAACAAAGATGGTGGTATGTACCCAAAGACTTGTTTTATGCAGATACAATTCTATGCTGAGGATGGGACAGTGTACCAAACTGCTGTGAGGAAAGTCTCAGACTAAAGAATGGGCAGTAGTCAGTTGTAGTGAAGCTCAAAACAAAGCAGGAATTTATCAAGACAAGAGTGCAGGGTGGAGTCAGAGGTGAGGTGTAAACACATAGGTATACATCAGTACTGGTTAAACATTCATCATCACTCCAAATCTTTGGCTAAAGACGCGAATATACAGGATAAAACAAAGCCAGTGTCGAAAGAGAAGTGATATAAAGATTAAGGAAATGTTTTTTTTAAATGTCCCTCTTTAATCTTGAACACATTAGGTTGACCCTTACCTTTGTTGTTGGAGATGCCGTAGTCGAAGCCCTGTGCACCGTTCGCAGTTGCGGCCCTGTTGAAGGCCTGCACAGAGAAGGGGCTGGGCGGTGGGGTCTGAGCCCCGTGTTCAACAAGTACTTGTTCTACAAGAGCAAAAATAAAGAATGTTTTTTTACACTTTCTGAACTATTTTGAAGATTAAAAAAAGAAAATTCTCTTGGTGATTTTGCTTACCGTCATCATGACGTAGATACTGAGTCCCTCCGCGGTCCCTGGCCAAAGACCAGGCCTCGCCCTCATCGCTCTCACAGAACTCTACTACACTGTTCTTATCCAGCTGCACCCACGTCCCCTCTGAGTTGACCACCTGATACACAAACAACACTATTTATCCATACTCACACACCCTATCAACAGTTCTCTATTCAAAAAATTAAAAAAAACAGTCAGTCATTATTCATTTCAAACCCAGTCAGTGCAATCATATTATTACTGTGCAGAAACATGACACAATGTCTTTTCCAGTAAATCAAATACATGCAAACATCATTAACACATTAAAAATCCAAAGCAGCAGATCACAGGGTTTTGATTTTGTGTATCAGCAGACACTGCAGGACAAAACCAATGTAGTAAAACTTACTCTAATAGCGTATTGCATGAGGTTGTTTTTTCTCAATTTCCTAACATACATCATTTTTGATAAACAAGACAAAGACGGAGGTATTAGTATGTGCAGGCTGAAACTCTCAGATCCACACAGGGCATACAGGCTCAGAGAGGAAACTATTGAACAGCATGACACACCACAGCAGCCATTGAATGGTCATTTCCAACAAAAAAAACAAAAAAAGTGGGGAAGGCTCCGCTTATCACCAGGCAAAGAGACGATTTAGAAAAGTTATTGAAAGCATTTTTTTTTTTCAAGAAAGTCACAATCAAGGCACAGAGAGGCTCCAGCAAATTAGTGATCAGACTTCCACTGATAAGTCTCAAGGCAGCTGATCATGACCCCCCTGAAGCTGCAATGGATTTATAAAGTTGAAATTAGTAGGTCAAGAAAGCACGCGGAAGATGTTGCAGCCACAGGAGCTGATAAGCCCTCAATGAGAGGAAAAGATACAGAACACACACCCACACCCCAAATCATCTGGTGTATTACTATCAGAAAGAGAGATTACATCCTTTACATTCAAATCAATTCAGTTTATTAAAGAGGGAGCTCTTCATTAAGGCCACCAAGCAACCAACATTAGCTCAGGTACATTAGGTGATCTGAACAGACTGACTTATTCAACTGCAGCCACAAAAAAAAACCAAACATTGCATTATTTGGGGTGAGTGCGTACCTCGCCTATGGCCTTGACCTTGTTGCCAAGAACTAACATTCCAATGGGGATACCCCTAAGGTTTGGGCAGCTTCTGATGTTGTGACCAGAGGGGCCGGTCTTCACTACCTTATAAAGCCCCGGGCCGCCGCCCTGCCCTGCCCTGTACTGCACCCGAATGGGGGCCTCGTGGGAAGGGCAGCTGCTCACCTCCTTTATGTTCTCCTCCGATTGGCCACTGACCTCCTGCAAGAGGTGAGAGCATGAATTAGAGCCAAAAAAAAAAAAAACAGGAACACAACAACATGCTGCAAAAAAAATTGTAAAAGATCAGGATAAGGTGTTGTCTATTTAAGTAGCTAAATATCGTGCTAAAGAGCTACTGGTAGCTGTGTAGCAGGGGGTTGTAAAAGATGTATGCTAAGCAGCCCTACTCATATATAAAATTTACGCGTTTAGGATTAGGCCTTTATCCAATATTTACTGAAGTTCCTCGAATTGCCTTGAAAGTGCCTTTTTGTTTGGCCTTCAAAGCTTTGAAACTTTTGTAGTTATTTGCATTCTTTTCAGAGAGTTAGATGAGACAACTCATACCAATCTCTTTCCTGCGTCACCGCTCGTGTATTTTATATTCACTGTACTAATACACAGACTGTATAAAAAAAGATGGATGACTTGACAGTTCCTCAAAAGTGAAGCTAAAACAAGCTTTCACAGCTGACTGGCTGCAGTGAAGGTTAACAGTTGGGACAATGGTCAAACTAGAAAATCGAAGTAAACGCCAAATACGTTTTTCTTTTGTAATTGCAGTAAGTTCTTATTATGCTGACTTAAGTTTGAGTGCTCACTTTTCTGGGAAGTTTAGTTTACATTTTTTGAATTGATGTTAAGAAAGTATTATACTTCTGCGATTGACAGCTCTGTTGACAAATGTTGCTCCTGAGGCGCTGTGTGCACCGGACTAGCAGAGTAAGGGGGGGAACGGTGTGAGGGAACACACTCACACAGCAGGTCCCATGAGTGTCTGCTTCACACGATACAAAAATCTGTTACGCTGTGGAGTGTGCCGATCTTAAGGATCTTTGCAGTTTTATTGGTTTAAGTTTGGATGTGTTTTTTTGGGGGGGGAGGGTTATTAAAAAAGTGTGGGATGTCAGATCTGCAGCAACTCTGGCTTGAAATGAGGTCATCAAAGTCAGCACCTGTTGCAGAGGTATTGTGGCTTCTATTTTGGAGGTTGAGACCAGTCATCCATCTTTATACACAGTCAATGGGACAGATATGCGAGTGCTATCATTTTTCTTTTTATCTAACTCTCATCAGAATGAAAATAACATTACCCAGAATATCAAACTGTTCCTCAGAACTACACAGCCATTTTTTAGATAAATAAAACTCTTGCATCTTCAACAGAAATATGTTATTTTCCAAAAGTTTGTTTTGCCTCCGATATTAAAATGTAACTTTTGTATAAAAGCTTTTCTCAAAATGTAGGAGCCAGGTACTCAACACAAGAATTCAACACTCCAGTCAGCACTGCAGTGAAGTAGTTAAATGATTCACATTAAGTTGAACATTCACTCGTTTTCATACAGTCTAAGGGGAGGCATGCTATGAAATACAGGGTTACAGGACTGGATTTGTAAGACAGGCCTGTCAAACACCTCATGCAACAGACTGGACATTAGTATCTTCAACCCCATGCAACATTCAAGCTTGAACTGTTATTACTTCAAAAATCCAAAATGTGATCACTGCAGGAGTCTATGGGACAGTGGCTGCTGACATATGTTACTGTCACTAGAACAGACAACCATGCAACTGTGGGTCAACCTTTTACTTTAACACTGTGAGGAGGCTATAACGTCACAAGGGGTTCAAGAGGACAAGTAAAGCAACAGATAGATGATACGCTACGGGGCAGTCAAGCTATGTATCCCTCCTTGATATAGAACTCACCTGTGGTGGGAATTTAGTTAAAGGGGTCCACGACAAAAAGCCGATATCCCTGACTCCTTGGCTAGCGTTAAAGACATTCTGAGCAACAGATCGTAAGACAGTCAAGAAACAGTAGACGACTCCGGAGAGGAGGGAAAACAGGATGGGGGAAGACGCTTGTGTATTTTTTTGGAAGAAGGAAAAAAAATACTGGCTTGGTTCCTCTGTAAATTCCAGCTTCAGAGGTGATTTGAGAAGGTAAAGAAGAGAAGACGGACTCTGACTGGTGTCAGATTGGCCAGATAGTGGAATAGTGGATCCGTGACAAAAAGGAGGCCATGAGGAATACAGGCAAAGCCTGTCAAATGTTGGTACACTTTACAGTTAGTGTAGGATCAAATGCGTCGAGGGAATACAAAACCCAGTTGCAGGGGCAGAAAAAAGAATTGACACTTCACTCCAAACACCACAGGGTCAATATTTCCAAATCCACAACCAAATAAAGGACAGAGTTGAAACTTCCAAAAAAATTCCCCACTTGGATGATGTAGTGTGTCATGCTGTTCAGACAGAGACCTTACATGGAAGCCACCTAGCGCCTAAAGCATCCCAATGCACAGGTGGAATTGTGGAGCAGTAGAGGTACAATTTCCCTTGAAAACTTTTTGTTGACCAGTGATTGCTTCATGACAGAAAACCACCTAGAATTTTAAAATATCATCTTGAAGTATTTTTCCATTTTCTTAAAAAACACCCAGTCTGCATTTGATTTGTGCTGCGTTTTATGGCGGTTTTTTCAGGCATGGAGCAAAATGTGAGGGAAACTCTTTAATCACATGCTTTGGTGTTTGAGTGTTTATGAATTGTGATTGAGAGGCAATGAGGAAACGAAGACTCAACAGTGCAGACTAAACCAACTTCACCACAGGATGAAATTGCTCCTTTACTACCGTTAATCATTGTCTGTCAATTCCTTGCATTGGGGTTCACTTCAATGCACTACACATATACTACCTAATGCATGTGACCATTGTTCAAGTGTTGTGTCCATCTAAACACATGATGGTCATGTTATGATCCATTTTCTGCATTAAAACATGAATTAATGCATGCAGGCTCCAGGCTGCTGTTCCTGTGCACAGTGTGTTAGTGAAAGTTTCATACTCAGTGCTGCTTTAGTAGTAATTCATGCAAGAGAATTTACAGTTATACTCTGGTTAAGTTCTTAATGCGCCATGCTTCGAGTGCATTTGGGGAATTGGTGCCAAACACCAGGAGACCTTGAAGAACCCTGATCATTAAACAACAAACTGGACATCTGAGCTTTTCCCCAAATGAACAGCACAGGAGCCTCTGCCATTATCAAACTGAGACTGACCGCTCGCCCGGCAGGCCTTCTTCTACTTACGTCGGCTGGGACCAGTAGGCTCCTGCCCAGGTGCTGGTTAAAAGAGAGGCACCAGGCTTCAGTGTACCCATTCATGCTGGGAACATACTTCTTTACTGTTTCATCATTGAGCCTGAGCCATACACCATCATCATTGTGGATCTATGGGAAAACAAGCAACAGGGCAGAGCAGAGCCATGCCTTCCTGTTACCATGGAAACAGGATGGGCAGTGCCCTCACAAACACACATTCAGCACTTCTGAGGCTGCAGGAAAGTCTCAAGTCCAGATAGAGGAGAGAAAGTTGCAGTTTACAATTGATTTAGGTAAGATCTAGTGATGATAGTGGAGTGAAGGTATTATGCAGGACTGGCAACTATCCAGAATCTGTGTTGCCTAACAGTGCAACAAAGAACTAAAGGAGGGAAACAATTTGGATTTATACTGCCGGCATTCAAGCCTTTCATGTAGCTTCAGAGTGCTTTGCAAGAGTATGAAGCAAAATAAAGTAAGAGCAACAAATTGATAAGCTTTAAAAGAAAGAAGTTATCATTAATTTAGCGAGATTACAAGACAAAAATCAAAGAAGCCATTAAAAAGAAGACTTCTTAGGTCTAAGAATCCACAATAAAAGTTATGATTACAATACTTGTGATTTCATTCCTACTGATTTAAAGAAGAGTAGGCAAGAAAAAAAAAAGAATTAAAGTAGAAAGTGCTGCAGCTACCATAAGTATATAATGTAAAGATATTCTGCCTGGTTTACAATCAATTACCTCGTCAATGAAAGTGATGGTGCCATTGACATGCACTATGCCTATCTGTTCACTCTGCAGCGAGGGGTGACTACGCACACGCAGGCCTGCGCTGTCCTTGGACACAAATTTGCGGACCTGAGAGAAGCAGAAGGGAGATGAAGACCGTGAGCCGCAGGAGCAAAGAATAGTAAGACAGTCAAAAGGGAAGAAAAAAAAAAAAAAGGGAAAAGTCAAGAAGGTGCAGCAGGAGGAAAAGAGGAAGCAGGATCAGTGACAGTTGGAGATTGCATGCTTTTCCTCACACAAAGCCCGCTTCCAAATACACACAAGAAAACAGCGAAAGAAGGGAAAACTCCAGGAGCTTAATTTTCAGTAGCAGCAGTTGTTTTTAAATTCATACTGGTGCTTGGAAAATGGAATTTATGACGCCAATACTTTTGCTTGTTTCCCCATTATGGATTGTAAAATAAAAAAATACCACAAGTTTCACAAAATGATGATGACTGCAACATGTCTGATGTTGGCTTCCTGGACAATTAGCATTTATTGTAACGTCCAAATTTCTCTTTTGATATTCCTCACAAACAAATTCTGCAGTTTGAATGGAAGATTACAGGCTGAGATACAGAGCCACTAGTGATTACTTTAAAATGCAAATTCAAACCATAGTAGAGTAAAAAAAAAAAGTAAAATAAAAAAGCCAATGAGAATATTTTTAAATAAATGCCAGCAAAAAGGTAAAAGTCTGGCAGCCCTGGTTCAGTCTGCTTAGTTTTGTACAGATATCTGCCCCTTTATGCCTCACCAATTTGTCCACTTTTCTACAGAAACCTATCATCTTCCCCTGACAGCATCCAATCATTTTTTTTGTGTCCATTGCTTTTTATGGACCAGCATTTGTTTCGTTTGTCTGAGCAACAAACCAAAAGAAGGAGGTAGAAATGGCTAAAAGCTGCAAATAAAACAACTCTTATAACAAATAACTGAAAATGGCAATACCAACAACCTTTTCATAATTACAATAACAAGTCCTTGTTCAGGTGTACATATAGAAATATTGCTGAGTGAAGCGTTTAAGAGTTAAGTTGAAGTGTTAATAGTGTACCAGACAGGACGAGTTGTTTCAGTTCATTTGTATTTGGTGGGTGATTTCAAGCATGCATGCCTCACATATGTGTGTGTGTGTTCGCATGTTCATGCCACTGTTGGTTAATCAGACTAAGAAAGCTCACCTTGCTGGGCTGAGGTTCAGCCTTTGGTTTAACCATCTGAGTGCCAGGTGGGATCATGCCTTTGGGAGGATCTTTGACTTCAACCTCTAAGCCAGCATCTGAAAGAAGAAACAGCTCACAGCTTTACACCTCGGTGCACCGTCCATTCGAATATGACAATTCATTAAATGCATAGTAGCTGCCACAAGATACATCCCTTTAAATAATAGTTATCTCTGTGTTCCCTTTATTAACAGTACAGGGAAATACTTCAGGAGAAACAGAGTTATTCTAAGAGACTTCGACAGCCACGTACCTATTTCAATGCCATCTATGGTGACATGGATTGTATAGAGGCCTACAGCTCCCGGAGTCCAGTTCGCGCTGTAGGTCCCATCAGTGTTGGCACGAATCAGCATGTTCTCACTGGGTCTGTGTGGGATATAAATAATTAAATAGAATCTGAATTGGTTCTTTTTTTTTTTTTTTAAGCTTGAGAGGCGGCTGTGGATTCGAGAGTCGAGCATCTCTCACTGGAATGTCAGGGCTTCGATCCCACGCTACTGCAGCAACATGTCCCGTGTGTCCTTGACACACAGACACTCAGCCCCGAGTCCTGCTGCATCGGCGGCAGCGTACGAATGTGTATGAATGAATTTGTTAACACTGATGACATACAAGCCCCTGCCATCAGCGTGTGAATGTGTACGTGTGGCACCATTTACTGTCTCGCTAACTTACCTCTTTGGTGTTGGGGAGGCAAAGCGCAGCTCTTCAAATGAGTAGTTTTCATATGCCTGAAATAGACAAAGAGCAGAAGTATGAAGGTACAAACAAAGTTGTGGGTCGACCAAAATATCTATCCAATTTTGGAAACTACAAAAAGTAAGCCATGTTGATGTTCACTGAACCAAAACCGTATCTATTAATAGGTCAATCAACCCCTTGGAAACATCGTGAAATATGTTTCTATAGGACTCATCACAGGTGAGATGCTGAGTGAGTTCAGGCCCTGACACATGAGGCTGACCTTCATCATGGTGATCGCAATGTATCGAGCCTCTTTCACGATCATGGGCTCGTACGTGGCCTCCAGCTTGGGCATGGGCAGACCTCCAAAAGTCAGGTCAGGGCCAGAGGACGAGGGAGAGGAGCTTCCAGGTAAACGCTGCAGCTTCTTCATATTGTCAGGCTGCATCGACTTCTTCTGCGAGACAGGCACAGCCTTTACCTCCACCTGAGGATTCAAGAGGTAAGAAAGTTAAGTCAGAGGTAGTAGTGAGTGGTTTCATTTCTATAAATATTTATCTCACAGAAGCAGAAAAGCCATAACACTCGTTCTGACCTTCATGTTGGGGACATGCACCACATCCCCATACTGGTCTTTGGTCTGTACGACTACAGTTGCTGGCCATCCACAGCGTATGTCATCTTTGTTCAGGATCAGAGATGTCTTCTGGGGGTCTGCGTAGGAGTCTGGCTGCAGCCACCTGGACGGAGAAAAAAGAAAAAACAAGAGAGAGAAGGTATTCAATTGTTATCTTTTAACAAGTGAAGCACAGCAGAAGTAAGATGCACAAAAGGGAAAATGCACAGTTGATATTTTGCTCTGGTCAGGATGAATAAGAGAGACTGTGCACATTCACCTAGCCAGACGTCCTCCGCTGGAGTTCTGTACACAGGTGATGAAGTCCTCAAGGAAAGAGTGCTCGTTGGTTTGGAGGTGCAGGGGGAGATTCCCCTCTAGGGCTTCCAGGATGGTTGGGGAGTGAGACAAGGCCAGACCCTTCCCCAGGATCCCTGAGTGGGACTTACACACCTGGGTGAGGTGAAAGGAAATAAGAATTATGTAGGAGGAATGTGTAGACGTCCTTTTTGAGTGAAAATAATATTAAAGAGATGCCACACCTGAAGAGAGGCTTCCTCGAGAATCTCCAGATCCTCCTCCAATTCATTGCCTAGAATTAAAAATACAAGAACGAGCAATGAAGCTAAGGATGGTTCATTTACTCCCAGTGTTTACAACTTGAACAGCTCAAAAAAAAAAAGGTTTTCATGAAATAAAAACAACAAAGTCCCACATCCAGTGTTTTCCATACCTATAGGAAGGGCCAGATCTTTCTTCATCAGAGCTGCAGCACACACACTGCCCAGGTAGGCCAACTCTTTCTCAAGCAGGATGGTTCCCTAAAATGATGCAACTGTTTTAACAATGTTGGTACCATTCTTTGTGTTATTATGTTTGTGTCTGGGTAGGTTCTCAGTCATCCAGGTCATGGCAGCTAGAAATGTAAGCCTCTGTGCTAATGCTAATGATCCACAGAGGCTTAAATTTCTAGCTCCGTCCACCAGATTTAGAAGTGATGAAGCCTTTCAGAGGAGAGATGCAATGTCTTTAAGATCTTCAACCAGTCCAGTAGCTTTTGGATTAAGCTTTGAATATTATGTTTGTGCATATTTATTTTGTTTTTGTTGAACTCTTGACCTTATTGAAAATGAGGGCATGCACTCCATGATCCTTCAACATTAAAACAAAGGTTGAATGAATGAACAAATGTCTACACATATATATACATATGGGTTTATAAAGAAGGTGGTTTAAGTCAGAGTAAGAATTGTTTCTGCCTGGATGAATGCAAAACATTCACATTTTACCAATAACAAACTGAGTTCTGAAAGACTGTGTGTACCTCATCAGGACCAGGGTTGAATTCATATCCAACCGCCACACACTTGAAGCCATAAAAGCAAGCTTTCTCATCTTTGACGTAGTCTGAGGCCGTTTCCAGCGAGAACAGAACTTCATTTCCTGAAAGCAGAGATGGAAAAAATGTAAGATGGAAAGAGAAACGGGTGGGAGCAGTTTTGCAGGTAATTATTGGTAAGCTAATGGCTGCATGCTGCTGCAGGGGAGGATAGTAAAACATCATGAACAAGATTACAGCACATTCGAGAACAATAAAAGATGAATGAACTACCACTGAGTTCCAGGAATTATAGTTTAACACTTAATTCATGCTACATTTATGTTCCATATTTTATCCTAATTATTATAAAATGTTTGCCTTTCATTTCTTGGTGTAGCTCCTGGCTTTCTTAGTTTTTTTGTTAATACAGCAAAGGGAGCTTTGGGCAGCCGAGTCTGCTATTTTTGTATCCTTTCAGATATGTAGCATCCCAGACTGTGAACTACAAAGCTCTTGAGAGGGTGAGAGGAAGTGCTTCTGCCTTACAGGCGGAATTGGAGGCTGAATGTTGCCTGGGAACAACACGCTACCTCCTACCCAGATTGTGATTAGAGATGACAAATATTCTCTCCTCATTGCACAGCTATAGGTAGTGGACAAAAACAACCGAAATGCAGAATATACCTGATACTTTTAATAAATTCACCTTTTGGTTACAAGTCTGACAAGCACCGTAAATTATAGAAGAAATGTTACATGCAAGTAAAGAGCTGATGAACTTAAACATCAGGCAAGTGCAACATCTTTCTTGCTCAATATCAAATCATGCTTCTCAAGTACCTAACAGCACAAAGCTACATTTGTAAATTTGTACTTTTGTATCTTGAAAAAAAAGGTAATGTCTTGATTCTTACATCAAATCTTCGACTTAATATTTGTTTCTCTCATATCTGTTGATAAATGTTTAAAGGCCTGTCTTACCTGGCAGAACTAGGACGGTTGTTGGCCAGCCTGTGGAGCCGGAGAACTTCTTGAGCTCAGTCCAAGTGTTGATGGTGTCATGGATCAAAGGTTTACCCCCCAGGCTTGACAGGTGGAGGATCCGGCTGGGGATGAGCAGGCGAAGGACGTCTTCTGGCTGTGCAGTCCCACACTGAAGATCAAATTCAATGGTGGTCCAGCGAACACAGTCGGGAAACATTACCTGAGACAAGAGAGGCAGAAGATTAGGTAACGTGTTGATTATAATTCTGTCTTCTTCAGTTACTTCTGAAGCAATGAGCATGCGATGGAAACCCTACCCTGTATTGAGTGACGCCGGCTTGTTTGTAAGGGTGGTCACTCTCTATGACCGAGTAGTGGTTGGAGGTGGTGCACGCTGACAGGCCCTGCTCAGGCTGGTTGCCGGTCGTGCTGTCTGTTGACTGGTTGGGGTTGAAGGTGGGAGGGGCATATTTTTGGTTGAGGGCAGAGACAGCGGGTAACAGCTCCTGAACGAGACCAAAGACCTCAACAGCAGCCTGGAGGAAAAAGAGGAAGGGCCACTTTAAATAAAACAGCAAAATAATTAGTGATGAAATGTTTGTAATCTTATATGTCCCACCTTGGGCACAGAAGCAGCTACAGGGCCGATGTAGGCCAGGATGAGGGGCAGGAGCATGGAGAACAGACTGGAGGAACTTAGCAGCTCAGGTATATCATCCACTGGAGATAATTAATGAAACAAATCAAAACAGATAAAAGGTCTATACCATTAACAATGGCTTTTTCTATTTTTGGCTTTTTTTAATACAGGTGTGAGTTTGTGGTGCTTACCATCAACAGCAAAAGCTCTGTGGAGCAGGTCCTTAGCAGCTCTGACCACAGCACTGACCACAGACAGAGCTCTGCTACAGTTCTTGTCCTCCTCGTTGGCTTTGCTCAGCAGCTGAGACTGGAGATCCCCGTCATACTCACTCCTTCAGACGGAAGAAAACATTTGAAGTGAAACACCGACCAAATACTTCAGTGGCCTACAAAAAAATCATAAAAGAAAACGACTGGCTTTGTGTTCACCTGTAGTAGAGAATCTGAGGGATTTGTCCTCTGGTCTGGTTGGTCCCGTTGCTACTCAGACTGCAGGTGCTGAATGTGAAGGACACGCCATCAGAGCACTGCACCGTGGTCATGCCTCCATCTCCGTTAGCTGTCCGGCTGCCGTAGTTTCGCAGCCTGACAGCATACTTTACCCCCTCCTAAAACAGAATGAATGAATCAGTGAGATTATATGAATTCAAACATTAACCAACACAAAGTAAGCAACATTTTTCCCCAAATCATTAATTAGAAGAAAGAAAAGGCGGTGCAGTTATGGAGAGAATAAACAGTCTGCAATGAGAAGTGTTTCAGCAAATAGAGCTTTTCTTGAATCCTGTTTTTTCCCTCAGTATCCCTGTTATCCTTTTATGTCGCAATATGCATCATATCAAATGCTCATTGACTATAAACATACACTACAATAAAAGGCAGATGTGTGTTTCAGTGAATGCATATTGCCATGTTTGGGGACAGTTCAATAAGTTTTCTAAATTGATGAAATGAAATTAAGGAGCAAATTTAAACAAATAAATGGTAGAAATAGCAAGAATTTAAATTGCAGACGCATTACATAAATGTTTTCATTCCTAGAGATGCTACATACCTTGAGTGGCACAGCTTTGTCCATGCGTATCTCTGCAATGTCAGTGGGAGTGTCATCCGTGCTGTAGGTGCCCTTCACCAGCTCTAAGGATGTCCATCTGTGAGAATGTGCCGAGTCCCCTGGGTGCTCTGTCTGCGCCTGGGGAACAAGGTGTGAAGACGATAAAGTCATATAAAAACTGGTGCAGCAATAATACCAGAACTGAGATGATCTTTCATCACTTACATCATCAGCCAGCACCTCTAGTTCATACTCGTGGATGCCCCCTCCTCCGTACACGCAGACGCCGACCAGCACAACGCCCGGCTTGTCCACCGTCATACAGATGGCATCCGGGGAGCCATTGCCTGTGTTCCAACTGCGGCCCTGGCTTGTTTTGGTGAAACGGTTTGGAGATGCTTTCACAGAGTGGAGCGAGTTCAGCCCATCAACCTAATAAACACGGACACAAAAAGACATGTAGCCAAAACATGCTGATATAACCACACAGGGCTGGTTGGAACATTTATGGGAGGAATAAAATGCCTTCGCTGAAAAATTCTGCTTCCAATTGCTTGTCTTGCTTTATATTTTATGTGTTTTTTAATGTCTTATTCTCACAGACTTTAATTTTAATGGACAAAGCCAGAGTGACGTCAACCATCTGTTCCTGCAGGGGGGCTTTGGACTCCCATCGGTGGCTGTCTGTCACCATGCTGAATATGCTGTCTCACCTTAACAGCAGTCAACCTAACTACAGGCTGAGAGCTGGAGCTGAGGCGGGTTTTAAGCCTCTTGACATTCTGTTACATCGTGCCCACCTGTCAATCAGGTCAGCTACGCGTCTTATTGTGAATAACGCTTATCCTTTATGAAATCAAAACGGATGAGTCATTAAATATTCAGTGTATACAATGTGTGCCGATAAAAGATATGAGCTAATCAGACTGATTTTGTTATTTTAATACCAGGCTGTAAACATGTTCATTTCTTCTGTAAAAACTGGCTTTTTAGAATGCATGTGACTTTTGGTGCTTCTGCAGCGAGCCTCAAACGGACACTTGATGATGTGTATGATTTCGGCTTCATTTTTCTTGCTTGATAATGCTTCTATGTACAACTGCTCATTGTTTGTTGGAAAATATGTCGACTGTGCAGCTGTCTGTCTTTGCCAGAAAACCCTTTTTTTTTTTTCCAACATGCTTGTTATGATTAAATATAAAACAAAGAAATCCTGGAAAAAAAACATCAGCATCTTCCTTTCTAATGAGAAACAACATGTTTTTTTTAAAATCATACAAAAAAGGGCAAGCATGGCAATATGGAGGCGAAAACATCTTCATAAGTTGCATTTAAACTAAGGAGCTGCAACTTAATGTTAAGTTAAGATGTCTAACTGATAGAAAAAACAGACATGTTGATCCTTGGTGTGGAGTACCCTGACTCTACTGTAGAAAATAAAAACATCCTGTTTTGGAATATGTTAAGAAATACAAACTATCACATATATTTTTATATCTGCCTACTGACTACAGAGAGCCAGACACAACTGCAGAGGGACACATCCAGGAGCTCTGGGGAGTAAGAGTTGTTTCCCTGACAACAGACAGTTGGGTGAAAATCAGTGCAGTCAAGGGCTGCCGTCTAGCGAGTGTTACCATGGCAATGAGACCTAAGAGTGCTGACTGAAGTACATGGGTATGCATGTGAACAGAGAGAGAGCAGGGTTACGTAAAAGAAAAGGCGCAGGAGAAACATCACACCCCCCCATTTAATGACTCAGCTCGTCCTTAAACACCCCCCACTCCCCCCACCCCACCCCGTCTTTGTTCCTGTTGTTTAGCAAAAGTAAAAACACCACCTTTTTAACAGGTAAAGCTTTCACTATGAAGTTAGTTTGATAAACCAAGGGAATTTAAGTCGAAGGATACGGCAAGAGGAAGAAAAGAATGAGGACAGAGATATAGTTTTGGCATGTGTTCCTATACACAGAACATACCCAGAGTCTAAATGTTGATTAATGACTTTCTTGTCTGAATCTAGAATATTGTCTTTCATCACAGCAGCTCCATTTGTCACAGGAATTAAAGACATGAAACTGTCTGGCTGTGTTGGATGACCCGCTGGTTCCTTCCAAATACATCCCACTCTGAGCTTTCATACGCACAGAGACACACACTCAAGCTGACATGTCGGCAGAGTGGAGGGGAAGGCGCCCATCAGAAGAGGTGATTAAGCATTGACCTATTGGAGGATAAACAAAGAACATTTCCCGGCATTGCTCCTCTTGCTCCAAAGTACCTCCACTAGTTTTTTGTTTCGCATCCGCCCTGTCCTAAGTATGACTGCGCTCACTCTCACTCTCTTGACCCGCCGTGAGACAAATCACTTTGCAGGAAATATTAAAGATCAATAGATTAGGTTTATAGATTTTTTTAAAATAAACAGCTTAATAAACAGTGTTTTATTTTGAACATAAAATTCTATTTTTATCAAAGAAAAGCTACAGCACAAAACATTTGTTTTGTTGTCAATTATTCTAAAAGAAAGAAAATGGGAATCTGCCAAATCAGCCAATCAGTGCATCTCTAACAGTTATCGCTCATATTCACTGTTCAGAGAATGGTTGAGGACAAAGACAATGTTGTTTGTCTAGATTCTTTGAGCAGCTTTTTATTTGATGGAGCTTTTTGCACTTTAAAGCGGTCGACAGACGCCTGTACCAAATGGTGTAACAGTACTGTAGAACAATCACAATGATAGGAGGTAAAAAAAATAGAAGAATCCGTCTATTCAGCCCAGAAGATCGACAGTACATAATGTTAAGTTGTGGAGAATGTATGGGTGTGTATACGAGTATTACTATGAGTTCAGTTACCTCAGAGCCCAGGGCCGAGGCAGTGAGCTCAGAGACGATGGAGGCCAGCAGACCACAGGTGTTGGAGACCAGGTGTGGAGAGAACAGCTCCACCTCTTTCCTCAAACTCTTCCTCACAGGCAGCACCACGATCACCAGCATCTTCTCCAGCACCTCCCGGAAACTGGTCATGCCCATCAAGTTCTCCTCGGTCTAAGTGAGAAAAAGATGAGTAAAAGCGTTTTAATTTTTTACGCTGTTTGATGTATTTTTGATGACAACACCTGCTGTACAGTATCTGTCATCCACAAACTCACATGGCTTAGTTTCTCCATATGGGCCACCAGCAGGGGGAAGCGGTGAGCAAGCGCCGAGTCATTCTCTGTGCTGACTTGTTTGACCAGTGAACGCAGCAGCACTTCCCCGTCATATGCAATGGGCAGGATGGAGGTCAGTTTTACGGACGTGTTGCACAAAGCCGACATCACAGCCGCCAGCAGACGGCTGCTGGATGTGCGGAAGTTGGCCTCGGCAATGTCCTACAAAGAGGCAAGGACAAGGATGAATCTCTGACTGTTACCTGAACATTTGCAAAATCTAACAATCAACAACTGCAAACTTTGTTAGAGTGTTTCTCTAACCCCTTAATAACTCAAATGTCAACTACATATAAGAGAGCCTGCTGAATTAAAAAAAAAAAAATCTCAAGCACCAATCTTTAGATCATATTAATTACTGATAGTTGAAAGACAGAAATGTATCAGTCAACTGTTTTGATTATCATCTCTCATTTTAATTATAAGGACAAATGACGAGCTAAAATTAGACACAGTCAGATCTCTTATCATACTTCAGATTATCACAAAGAATGTGGTGAATTAGGCAGGTGGTTGTTTTCTCCTCGAAAACGCTGATGTGATATTGAAGACCTTTTCTAAATTGTGTGATTTTCCCATGTTGTGCTGTTTTAGTTGTTTTTTCAGTGTTTTGTGATTTTGTACTGCTGCTACCATGACCAGTTGTCTCCTGTAAAATAGATTTTAATCCCTATATGACTTCATTTTTGAATAAAGTTAAAACAAATAAATGAACAGGCAAAGGTTTTGGGGTCTCAGACAGTTTCATTAACAAAATAAGCCATTTCAAGACACCATAGGCCTTTAGAGCATGTCAGAACAGAACAGAAACTTTTTTAATTAAGATAATTCTGTAAATAGTTTCTTTCTTCTCGAAAACCATAAAAAGGTCTGCGGTCATTTACCTGGTCCAGGCAGTTGAGCAGGTCACAGAGGCAGGCCCACTGCAGAGATGGGGTGGGGTAGAAAGAGTGGAAGCAGGCGGTGAAGGTGTTGTGGCACTCCTGCAGCACAGCCTCCAGCAGGGTCAAAGGCTGCGACAAGTAGCCCTGAGGGTCGTTGTCCAGCTTGGTCAGGCAGTTGTCCATGCCTTCTGACAGGATCTTCTTCAGCAGGCTGCGAGTCTTACCCACGCATTCTGCCAGCTTGCTCGACTCCTCCACCACAGCTTTGGTGCTGGCTGAAAATCAAACAACGAGAAAGCGATTATAGGTGTTAAAAGGAGCTACGATCCAAATAAATAGAAATCGTGTCAAATGTAGTTTTTGAAAGAATAACACACTGATGTTTATATCTTTATATTTGTGAAAAATCAAGAATATCTACTGTAGTTTTTATAGTTTTAATATTTTCTCGGCCACAGACCCAATAAAAGTTTATTGCATAACATATCATTTTAATGCCAGGATGGGTATTGTTATTCTGTCAGAAAGTAAAAGCAAGCTCCCTGCTCATTGTCATACACCTTTAAATGCTCAATAGATGCTCCACATGTGTTTTCTTTTTACAAAGAACAACATATTATACTGACCAGGATATACTGCCTTTGTGTTAGCTTTGTCTTTACCAGCAATGGGGAAGATCTCACAGATGTAGACCCTGAGCAGGCGGAGGCAGCAGGTGCCAACAAAGCGCAGCCTCTCCAGGTCCAGCAGGGTGGCGGTGTACTGGAAGCCCTTAAGCCCTCGCAGCTCCTCCACACCCAAAACCAAGGTGGTCCAGCTCCAGTGGAGGATACTCAGAAGGGACTCGAAACACTCCTTTACAGGGAGACAGAGGTGGAGCGTCACAAACAGTGCTGTGAGAAAAACCAGTGAGCGGGTGAAAAACAAAGAGAGGCGGTGTAAACACAGAGGCCGCACTCACCACTGAGACTGTGCGAGCGAATGAGCGTTTCAGGATGTGGACTGGTTCACTGGTCTGCTGTTTCCCTTTGGATGCATTGCCATCATTTGAAGGAAGCCTAACAGTAACGCATAGAGAAACCAGTAAAATTATTTAATTGAAAAAAAGGGTTGCATCACAGATAACAAAACAAAACAAGAAATCTGACTTGCCTGTAAAGTAGCTGAGGTATCTGACCCGCATTAACATCTGTGCCGTTGTTTGACTTCTTGGAGCTTTTGAACTGAAATACCACACTGAGGGGAAGAAAAAAACCAAAGACAATATTGAGAAATTTAAACAGCCAATTTTAATTGACATATTCTGATTTATTATGAATAGTCTAAAATAGGTGTTACCCATCATCAGTAGTAATGGTAGCCTGTCCATGGGAGCCACAGTCACTGCTGGGACCAGACACTCGAGCCCACGCCACATACCACCAGCCCAGCTGCAGCAGCACCGGCTCATCAAACATCATTGCATATTTCTCCCTGAAAACAAAACATTTGAAACATTAAAAGCTATAAAAAATTATCTTTTTTTTTTTTCCTGTAAGAGATTGCATTAAAAAGAAAGGGGAAACAGATGAAATCTTTTAAGCTTTTACCTGGCAGCACAGTCATAGGCTAGCACATCTGTCTCAGCCAGCAGATCACCGTCAGTCTCGTGGTCACCCCCGTCAGGTCCCAGCTCAAAAAGCTGCACAGCAACAAAGCCAGAGTAAACATATTGTAAACACTTTTTGTTTTTTTGGCAGCGTAGCTATTTGCAGAAGCAGAAAATCTGGATGAAGCGTCAGCCCTGATGCAAAGCAGGTGAATTCTAAAACGTCCACCTCAGGAAAAATCCCTGAACTCCACATTTCATAAATATTTCACATACGGCTTACCTTGATCTTTGCAGTGTACTCCCCTCTTCCCCCGAACAGGCCCAGCCCACCCAGCAGGATGTCTGCATCAGCACAGAAGCGGATGGCCTCCACAGAGTGGGCTGAGTAACCCCAACCACCACCGTGACCTACAGAATCACACATGGAGTAAATGAGTCAAGGTACACAGAAGCTGTTTGATCCACCTTTGGTTGAGGATCGTAAACTTGTCAGACCTAAGAATGTATCCATCACATACACATCAGATATTGACCAGTTGGAAAGTTACCTTGACTTGATATGTTTACAACATCAGATCAAATCCTTATAAAGCCAAACACATCACCCAGTGCACTACATCATACATCATTTACGTTATCCTGTAGAGAGAAAGGCCACTTACTCTCAAAGCGGTTCACCACACTGTAGTCCTCTTTAGAGTAGACCTTCATCACCGCCTGGGTTTCTTCCTCTGCGCTGGCTACACCCATCTTTAGCTCTTGCATGGCTGCCAGTGTATCCAGGCAACCTATGTGAACAACCCCGTATGAAACTATTAGTAGTGAACATATATGATTGATTGTCTGTGTTGCTGTTAAGTCTGATTTGATCTTTGTTTGATGTGCTGCAGAACAGGAACCAGTTTGAACGGAGTCAGGCATGTTGAACTGTTTAACTTTTATCATGTTGCTTTTAATATTTTTCCTGTATAATACATGACGTGAAATATGCATAAGCTTTACATTCCTGCAAACATTTATTCATATGTTTGGTGTAAGAGCAATTCCCAAAAACAAGAATTAAATAGAATTAAATGGGAACTGATGGGAGAAGGATTGAAGAAGCAGATCATGAGTTCTTCAATTGCTTAGAATATAATATGTATTATCCGTGATATAATAGATTTTTTTCCTCATGCTCCTACATTGCACCTTTTGTACATTTTGTGTTTTTTATATCTGATATTTTACATTTTTAAATCATATTTTATATATTGTAATAGCTTCTTATACTGTATTATTTAAGTTGTTGCTAGTTCTGCTTTATTTCCTTGTTAATTGTTTAGCACCAATACGCCAAGTCAAATTCCTTGTATGTGTAAATGTACTTGGCAATAAAACCCGATTCTGATTCTGATAATTTAACTATGATGTCACAGATACTAGGACAGCTCACTGAGACATTCATTTATGTTGACATGTCTAACCAACAAATGTCATGAAAAAAGAAATAAAATGAACAAGTTTTAAACCATGAACTAAAAGATAAAAATCTTTCACACAGGATTCAGACTAATGAGCTACTACAGATGGAGTTAAAGAACTAAAGGGTTAAGATAGATGGTGATACACTGACTATAATAGAGCCTGATGCGAGGGGGTGAGTTAAGACACAGATGGTACATTTACCATCGTCATTTGTTCATTCATAAAAGATGAATGTGAACAAAGACACTTTGCGGGGACGCCTGTGGCCGTGTGGTTAGTTTGCAACCCCATGTACAGAGGCTTTAGTCCAGGACGTGGGCGACTTTAGTTCAAATCCAACCTTTCCTAAATATCATTCCCCACTCTCTCTCTCTCCCAGACTGCCAATTCTATCCACTGTGTCACTCAAATCATGGCACAAAAAGACACTCTGCTGAATTACCGAGGATGTGTAGGGCTCCGTGAGAGCGAGTAGTGGTGGCGTGGGATCCTGACGGTAACGCCAGCTCTGGGCTGAGGATGCTACAGCGGGCCTGGAGGTCTGTAGCAGAGGGCATCCTGGCATCAGCTATCACCGAGTTGTAGCACAGCATCTCTCTTGAGGCTGGAAGGAACCTGAAAGAACACAGAGAGACATATTCAAAGATTAAATATAGAAGGGGTTAAATATTGTAATCACTGAACACCTTTTAATATACATTTAAACTGGGATTATTCAAAAAAAGAGTTTATTTCAAATCAAACCAAAATGTCTGAATTTGGTTTGCAATACCCTTGGACTGACCTCCATATGACATCATACACAGGGTCCAAACACAGGCCAAATCCCTGCAGGTCCTCCTGCTCCGAGTCATTGAAGGTTCTGCAGCTTCCGTCCATTTTGTTGATAAGCAAGCATTTAAATGGAGGCGGCTCAGACACAGAGGAGGGCACGAGGCCAATGATGTGTTTGCTGGCAAAGATCTCTGATGTAGCGAGGACATGGGAGTTGATAAGAGCCTCATCGATACGTAGGAATGTCTGGTCCCCGCTGGCGCCGATCCAGGTCGCCTTCCGTCCATATTTGGCACCGATGTTGGGCATGGGAGACGGCTTGGCATTCCAGTAGGGCATGTCTAGGATGGGCCGGCCCAGCTGCCCTTTCTGAAGAAAAAAACAAACAAACAGATACACTCTCTCAACTCAGGGTCAATTATATTAAAATAGGTATTTTGAAGTACTTCAATTAACCAGAAGAAAGAGTAATATATAACATATTATATCAAACATGTAAACAGATTTTACAGGCAGGTAGAGTTGTTAATATGCCATACTGTGTTCAGAGTTGGAAATGTGCAAATACAGCGTTTACATAGACATGTCAAGAACTGCCATAATTATTAATTGCATGACTTGAATTCTGCACCCTCTTAAAAAAAAGCAGACGACTGCAGACGGTATCAATCTTACCGAGAAGCTTCCAAATGTGAAGACCTGCCCATCCATGAGGAGAACAGCTGTGTGGTTGCTGCCTGCCGTCACCTGGACACTGGGACCCGGCAGGGCCTGCACCAGAGTTGGAGAACCCCTGACAGGAAGAGAAATCTAGTTTAGGCTGTGTGATTTATGCAATTCAAAATACTCCAAATGATGTAAAAATCTGCGCTCACATTTCTTAATCTTTAAACAATCGCTCTTAGTTAGCTTGTAACACGTTCGTTCATCAAGAATAAACCTTCCTGCTCTGTAGTATTATGGGTAATGTAGTTTTTCTATGTAGTCCTGAGTCCACTGAGACTTATCATTACCCTTCCCTTTTTGTGTTGCAATAAAGTAAGTTGCTTTAATTAAAGCGTTCAATGCGGGCTGCGCTATTGATCCAATTCTCATCATTAGTGCAATATGAGCATCACCTATAAACGGATTGCATAAGTTTAAACTTATCACAAAAAACAAGCAGGGCTGTCTCAATCAACATGTCTGTGTGAAAGTGTTCTAGCTGATGGTTTTCTTCTTCTAAAATGTTAACTCCACGAGTTTGAATGTGTTTGTTGTTGAAACTGTGTGTTGTTGCGATTCTTGGCCACGTCTCCCTTTGAAAAAAATATATCTCTGATCCCAATGGGCTACGTTATGATTATTGGATGGTTGCCTGGGTATAATTGATAATGCTTTCGAAACCATTTGATACATTAAGATGAAGTGTTATCCATTTTTCATAGTGTGAAAAAATAAGCTTTTTTGGAATTATTTTGAATTAAGGAGAGACACATTGCAAACACTGGTATTTTGAAAAAACAGATAGAACAGCAGATAAACAGAAAAACAACTCTGAGATATAACTATTATGTACTCTATTACTTGTTTATTTATCACACTTAGTCAATGTTATCCGACGTTGCATATTTTTCTCGTATCATGCAGGTCTTCTTTTCTTTTTATCACATATTACAAATCATTTCTCTAGCGTAAACATGTCACGTTAAGTAAAATACCAGTAAGACAAAAGAAGCAGTACCTGGAGTTGACATCTCCATGTCCCAGCTGCCCATGTTGGCCATAACCAAATGTGTAGACATCTCCATTCTCCATGAGCACCACTATGAAGCAACATAAACACCACTGTGGTTACCTCTCTTTCTTTACATCAAGTTAAGCAGAGTTGGTTAGAGGCAGTGTTCTTGAAACAATAGGCAGACAAAGAAACCCTGGTGCCGGACTAGAAGCAGCCATGAGGGTCATTAACCCACCTGAGTGGTGAAATCCGCAGCTGACCTGCACAGCTCTCATCTCACAGTCAAATCTCACGGCCCCTGGAGGGTAGGTGGTGATCTTGCTGGCATCCTTCTCGCCACGCTCACTGCTACCATCTACGAGTCAAATACACAAATCAGCACATTTGATTGGGGAACAGGGGGAGGGGGAGGTTTTAGTGGCAACGTCAGACCGCAGAGGTTGGGGGGGGGTCTCCGTCCAGTCCTGGAAAATGGAGCTGGAGAGAAAAGAGGATTGAAAAGAAAAAAGGTGGGAGAAAGGGGAAAGCATGCTGGAAAAAAAAACAAAAACGAGGGAGCAATACCTCTATGACAAAAGGCTTTTGGCAACCAGTCCCAACACTGAGTGAAAGTTTCTTTAGCCCATCATTAGAATTTCTTTAAACATCATTCTGTTTTCAAAGTGAAGGAGGGGATCTGGTTTACCCTGAGCCCTGTGCAAGAGGTCACAGCTGTGGTTTGTGAGTGGGGACATTGGATAGAGACCCATGCAGTACAGTGCATACAAAGACTGTCAATACCTTTTTGGACCAGGAACCAGCACATTGTGGTCTACTGTACTTCTAAAACTGAGGCAAGCCAGATGAGATAACTGCTTTAGGCTTTATTTGGCAGTAAATAAAAACTTGACAGTGGCTGGTTCATGGGCCAATACGATGATAAGGTAGGGTTTAAGGTTTTACTTGATGACACAACTCCCTATGTGAGCGTAAAAAAACAGAAATCATTTAGAGATAAAGGGGAATTCACAAACAGAAACATCTGTATTGTTCATATAAAGCGTTCATTCCTCTTCATGAAAAACCATGAAGAAGGACGTTCAGATGAGGTACTCCAAATAACAAAGCTTTCAGAGTTTATTTATCCCCATGAATGCTTCACCTAAAAGTGATTCAGCAACAACAACAAAAAAGCCTGAGTCTCTAAGCTGACATGGGGGGGGGCAACAATGATGCTCTGAAACAGAATCATTGTTCCACATCAAACCGGCCGTCTTATCTTATTAACAATGAGCTTCTACGGAAAAGATTTTAAAGATTCACATTTTAAAAAACGATGTTAACAACGACCAGGGCACTAAGCACCTTATTATCGCATGTTATATGACCTGCAACATGACTCACCCATCGTGATCAAATATAAAACAGCAGTTTGGGCAGATGTGGGTCATCCAGGCAGAGCCTTACAGAGACAGTATTTGAATTGCATTTCCACTTAAAATAGATTAAAAAAAGAGACTGGAAAACATATTATATGCTCTACTAGGGAGTCCAGCCTCTTTTATTCTTTTACCCATGCTTCTAATCATTCAAATACAGCAAAGTTCAATATTTACATGCGTCATTGCGCTGAACAAAGAAGAGAATCCGGTCTGTGTCAAAGGCTAACAAAAAAAAAAAGTCAGTTGGATGGTATTACACCCTCAGACACAGCTCAGACATAGCTAAAAATATATCTGCTCATTTACAACAAAAGGGGATGAGGTTAAATCAGAATCTGGCAAAGGGGGATGGAAAAAGGTTCAACAAACAAGGCTTGTCATGGTTCATCTGAGGTGGCTGCTGGTAACGTCAATACGGTGACAAGTAATGACAAGGCAGCTGAGAACAACGATAATAGATCAAATGTTGCCTCGGCATCCACCAGAGCACGCAAAGTATAAATATGTATGTGATGATGATAACTGTTATCAGTGACCTACCAGAGTATTTCACATACCAGGAATACAAACTGGAGTTTCTGAGGACGCCAACAATAAACAACAAACCACTGCCATGGAAAAACAAAAGCTGATATGCTTTGTTTTGTTTGGAGTGGAGTCCTTTGTTACACAAGTTTAAAAAGTGCTCCATTAAGAAAGATTGTTGTTGTTTTTACAGGAAATGTGAACAGATAGATTCTTATCTGTAATGTAATATTATTCACTATGAGAAAAGTCAACAGTGTCACTTCAGAAGATGCTGTTTTTAACGTTCTCAGTCGTCTTTGTGGGTTAAGTAAGAAAGAAAAGAGGGATTTTTTTTGCCACAACCACAAAGTGTTATTCTGTAATCAAACTCTAGGGGGCCTGACATTGACTTTTTTTTCCGATTAAAAAACATTTACAACATCTACATGTCAGTAGTTGGACATGTGTCAATTTCTTCTTTTTTGACAGCGATCATGTGTAATTGCTTATCTTATGAACGAGCGTAGAACATATTAGACTGCTGTGCCAAGTTCAGAGATATCTGAAGGTTTGTGAGAGATTTCTAAGCAAGTTATGTAGCGCGCTCCACATCTAAATCATATACCGGTATTTAAAAGAACTATTTTTATTTTTCTTCCGTCATATTTATCAGTTTGTCTCTATCTCTCTGGTGCTGTTCTTCTGTTTGTTATGCAGCCGTTGTCTGAACAAAGGGACAAATCAGCTGTTTAGGGAGTGATGGTAAATCCAGTTAGACAAGGACAATTGATTTCTTTTTAGGTGTTTAGAACAGCAGGGGATAGAGCAGGGATACTTTCTGAGGATTAGAAATGAAACAGTGCAACAAACCGCATTGACTTTGTAACTCAGTCTTCTCCTATGTTAATCTAATTAATAAAACGTTATGATAATGAGAGTCAGAGAGGAACCAGCCTGTTCCGATCGGTCTTTAAAAACCGGTCTTAAGACTTCACAGACATTTCTCCCCTGTGAGTCACTGTGATTGCATCCTGCCATCAGGCTTCATTGTGTGTTGTTTGTTACTATGAGACCAGGTGAAAAAATATAAGAGTCCTGCCGTCAAGAGAGTGAGAGAGAAGGTGGGCGGGACAGCCAGATTTTTGGAGATGAGGCAAAGTGGGTGTCTCTGCACCCGTTGAGTTAGTGAAAACCGTAGTACCTTTGTGCTTGTCCCGTTTATGCCTTAGTGCCTGAAGGGGTCTTATTCTGGCTAGGGCCTGCTCACGCTGGTTCATAAAAATGGGACCAGGAAAAAGAAGGGGGCCTGGGGGAGAAAGAAACTTTCACATGCATGCACAATGCTCACACATGGGAGAGAACACATGAATATACTACACCACAAGAACACACTCACACACTGAAAAAAATTATAAAAAGACACAAGCAAGGGGGATGTCACCAAGGCACAACACCCGAGCTCACACAGGGATTGCCATACTGTGTGCAAGTTTCACCCGAATCATTAACCTCCACCCGCACCAATTAATATTACTATATCATAGATTACTTCATTAGATCAAAAAAACAAAACACACGGGGTTTCCCATACATAGTATCGTCCTGCTTATGTCTGATCCATACCTCTGCCCTCCTCCAGCCTGTGCCGGCGGTTGATCCTCTGCCGTTTCTCCTCCTGACGGATCTGAATGTGCTCCTCGATGTTCACGCCTGGAGGGGGAGGGACAGGCACAGCTGAAAACAAAAAAGGCCCCCCCATGTACAGGCAGCCGAGACAGGATGCAGGAGGGAGGAGGGCAGGGAAGACGGAGCAGAGCAAAACAAGACACACATCAATGAATGATGGAGAGATGTGATGGAGAAGCAGTGACTCTGCACAACACGAGATTTAAAAAAAAAAAAAAAAAAAAAAAAAAAGGATGAGCGGCGACAAGAATGCACAAAAATACTGCCTCCAAGCAAATGCAACAAATAAGTAGCAGGAGAAAATATAGCTTGCACACGACCCTGCTGAAAACTTCCCATTATCGTTTTTAATTCTGATCCGAAATACTGCAAACTGAAATGTCACGTTGTTAATGTAGACACATGAGACATTATCATGCGTATGATTTGGCTGCCTTTTTTTTTAAAATATATAACTTTAAGTTGAATGTAAATCATGTGAATGATGATAAAAGGGAGTTGTGAATTGTATATGAATGACAGAGCAAAGCAAAGGGGAGTGTAAAATATATATTCTGTTGATGGGCATACCTAGCAGCAGGTCCAGTGGAATCATCTCCTTCACAGCGTCGAAGATGCCTCTCTGTCTGGCTTCCTGACCGTCCAGCTCCCTGGCACACGCTTTGCAGCAGCCACACGCTGAACAGCCGGACTCTCCAGAGCCACAGCCGCAGATCCTGTTTGACAAAAACATACAAAGAGGAAAGTAATAATAATATTAAAGAACGATTGATTCATAACTATTATCAAAATGTCAACATTTACAAAATGTGCATTGTTTTTTTGTACTTACTAGAGAATCTGTCTTCTACTATTTTTGACTAATTACATTCCAGAAAACCAGAAGTATGGTACTAAAATAGCCAGAGCAGTCATTTTGATTTATTACACAGAATTAGCATTTAACGCTATTAATCAATTTAAAATGTAGAATCACATGGATTTTTTTTTAAGATTTATTTTTGGGCTTTTATTGAAGAGATAGGACAGTGGATACTGGATAGAGTCCAAAATCAGGGAGAGAGAGAGAGAGAGAGTGGGGATTAACATGAGGGAAAGGAGTTACAGGTCAGATTTGAACCTCGGCCGCCAGCTTGGTGGACAAAAGCCTCTATACATGTGGCTACTTGCGCCCAGATCACATGGAACTCTAATGGAAGGATGGGTAATGCAATAACCCTAACAAAGGGTTCAAATGAAAAAAACATCAACAAACAAAACCAGATCAAATAAGAACATGAATATTATTTAATTTAATTCTTCCTTAACTCTTAGGACACAATAACTAATTAACACATCACCAATATATGTTTTAACAGTATCTACCTTCATGGATATATAAACGATATATACCCTAATACGCTCACAACAATTCTCAGGAAAAACAAAACAACAATAAAAAAAGATAACTGTAAAAAATGTATGAAATTATAATCTAAACATTCTTTTTAAGCTGTATTTTGGGTATTTTTATGCATTTATTGAGGGACGGGACAGTGGATAGCATCAGAAATCAGGGAGAGAGAGAGAGAATGGGGAATGACGAGGCAAAGGAACTCAAAGCCGGGCAGTCTGCTTTTTTAAGAACTAGTCTCTATACATGCAGGGCAAGAACTAACCACAAGGCCACCAGCGCCCCAAAAGCATCATTCTTAAATGTGAAATGTCCATTAATCTCCTCTAATAATGGTTGGTAGAGAAAACAGGGATTTAGGCTGTTTCAGGGGTTACTTTCCTTCTTGGTTCTCGTAAACACAGGTGCTTTTCAAATAACCATCTGTTCCCATTCCCCCATTTTAGTCTCTTCTTACCCTCCAGGCACTCTGTCTGGCCGTCCACTGCTGACACAGCTGGCTCCGTAGCCTGTGCAGTCTCCACACACTGTGCACACCATGCACTGGTCCAGCTTCCACTTGTGCATGCCTGGCTGACACATCATGCTCTTCTCTTCTTTCTCCTCCAGCTCGTCCTCCAGGTCCTCATCCATGGCTGTGGCCATGCTCTCCACACCAAAGGCTTCACAGAAACAAAAGACCCGTTTCAACAAAGTACAAAGACATAATATAAACAATGTTGTTGTCTGCTTATGTCTTTACTCAACTTTATTTATATGGAACCTTTCACACATAAAAGCATGCAACCCAAAATTGCTTCACAGAGGAACAACACAAAAAAAAGACTTGAACAAGGAAGACGGGAATTAATATTAAAGAAAAAGTAAAAAAAATAAAGATAAATAAAATAAATAATTGTCTCTGCTTACCTTTCCCTGCCTGGCTCATGGCTCCCGTGTCTCTGCCACACTGGCCCTTGTTGTTCACTCCAAACGTCCACACTTCACCGCTCTTGGTCAGAACGCACGTATGGGCCTTACCCATAGCGACCTGAGTTACAAAGTGACCTTTGAGGTCTGTCACCTGGCCTGTAGACAAATAACAAGGGAGTGTGATTAACGTAAGACATGTTTATTTTTTATAAGTATTTACTCTTTATGAAAGAAATGTAAACACAAAACAAAAAAACATTTTAAAAAAGTAGTCCCAGTCCACTCACAGGTGCTGTCGCTGTAAATTGCATCTTTTCCAAACATGTACAGCTCTCCATCCTTGGTGACGATGCTGCTGCTTCCGTTGTTACATGCAGTGTACACCGCTGTCTTTGTCTCTAATTTGATCATCTTCTTGGGCTTGTATGGCTTGGGCTGTCTCCGACTTTTAGCTGCAAAGGTGAAAAAAAAAAAAGAAGACATATTTAGGAATCTCTGCTAAGACAAAAGATAGATAATTAGGTGTTTTAATTTTTTACAGATGATTTGAAATAAGCTTACTGGACTCTCCATCCTCTCCCTTGCTGGCAGAGCCCGTGAAGAACACACTTCCGTCTTCGGCCACGAGCAGTGCATGAGACCCATCATGGCCGACTGAGAACTGAGCAATCTTGGGGGACTTTGTTACGGGCAATTCCACCCACTTCCCTGCAGAAGGGCCTCCCTGCTTTATGCCCAGGCTCTGGTACTTTCCTGTGTAGTAGATCTGGGGAGGGGAGGGGGGGGGTATAAAGAAAAAACACAGTTTTCTCATGAGCACTCTATAGCAGTGATTCTCTTATCTCTATCTACAGATTCTCTCCGTCAGATGATAGCCGATGGGTTCCAGGATTTGGTGACTCTTCTCTCTCTCTCAGGGTTCTTTGACAAACTGTAGGAGGTTTTATTTCAAAAGGTTGACTTAAAAAATATCAGCCCAATGGAGGCTGACAACATGGCGTAATGGGACAATTCTATATGTATTATTTATTTACCTTTTATAAAATGTCTGGCTATGTACAATGTTTATGTGGGTGTGTCTGGTTTCTGGGGTTTTTTTTTCCCCCTTGTTCTGTTGGTCCTTTTCGGGCCTGTGATATAATGTTGAAAATGAAAATAAAAAAAGACCCTGATCAAAAATATATATATCAGTCCAGCGTGAGCTTTCTAATAACTTTAGTACATGGTGTTCATCAAAAATGTTAACCTCAATTCAGTCACAATCATACGGCTGAAAATGCAAAGAAAAAAAGTAAAAGAAATCCAGTTTCAGACTGAGGTTTGACCCTGTCATGTTTCATCTTCAATCTAATGTCCTGGAGATGTACCGTCTTCAGAGGTAGTAACAGATGTGTTAAAGGGGTGAGAGGGGATCAGCTGAGGTGCTGTGAGTGTTTGTGCATGTCTGACTGTGTGCTTTTCTGCAGGTGGAAATTTTCAAACAATTACAGGAAACAAATGAAGCGCAGAGTATTTTTCAGTTACAGTTAAAAGGTTGTTGTTTAGTCGATCAGGAACAGGTAGCACAGAGGTATACTCTACTTCTTTATGAAGACTTTTACTAAATATCTTTTGCACTGGTCAGGTAGAACTACGCATACAAACAGTATTTCAAAGGGTGCGCATTATTCAAAAATATTCAAATTGTTTCAAATATTCAAACGGCGATGGTTACATGAGGACACATGTGAAGGCTGCTGAAGGAGTTGAGAGTCGTTACAACAATATTAATCCAACATTCAGTCACAAAAGCATTGTGTTCAGAGGAAAAAGCAACCTCTAAACAAACAAAGAAAATTGAGCGTTAACTCCTTTATGGAATAGCAAATTTGTGACATTTTGACAAGCCCAAGCGACACGTTAAGTTTGTGCATAGCTAAAGGTCAGCTGCTCCTATTTTTACCCAAACAGCCTGTCAGGGTTAAGGTAATCTGTAGATAATGAGAGCGGTGAGATTAGGCCTCTACACAGACACAGAAATGTGCAACAGGACTGCTATCTACAAAAGAAGTACACTGTACCACACCTACAGTACAGAGGCACACAGCCACACCCTCCACACACCCAAACAAACCTCATAGTTAGAATTCTCTTCTCTTACTAAAAGAGCCTGCATCAAAATGTGAAGTATCTTCCTCCTGAAAGAAAGGCATCCTTATAGTGGCTGGGTCTCTTATAACTCTGAATGAAAATGTTATTTTATCCGAAAGTAATAAACATAATATCCATGTTCATGTTTGTGATTCTACATTAACTTTCACCTGCACTGGGCACCGGTTTGGTTTCCTGAAGGTGGATATTTAAAAAAAGAAGAGGTGGAAAGTAGTGAATTACATTTACTCCTGTTACTGTAATTGAGTCGTTCTTCTGTGTACTTTTTAAGTCGTTTTTTAACATCTGTAACTTTACTTTTAACTTAAATAGGTTTTGTTTGAAGTTATGTACTTTGCTACATTTTAAATCACATCTGTTACAGAGTTTAAAAAAAATGTAGGCACTAGGCCTGAATACAAAACAGAAGAAAAAAATGGCACTTTATACCTCCCTGAGAGTTTAAAATGTTGTGTGCCGACTTGTCTAATTTTGTCATTGAACTTTAATTTGTAAATATTTGCTTTAAATTAAAAGCTAGTTTGAGATTTAAATCCTCTTGTTCCTTTACGCACTACACCGCAGAGATCCGTTTTAGTAAAATATAAAACAATCTACTTTTTACTTTTACTTCAGTACATGTTTAAACTGGTAATTATACTTGTACTTAAGTAAAGTTTCATCAAAGTAATAGTACTTTTAACTTTAGAATATTTTTAGTACTCTTTCCGTCTCTGTTAAAAAGACCAAAGCCGCTGCTCATCAGGCTGAAATTCTTTAATCACATCCCGTTAGTTAAGCAGCGACGTAACTTTATAAGCTCATCTATTCATCAACATCAATTAGAAAATGTCAACTAGATGACTAAGTGTAGACAAACACTATTATTACCAACACGCCAGATTAACTCTGCATTAAAGTTGAACAAGGACTTTATTATTATTAAAGTAAGACATCCAATAGTCTCAGTTTACGACATGGCTACCACTAAAATGATAGCTCTCTATTTATAATTTTCTATTTCTATTTTCAAATAGAGATTTGAGCTGTACATTTGTCCTTCCTTCTTAATTTTAGGCTGTTAAATGACAGAAAATATTTTTAAAACAAAGACTTAAGTGAAATGTACATGATTAAGAAGGATTTGTTTCAATGTTTTAACGACAAAACTTTTGGCTTTATGGATGTCATTTATTCACACTGAAGCCCTGATGGCCAACAATGGAGCCCCTTATTGTAATATAAAATGTATTTCATGTAAACTGTATGGCAACATTTAGGTAAAGGGGTTATAGTTATATCAGAAAGAGAAGTATCAATAACAAGTCAAATTCCTAGTTTTTCCGATTTTAGGAAATTAATTTTACATGGATTATTTTAACACATTTTACTTATTGAGTTATATCAGTGTTTCATAAACTATTCATATCATAATATTATGTACAGTATTTATCAATGCTTAATCTTCGCCCGAAACTGTTCAAATAAAAGTTATACTTCCGAAAATAGTCAATAGTCAAAAGCTTCCTGAAAACAGTTTGAAAAGGAGGAAAAAAATCGACATCAATAAAAAAATAATTCAGTTTGAGAGTGAAGGGCCAACAAATATTTCCAAAACAAGAAAACAATGTCCTATTGTTATGCTCGAATACGGTCTGATCCCCGAGCAATCGGACTAAATGTAACTAAATACAGATGTTGTGAACTACGACTATGACGAGTTTGTATAATTGTGGATTCATGTGGTCGGTAAGTAATAAGGGGAAAACTCATGAGGGGAACAATATGACCCAACCTCTGGGGCGGGGGGGGGTCATAAGTATCAGGTCTGTCATGAGCAATTTCTAGCTGATAAAACTTTCCAATCTCTTAAACATCTGAGGCACACCACCGAAGAAGAGCTTCACTTTTACCTTTCCCGAGGCAGTTTTCATCAGAGCAAACTCCCTGCCCGCTCCAAGCAATGCTGCCTCTTCATCAAAGCCTGTGCCTGGAAGAACAAAATACTACTTAGAGCCAAATATATAACAAAAACATAAATAAGGTCAGCGTGTACGCCTTTTTGTATTGCACAATTTCCAACACCTTGTACACACGTATTATGAATTGCATGGTGCGCATATGAAAGTAGCTTCCCACCCACACTCCGATATAGTTATGAGTATGTTTTGATTCACTTACTGATGATGTGCAGATCCTTCTCGAGGTCAAAGAGAGAGATGCCGCAGGCGTGCAGACATTTCCTTGCCAGCTTCAGCTGCAGTTCCTGCTGCAGGGCCGGGTCCGAGCTCATGGTGTAGATCCGCACCACGAAACCATCCTGAAAGAGTCAGAGCCAACAGGAGGAAAACTCTGCTTAGTTTCATGACTCAGCTTCTTTTTTTTTTTACAGCGGTAGTCCATTAACAACGTTAGGACACAAGTTGCCAGTGATCCAATGTGAACATTTCTCTGCTTCACCTGACTGAACGAGTCAATTAAAATGAATACATCTGCAGAATTCACTCATTCTTCCTGAAAAGGGCGAGAAAAAAATATTACGATCACTTTCATGAATGCACAATCAACAGTAAGTATGAGATGGAAATCTATATTCAGAGTACGGACATGATCAATTCCAAGGCAGTACAATAAACAAATTTGGAAATTGTTAAATTATGTCAAAATAATTCCTGTTAAAGTATCACTGGGGACGCAATGTTTGGATATTAGCGGCTACAAGAGCATGTGTGTTGACGTTCACTGGGGAATGGGGTTCAATTTAAGAGAAATGTGCCTCATATATCCTAATGTGCTGGATGAAGTTTGGATTAACACAAGGATTATACCTTATAGATGGATAAGTCTATCAACTGTAGCTGCAGTGTGTTTGTGTCAATCCACTGGGAGCGTGCCAGGGGTTTTAAAATCCACGCATCCAGATGTGCAATCTCAGCAACAAGAGCAACTTTCAACACCCGCAGTGTTAAGTGTAAAAAGCATATCCACTCATCTCAACGCGCCATGAAGGGTGTGACGACCAACATGCACAGGTCACACACTTTGACTCAAAAGCTGTGCAGGCAGAAATGTGGGTTAGTCGGACTGCAGGGGATGTGGCTGAAATTGGTAATATACAAGAGAGGAACGGAGAAAAGAGCGGACCACAATGAGGACACAATTAGGAGGCGTGCGGCGATGGATGAAAGGTAGCGCGGGGATGAGTTTGGTTTCTACTGAGTGGAAATGAAGACGGACTCATCTGTTGAGCTTTGAGTCCTGCAGAGAGGACAAGCTAAACTCTTCCTTCGACTATCTCCTTGACCACCAATGATTTACCTACATAACCCTCATCCTCTACTTCCTGCTCCTGAAACCCTTCATTATGTCTCTCGTGTTTACTTCTCTCAATCATTTAGTGATATTTTGGGTTTGTTTGCATTTTCTCAAAGCTTCATTATGATGCATGCAGATTCTGAGAACTCCCCCGACGCAGTGTCCCACCCCCTTGATTAGCCTTGAAACTGCTAAGAACGAAAGCTAGCCGCACTGGCAGATATATAGATTTCACCCCCCCCCCCCCCCCCTCCACCACTCACATTACAGAGTGCTTATGCAGATAGCTGCTTCAGAGATTAAGCTCTCTGGAGAATACACACATCTGGTGCCACTGCCCTCACTGCCACGCCCATACATACACACACGCACATACACACGCGCATTACGCACTCCCACATAATATAAACTCAGACACAGCAGCACCCCCCCCCCCCTGTGTCACAGCTGGTGATCAGCTGAGGGCCTGTCAGAGTGAGGCTGGGGCCTCAAACAGCAGTGACAGATAATTCACAAGGGCATCACAAGAGGGACAAGTACCCTCAATTTAAATTAGAAGAGATTTGTTTGTCATGTGGGGAACAAAGCATACCAAAAAAAAAGGGGCGTTAAAGGAGAAAAAATATTCTCAAAATAGAGAATAAAAACAATAAAATAAAACACATTTCAACATGCAAATTGGAAGAGCAGAGGATCAAAACACATCTTCTGATTAGCAGACAGCCACACTGTCACGCTGGAGCCTCATGTACAGTGTGTCTCATGTCACCATATTCTCTCTGACAAGTCCTTTTTTTTTTTTTTTGCGTTTTGCAGATTTTAGTGTTTTCAAATCCCGTTTAAGCATTAGTAATCTGGACAGTCTAATCCCCATTATCAATTGTATTATTTTGAAGAGCCAAAGATAGATTCTACATGTTTTTTTATCATGCAGCAGAAACAGTAAACTCACATCTTTGCAGGCTGCGATCTGGTTGATGTACTCTCCGTCAGTGAAGATGATGTTCTGTCCGTCTGCATGTTGACCTGCAAAAAGCAGCAAAGTGACAGTGACTAACCATAACTATTTTATTACGTGGGATTAAAATGTTTTAACTCCCGTGAGGTTGTTTTTTATTCACCTGGCATGGTGACAGTCCCCTCGTGCTCCAGAGTCTCCGGGTTGATCTTGAGGGCCGACATTGTGTGGTTGCATGTGTCCCGATACAACAAAAACCCCTGAAACCCACAAACACTTCTGATGATATACAATTTATAAAACTTACACTCAGAAATGCAGTTGACGTTGATTAAGATTATACTGACGTTAAACAAGCGAATGAATTTGAACATCTTTCTGAAGGCTGTGCGACATACCTGAGCGAAGCCCAGCCATGACCTCTTCTCCTTTCTGTTCCTGATGCGAGACGTGGAGTTGTACACGTGGCCCTGTAAAGCAATCATAAGATATGTGCTACCAACCACAAACACTTACAATTACTGTTGACATTTCTACACTCTATGTAACAAATATAAAAGTTATTAAAATCTTCAAAGCAAAGCATAAATACTAGTGAAGCTCTCTACTGCTAACATGAAAGTACACTGTAAATGGTGCCTTTATGGTTCAACTCTATTTTGTGCACCAATTCAGGGTTAAATCAATTTCATACCGAAGTATGAAAATACAGGAACATGTCTAAGTGTCATTAAAAGTCACATATTATGCAATATCCACTTTACCATGTTTTCCTAAATCTAATACTGTATGTGTCACTAGTCTGTTTACAAACCCCCTTAATTATGGGAAAAGTCCATCCTCTCCATCTTTTGCCAGCTCCACTTTTCAGAAAATGTGTACTCAAACAGGCCGTTTGGAGATTTTCCCCTCATGACATCACAAAGGGGAGTAACCCCTCCCCCAGGTGGATGACACTCCCACTGCTAGGTGTTTGTTCTGCTCTCTGAGTCTGCCTTTACGCAATTAACAATAGCGTATGGTGCAAGAACGCCAGAGCCACACCCCCTTCCAGAGAGGGGGGCGTGGTCAGACACAGCTCATTTACATTTAAAGCTACAGACACAGAAACAGCCTGTTCTGAGCAGGGCTGAAATCGAGGGGTTTATAGGCATGATCAAATACAGGATCAGAGTGGATTTAAAACAAAAAACTTTTTGGGGAGCTCTGAGGCTTATTTCAACTGGTTGAAAAGGAGGGGAATATGTGACCTTTAAATACCTTAGTCGGAATCAAATCCTGTGACAAGCTTTGAGAATTTCTGTATAATAAACCCATTCTTCAAGATTATGGTCTGGTTAACTATTTTTGTCCATGTGTAGGCACCAGTACTAAAATTACCAGTTAAAAACTCCTCATATTCTGATAACATGTCTGAGAAATTTTAAATCAACAAACTTCAACATGTGCTTATCACTTGACAATGACCACATGAAGCTTTGAGCGCTACACACCCTGACAGTGCCGCTGTATCCCGAGCCCACTTTGTAGAGTCCGTCCTTGCAGAGCAGATACAGGAAGGAACCATCGGTCTGCAGAAGACAGCGCTCATCATCATCAATGGACACTTCTTTCAGGACCCACTTGTTCATCAGGGCTGCGCGTTTGATGCCATTCCCAAACCAGTCCTGGATTTGAATCTTTCCAACCAGGACGGCCTGCACGCTCCTCTGGAGTGCATTCAGGATGGTTGGCACCTGGTGAGATTTAAGGAAAGAACAAGGATGCTGGGTGAAGACAGCAGGATTGCAAAACTCTTATGCAACACATTTTGGCGTATTTTGTGAAGTATACAATGTACCAGGTGGGAGATGAGCTGTGAGCATCACTGCTGCTTACTGAGTCACATTCTCATTTTAGTACCTGACCCTGCAGTTACTATAACTGATCATTTCCCCTCTTCATATTCTGCATGAATGCATTTTCACACACTGGGGTTTCCCCCCCCCCGCCCCAAAAAAAAGTTAGTCCCTGCACACATTTTCAAATAATTTCCATGGCATGGTACAACACACACACACAGCTGATGTCAGTTCACACACTCACAAAACTACACACACACAGGCTCGCACATCGCGTAAGCCCACGCTTCCCGCCAGCCTGCCTGCTTCAGCGGTGACTCACAGTTCAGTCAATGTCTACAATATCAGGAAAAAGAAAAACACACAGTCCTATCTCTGTGGGGGATACATGTGTGAGGTCATAACGTCTCACTGCAGTACCACTACAGTTCAGTGGGTTTTTTTCAGTATGCAGGTAAAGGGGAAGTTTTTTTAAAGAGGGGTTTAATAATGAGCAGAAGCAATGACAAGAAATAAAGAGAAAGAGACAGGGAGAGAGGACAAGATAGATATTGAAGCAAACAGAACGCCAGCTAATTAGTGTATAAAATGCAGACAAGGTAACCCAATCAAACAGGAGAATCAGAGAGGCTTGACATTTAAAAAAATTTAATTTGTGTTGCCCAGACACCGCCCTGAGTCTCCCTGCTGAAGGGAAATGTTTGGAGGATCCATAGATCATGTTATGTTTAAAAAAAAGAACTTCAGCGCTCATTTTTTCTCATTTTAAGGATTAATAATTTTGGGTAAGGGGTACCAATGTCTTTTTTGGATGGAAAACTTAATTAAAAACATAAATGTGTGTGTAAATATTATGTCATTCCAACTTGTGCTTTAACAAATAGAACTATCATGATCACCTGGAATTTAATTTCAAAGAGAGAGGCCTTTAAAAAAAAAAAAAATGTTGAAAGAATGTGCTCGTATCTGATTATCAATAGTTACTTGCGCCAGGAAAGCAAAGTGTAACAAAATAATACCAGTGCCAAGAACATTTAGGAATGACTAACTTGTATTTTAAATGCCAGATGCAGCAAAAAAAAAACATTGCAATTGGGTGTTTTACTGGACAGTTTTCAGTGTAATTGCTCACAATGAGTTAATTACCTGTATCGTCTGGCAGGCATGGCTGCCGTTGTTGGTGAGGATGGCAGAGACCGCCTGCAGGATTTTGCCGGTGTCTCCCCAGGCCACCACCAGACTGAAGAGGCAGGCGCAGGACAGAGCGGTGATGGCCTGTCCTGTCGGGTCGTTGGGCCCCGTGCTCCGAACCGTGGTCTCCAACAACAACTGGAATAGAGACTCTGAGGAGGCACACAAGTGGATGACGGGTTAGATATATGTGAACATAGAAAGATGGGATTGTTGTGTCATAGAAACCAAAAGTACAAGACATCTTAGCAATTAACTACAGCATTGACAAGATCATTAGGAACAGCAATCAACATATAGATTCTTGAGCTGTTAAAGCAGGGTTTCCCACACAAGCAGCCCAGGTACATTTACCACCACCTAAGAAACCAGGCTGAACTTTTTTACTATCCATATACGATCTCCATCTACGATCAATATTCTAGTTGACGAACTGCACTCCCTTTCTATCAGTTGAGTACGTGCTGCAAGTTAAGTAACGCCTGTGTGCTCTGCAGGTGATCATAGAGAGAGAGAGAGAGAGAGAGAGACATCTACAGTGGTAAGAGAGGGGAATAACAGTGTCTGTGTGTTTGTGTGTGCGCTTGTGCATGAGTATTTCAGGGAAGCTGGATGAGCAAATGAAAGTTGTTAGTGAACAAATAATAAAACGCATTAGAGATTTAAAGTCAACCTCACTTGATTGTAATAGATTACACACCTGCACATGATCATCTTCTATGGTGTAAGTGCATGCAGAGCCTTACCTAGCACATCAGGGGGCTCAGTCTGGAAGCCCTCAGGCTGTTGTCCCTGCAGCATGTCCAACAAGGCCTGCAGGCTCCGCAGGCACAGTGAAGGGTGAGAGAACCGGGTCTCTTTAATCAGCTCAAACACCCCACAAAGGCCAATGCCAATGATCTGCACACACAGAGAAAGAAGCACACGTCAATGAGCTCATGAACATCATGCCACACAGGCTGGCGGTTGCCACTTCTATCAGCAATTTAAGTGGGAACGTACTGACATTGAGGCACAGAATTGATAAACTGAAGGTGAAGGTGGACGGTGGATTTAACAACATGGCCTCGTCTCTCTACAGTTCTAAAACCTACATTTAGCCCACAGTGTGTAGAGACACTACTGCTGACTTCAACATCCACCACTAACATTGAGTCTAATCACAGACCCACTTGAGTGGAGAAGGGAGGCAGGCAAAGGAGTTTGGCCTAGAAAAGAAGACGTGTTTTCTATCTTTTAGAAGCTTGTAAGCGAATCAAATTATGCCCCAATGGTCCTTCCTTTCTCAGCTACGCATCAGAGTTTCAAAACAAATGTACACCAGAGCAGACGAACAATGGATAACACAAAAGCAGATAGAGAAGAAAATAAGACATGCACAGTTAAGTACTAAACATTATTTGAATTGGATCAATAGATATTAAGTAGATATTCTAGATATTTATGCGTATTAGATTATTATTATAGACATAACAACCAATGTGAATATTATAACATATATGTTAAAATAAACACAAAAACAGACACATTCTCTAATGATGCTCGGCTCGAAACAAACTGTTACAAGTCCTAAACATGCCTAAAATATTACATCAAACGTTTATGTAAATGGTGTTAAAAAGAAAGACACTGATAATCTTTCCACTTAACCATGATGATTGTATACTGAAACAACAAAACATTGAGAAATGGATGTGTTCTTTTCACTTTGTCCCATTCACTAGTTTATAAACGGAAAAATCCTTTAAATCTGTTCAACTCCGTCATTACATTTTGAAAAGAGTCTTTTGCTATATTTTACACTACTGTATATGTAAGACAGATTGTATTTTTTTTATACATTTCTTAACATTTTCATTAGTTCTTTCGACTAACTTTATCTTTCAATCTTTTCTTGCAATGCGTCATACCACAGAAATTTAGAAATCTCTTCTGTGTAAAACTTTTTTCCATGAATAGGATTCAGATTTTGAATCTATATGCCTCTTTTTTTAAAGGTTCTTTTGGGGGCTTTTTATGCCTTTATTAGAGAGACAGGACAATGGATAGAGTTAGAAACCAGGGAGAGAGAGAGTGGGTAAATGACAGGCGGGAAAAAGAGCCACAGGTCAGATTCAAACTTGGGCCTCCATGGAGGACTAAAGCCTCCGCACATGGGGGTGGGCACAAACCAACCACTGTCCACTATCATAAAACACAAACACTTAAATCAACATGCAGTTCTCTAAACACACATGTAAGCCTCAAACACACATCACTGTTCAATAACTCTCAGTGATGTCATACTGTGACAGGGGTTGTGCCGTTGTCATGAGCCTTTTAAAAAAGGCAACCCAGACTGTATGAGAGAAAAGTAGGGCATAATTCATGTATTCTAAAGATATCTCTGGAGCCTAATCCTTAACTACATTGTACAATTCATGCTCAGCTCATTTTTAGGTGCCTCTGCTGCTTCACTTCAAATTATCATGGAACTGTAAGGGAGCAGCCTTTTTGGAAAGACAGCAAACAGACATATCTTTATCCCTTAATTCTGCTATTATGTCATAGAAACCACAATAATCCTTTTGAAAATTGACTCTTATATGCTTCTGTGTTGTATCTGTCTGTTGCAAATGGCTCTCCAGTCTTATTTAATCATGCATTTAAGGAACACCTTCCTTTTGAATAGGGGAAACTTATTGTCACAGGTAAGTGTTCATAACGCAAATAAGAGCGTGCATTGCATACTATTATATTTTGTCTCCAGGTGCAATAAAAAGGTTCATTTTTAATCAAAGCTGTTATGGAGTAGGAAAGATAGAGCAGCAGGCTCACAGAGAAGAGGGAGTAAGGGAATTAAAGCAGAGGCTGTAATCCTGTGTGGGGGTTTCAAACCTCTAGTAAAGTGACACCAATTATCACAACAACAACAAAAAAAAAAGGATGAGTCCTATACACCAGCCCAGGATGATAAAGGATCCTTGTATCCTCATGTTAGAGGGCACAGGCAGGCTCTCGCCTCGACATCAAGCTCTGCTACAGCCACAGAAGCACAGCGAACACCAACCTTTGGCAGCTTCACGGCTGGCTCGCGGTACTCTTCCTCCTCCTCGCTGTCCGAGTCTCCACTCTGCACCGAGCTCCTGGAGGCGAGTGCCAGAGAGGCCTCTCTCTGCTGCCAGTCCAGCACACAGTGCCGCACGTTGCAGTAGACATTGAATGCAGAAGGGTTGCTGTGCAGCTTGATGTCCGGCACGAAGAGGGCTCCATCTAGACTCTCAGACTGCGCAGAAAGCAAAGAGAGAGATTGTCAGTTGGGAGCATCGATTATCATTTGTAAACCACAATGCCATTTATAAACAAAGTTCATTCTTTGAGTGAGTGTTAATGTTAAACTTTGTGTATATACACTAGGACTATCATCATTAACTTAAGGTCTCAAATTAATTAATGCATTCTTCTTTTCTTATGTCTCCCTGTAGTCAAAGCAATGGAAAACAACAACTCCACTGCATCTTTGAACGCCTTGTTTCACTTAAAAAAATCTACCAATACTGAGAAAACAAGCAGTGACTGTCAACTAGAGGAGCGTAAATAATGTTTTAATGTGACCTTTCGTGTGGAGCTGGTCAGTATTGGACAAAGTTTTCCAGTATTTGTTGATGGTAGCAGCCACTTGGTCTGAACCAAAGCTTTAAAAAGGGGACATATTGCTGCATATTGGTTTTGACCTGTGTCATGTCATCACAGCCTTATTTATAACACGTCAAACATTATGTGTCATGGACCAGCAGTGTGTTCCATCGTTTGTGCTTGTAACCAAGGTTGTCATCATGTACAATACTTTGAAACTTTTCAAAGCAGGTGATTCAAAATAATACTGTTTCTTGAGACATATTTTCAACCCAGAGCTGCTGCAAGAGAAAGAGAAAGAGAGCAGTCGGGTCTGTTCAACTTCTCAGCAACTACTGAGATTCTGAAGTCCTTTTAGCGTCTCATAATGCGTTTTTGTCGGTTACAAACAGAGAGCCAAGGAGTGACACTGTCTCAATTGCACAAATACATTGCCCGACTTCAGTTCCAATACGTTGCCATTGTATTTGTGCAATTAAGACATTATTTGTGCAGGAGTCAGCTCGCAATATTATGTTATTAAAAGCCATAAATTATTACTCAGCAGTGGATGCCTAGGACTTCTATTTGTGTTTCTCTCTCATCAAAGTAGATATAAACATGGTTTAATATTAACTGACCTGCATCATGACAACCCTAGTTGTGTAACTGAAATGCTCATTAGTAATTCAGTTCCTTAAGAAGAAACAAATATCAAAGTACACCCACTACTGGTATGCCTAACCAACACATTTAACAAACACAAGTTGGGTAACGTCTCCTTCACAATAAAAGTCACACATGAGAACTCCTCAGAGTTTTAGGCTCCAAGTATAATTCCAAGGACTGTACATTTTTTCACTTGAAACAAATGATATAACAACAATATGTCATGACTCGTGAGTGTAAAGGTCTGTTGACAGTTCGTCTTTCCACCCTCTGTTCAGTCATTGTCCTCATGTTAGTGAGAAACTTGTGACATGAAATGACTCCTCCTCCAGTGTTGACTCCTTCAGGAGGCTCCCTTTTGTACACACACTGGGCTTGGCAAGGGTTTTACCAGCTCGCCTATTGGAGTTACAAAATGGCTTACTTAACATTTTTTACATAACCAATGCAGAGAGAGATTTGAGTTGTGTTCAGTGTGAAGTCAGAGAATTCAAATAGTCCTTAAGTCAAAAACAGAAAATGACTACAGTAAAAAAGTTGTTTCATTTTCAAAACAAAAGGAAGTCTAATGTAGACTGATCAATTTCATTATAGGGGTTTTGTTGTTGTATTGTATTGCCTTAAAAAAGGACATTTTATTATACTGAGTCTGCACTCGGAATCCAACAATTCTCAATTTAATATTGAACCATTCGGTGCGGGATCCACAGTTCAATACACACTTGTGAATGCGGTTTTGCGTACAACCAGCTTCCCTACATTCTATTTCTCATTGAATTGGCTTCTCTTTGTATGTGCCTGTAAGTCCATATGCTGGGATAAGGAAAACCCAACAGCCTGAGAGGGAACTGCTAGCATAATATAATGATGCAACTCTGATACAGGACGAGTCTTTCAATCAAAAGAGAACTCCAAAAGTTATATTTACTTACCAGGATTTTACGGTACTTGATATGCTCACATCGTCTGATATTATCAGCTGGCCGATTAATTGATCCGGCTCCAATAAATATCTATATTTAAAAATACTGAAATGTCTTCCCATTTGTACAGCGGGTCAACATGGCACTACTTAAACAACTACCTTCTTTTCACTGAGACTATAAACCATTCACCAGGAAAAGTGTATAAATGAAAAAGTTAGTTTGCTTTAAAGTAAAATAAAGAAATAATTATGGAATTTAAGAATTGCCCCTTTTCATTAACCTCTTGCTTCCCTAGTCTGCACCAATTGATATAAATGAATAGGACAAGCCAACAGGGACAATTAACAATAAAATCATTAGAGCAAAGCTTAAGCATTTAGCTCCCAATAATCATTATGATTAGAGAAACAGAATTCCACACAGAAACTTGATAAGCTAACTAATTGATAAGCTTCCTCAATCTTACCAAGCAAAGCATTTTTTAACTACAGTCCCGAGGCAACCTCTAGAGAACGGTGTTGATCGATTGTAGCTCTCCTGCAGTGTTGCGCTTTGGGCATCCCAATCACAGAGTGGTGATGTCATCTATTTGGGGAGAGAGGTCATTCATTCTCAGCTCAAACCAGTGGGGAGTGAGGGATATTAGCTGCTCTCCCGTCTAACAGCACTGGCTACATAGCTCTCCTGGCTTACTGCTTGAGAAGCAGTTGTGACAAAGTGCCTGTGCAGCCGTTCACAAAGGAGCACACAGAAAAGGGCACTTTATACGCCTTCAAAATCTAGAGTTAATAACCCAAACCAAGAAGCAAGGAGGAGAAAAATGGGTTTCTTGGGAGATGGCAGTGACACAAAAGGGTGGAGCAGAGTCCTAAACACAGCAATGTTGGGGCTGATTATCTCAGATGGGGAGCTGATTCAATATTTGGTTGCAGTAAAAAATGAAGTCATACGCTGATTATGATTTTTTTTTTTCAAATTAAAGCTGGTTTTCATGAGGTACCAAAAGCCCAGCGGTTAGGACGCATGCAGGAGGCGATAGTCATCATGACAGCGGCCGTGGGTTCGAATCATACCTCTGCCCTTTGCTGCATGTCATCCCCCAACTCTCTACTCCACTTCTGTCTCTCTCTTCAGCTGTCCTATCCAATAAAGGCAAAATTGGCCAAATTTGATGATTTTTATTGTTGTTTGTTTGTGCTGCTTGCATTATGGTTCCCTTTTATTTGAAAGTGAATTTTTCATGTCAACTAACTATACTACGATTGTGAAATGTATTTTTTAATAATTGTCCAAAGAATTTAATGAGCCATTAGTTCTCCAACCTATAAAAAAGGGAAAATGTATATAAATGTGCATCTAACCCTCCAGAAAAAGCTCTGTGCTGTGACGTAAACACAACCAGTTTTAACACGGCCATTGAACGAGGCGGGAAAACTGAATTTGACAAGTTGCACGAGAGCACTTTCAAACTGAAATTTTAAACAAATCATCAACAACTTGTCATGGATAGTTACACCTTACATGAGGCACATACGACGAGGCAGATACGTACTTGTACATGTACTGTATGCAAAGCCAGATAACCTGCTGATGGTTTGTGGTTTCTCTTCAGTTTGTGATAGCACAGACCTATACTGTAAAACTGAAAGTCGCTGCTCATCTGATGGTTTCTTTTTGTGTCTGCCTGCACTTTACTGATGATTTAATGACCGTCTAAAAGCTTTGGCTGGTGTAGAAGCCCTGACCGCACTCAGACAGCTGCACTTTCAGATTGCTGGCTTTATGGAAAAATTTTAAAAAAAGAATAAAATTGTGTATTTTCTAAGAAGATTGAGCATAGTTGAAGTTTTTCAGCACCAAAGAAGTAAAAAATGCAATCAATCAAAAGGGGGAGATTTAGTTCATTAAAGCAAAATACTCACGTATGATTTTTAAGATAGAAACGGAACATGAAGGACTTTTTTATTATTTCAAACCCAACCCTTAGAATGAAAGACAACATATTTATTTTATCACTCTCAAGGTTGCAATGTCTTTCCTATCCAGATAACTACTTGCTACCATTTATGTTAGGACTGGGGAACATAGTGGTGGCGAGTTAGACTCTCTTGTAATCATACCAGATATTTAAAAATAGTCTTTGAGGATTCAGGAAATAACCACAGAACAGGGTTACGTTTGGTGGAATTAATGTGAGGGCTTTCCACATACTGCTGCAAAGGGGCTTTGCAAGTAATCACGTTTATTCTTTTTTTTTTTACGTTTCAACTTTGGCTTTCCATTAATTATGAAAGCAAAAACACACAATACAATGAGAATTTTGCTTCATTTTATTTCGCAATTATCATCTTCTTTTGTCCACCAAAATACATCCACACCTATTTCTCCACGATGGTGTGCCCTCCCCCCCCCCTCCATTCACACAGATTCAGGCTGACGAAAAAAAACACCTTCTGGCCGGCACATGAATAAAACAAGCACAGAGTCCACAGCTAATTAGCAGAATTGGCAAAAAGATCAGCTGCTCGCCTGTCTTGTTCTGCTCGTCTGAGGGAGCTACCCAACTTCATTATTGTTATTTATCTCGCCAAAAAGTTAAAATACTCTTCTAAAGCAATGCCAGATATCCTTATGGTTCCTGGTATTCTCTGGTGGCGTCACCTAATTTTGCCATCCTGCTTCCTCACTCTTACATGAGCTCTGGTTTGCCGTCTACCGTCTGCCTGAATGGATGTGAATGCAGAATCGCTCACAGCTTGTTCAGCTCTCACTGAGCAAAAGATGATGGAGCGATCGTGTTAAATTATGATCTGAACACTGACCCAAATAATCATGATTTAGATTTCTGCCTTAATTAAACAGTCCTGGCTGTGTATGTTATGATAGAGGAACGTTAGGACCAGCGCAAACATATATTATATTTAACAACGGCAAATCATTTAGAATCCCCAATCGATGCTTTTAAAGTCATTCCGTCAGTAATGTATGAATTATACAAAGTGAGATGCTGTACGACTTCATTTAATTAGATTGACCTATTGATTGTTGTCAAACTTCCACTTAAACACAACACCATAGTTCTTGTTTTATATCTAGTTTCTGCACCACCAGTTTAAATATCTATCAAATCAGGGTGGTGTGTTATATAAGTACTTCCCCTCAACACAGACATCCCAGGCTTGAGTCATCCAGTACGAGCTGTCAGTGAAGACACTTGTATCTTTTAACCTTTCTGTTTTTTCACTGCCTTTCATTTACAATCACTTTCTTCTTAAAAAGAATCCAATATTTCGATTGGTTTACAGTTATAATGGCACTGCAGGCAGTAAGGCTGGCAGGTAGATTTCATATATATGTTGTTTATAAAAGGAAGGAAATATCAGATATATTTGGGATCTTTCTGAATGAAATGTATCATTCTGTACTTACACACATATTGTGTTTTCATGCCATTTGTTTTCAGCAGGATGAATGAAAAATGTATTTTAGTGGTTTAATTTGGAAGGGTGTTTCATTGGGCAAACAAACAAGCTGTTAATTAATAAGCTATTGGACCAAATGTAAACCAAGAACAAAGAATCTTGGAGGAGATCTGGAGCCCGCTCAAGAAAACAGTCATTGATCTCAGATCCAACACAAAATCAAGCAATAATATTCCAAAAATTGTAAAATTGGTAAGCTGAAAAAAAAAAATGGAAGTGTCTTCTTTTGAAAGCATTTGTTGTTAAAGGCTTTATATGCGATTTTTTTGATCCAGCAGATGTCGCCCTTGAGCACCAGCATGAAACCAAAACAACTCGCGCTGCATTGTTGTGTTAGGATGCTAATGCTAGTGATCTTTATTATGCTGGTATCTTCACACTGCATGTAAATTTACCTGAAATGAGCGTGATCTAGAAACACAGTTAAGCAGTGAGTACAGTATGTTATTCTTCTTTTCTCTAGTCCCTCAATTAAACAACTTTTATACACGAGGGGAGGAGTCAGCCGCTGTCCCGATGATGTAAACAAACTGAAGATAGGACTCTGAAAACTCTGAAAACATCACAGACAGTGGGACTCGGTGTTACACCCATTGTAGACAGTCATGACTCACAGAGTTATTTTCAGAGGATATACTTGATTTCTACATTTAAGTGTGAAAAATCATATAAAGCCTTTAAGACATTTTTTAAAATAAGCTTACATGTTCATGATATTTAAATCCTGGTGATTTATTTAGTCACATGGAGTATGTACTGTACATTATCTGCTTTTCACAAATTCATTTTCAGAATGTGAAATATTTAGAACTGTACAAATGAAATGCATAGCTGACATGAAGAAGCAGCGAGCATCAATTTCACAGATTTGGAAATACATCCAGACATCACTGTTCGAGTCTGGAGATTTGCATATCACAGAGGACTGAACTATTGGCTTTGGCAGCGGTCTGAGCTCGCAGAGTCCCCTTCGTGTTATAATTATAGCTCTTCAAAAAAAGACACATCACACACATCTGCTGTTTCCAAACAAGACATTACATCAGCCTCTTCATTAGGATGATAAGTGTTTATGCTCTGTCTCTTGTTCTGACTCCACTTTCACTTTATGTTTCTGAGTACAGAGGCAGACAGTGAGAGAGAAGAGTCTCCTTCAAAACAACACTCCCTTCTGACTGTGTCGGCGTGAGCGACGTGATAAGAGCTGGAGTTATCACAAATACACGGACAAAAAAAGCATGACTGCTCGTGTTCCTACCCACGATTTTACCAGCCAGCCTTGCCTACCGCTCATTTTCTCTCTTCTGCTGTTTCAGGACATCAACTCACCGAACACAGATCCTAACTGACTGGCCCACTCCACTTTTTCCTGCATAGTTTTTAGGTGTAGATTCAAAAACACTACAGCCTCTGTTCTTCTCTGCGTCTATGAGACCTGGACAATGTTAGAAAAATATGCGTCGTGCAATTACATTGTTCAATATAACAATAAGCAATAAATAAACAAATATTAAAGACTGCATAATAGCTATGACTTACAGTTTTGATGCTTCCATGCTTCTACTCATTCCATAATTAATACAAAAGTATTTTTGTTTCCTCAACTAAATTTGCAACAATTAATCAAACTAATAGCTGACTTCACCCCACAAAACTAAACCAAAATGGTATAGAAACATGCCCACAACACCCAGGTATCAATCCTAGAGTTAAGATTTACAAATGCTAAGTGAGGAAGCATTGCTTGTTTACTTTTTTTAAAATCATGTTTATTGAAATAAATCCAGACTTTTTGGATGTTTTAACTCTGAATGAGAGGATTGCAACGATGCTGAAATTGCGATTTATTGTGCAGCCCTACAGCATCTATACTGTTTATTTCTCCTGCCTTTGCCTGCCAAGATGCTGGGGGGGAAAGGAGGTTAAATCCAGACAATGACCACCAATATGAAGGACTGTCAATACAGCAAGCTTCTCTCTCACTTCAAAAGAAAAAAAGCAACAGCGAGTAGATGATGTAAACAATCTGAGTGAATCATATTTGAAGTCAAAAACTTGTTATGTTGTCCATGCAAAGTCTACAACAGAAGCGAAAAACACAAACACATCCATCCACTTATACAGACTAGGAGATGGAGGTAGGCAACTGTTGCCGTGGAGATGTGGAGCACATTAGGTCGCTCGGCAACAGGCCGCCGTGCACACGCCAGAGCCACTCCCATGGTGCTTTGATTCTGCCTAGCCACCTCTCCAGCTTCATGTGGGGATGGGGCTTCCCGTCATCTGACAATTAGCGTGTGAGAAATTAATGTTTGTGCCAACCAGCCTTCAAGATGGCAGAGGAACCAAACCTACCTCTAATCTAATCCTTAATCTGTTGAATTAATTCAGTAGAGTTAAGGATTCATCAGTGTATACCAAAGGATGTGGCATCTAATTTAAACTATGAGTCACAGTTATTTGTAATATACAGAATATGTTCCATTTAATGATGTTGTCCAGGCATAAGTACAGTATGTCACACTATTTTCATTTGCACATGTTTGTAATTCAAACACTGCAACATGTGGATTGAGTGTTGTTTTGTATGATGAAGATGCCTTCAAAATAAAGTTCCATTTATAACCATAAATGGTTGTAAACATAGGCATTCTGCATGGTAGGCTCGGCATTTACAACTCCTTATTGAAAAAATAAATTAATCATATCCAGATACAAACTCAGGAATAGCTGCATTACACACGAGAGCACATGTAACATTGTGTGACATTGTGTAACTGTTGGTCTCTTACCTTTGTTCTTGATTTCACTTTTGACTTGACCTTCTGTCGCCGTTTCAGTTTCTTCTTACTCAAAGCCTTCTTTCCCCTGAAAGTACACAGTGATCACTCAGAATTGCAAAATATTTTTGAAGATAGAGTGCTGACTATAGTCAACAAGCATAGCTTCTACGTTCTTTTGTCAAATCACAATATTTATCCTAAATATAATCATGTGAGAAGTCAAAGCTCCTTGTTGACAACATATTGAGGTCTAATGCTGTAGGGAAAAGTCATTAATCCTTTAATTAGTTTAGAATAGCTATCAGCATTGTTAAAGTAATTCCAGAGGAATTTAATGGTAATCTCACTTTTTCTCCCCTGTAGAGCAAGTTTACATCTAACCTAGCAGGCAAAGCAAGTGTCTTTTGAAGCACAGTGTAGCCTACTTGACAGCCAGAAGTGTAGCAGTTGTCACAAGATTCGGTGTAACTCATCTTGACAAAGCACCAAAAGCAAGCAGCAGTTTGTTCTTGCAGATATTCCCTTTTGATGCTTTCGAATTCTCTTTGAAATGACAATGACTAGACAGTCCGGGGAACCGAAAATAGACTTACTACTACAAACAGAATGACAGCGCATGAATAAGTCATCTTCATAACTCACTACAAAATAATAATAATAATAATAATAAGCATTTTACATTAACTACCGGCCGTTTGAAACGTGTTGATGTAATAACTCGGGTCAATTCTGGCTCTAAAAGCTTCACACTTTTCTTTGGCTTTGACTCTGAGCTTAACAGAAAGTGTACTGTTGAACTGGCATTTAAGAAAAATCAAGAGGTTTAGAGTCTTCGGTTTAATTCTACCAAGCTGGTACCTTAATATTGATGTCTTATAGATTGGCAACAGATACAAGTTGTTGTGAATTATTCTGGAGTGGAAGAGGCTGGGCTTAACCTTGCACATCAAAACGGCGTGAACTGATCTCTCTTAAGAACAATTTTTCACTTTCAAATGAAGACAAGGGGTGTATGTGTGTGTGTGTCAGATTGGACGGGTTGGTCAAGATTACATGATAAATGTGAGTAAGCTCACTGTCATGTGTTTTGACCTGAGGATGCAGGAGATGTAACTCTCTCCTCCAGGTCTACACTCCCTCCCGCCCCACTACGCTCTGCCAATGAAAGGCGCCAGTGGTGGAATGAACTTCCAAACTCCATGTGATCTGCAGAGTCCCTCTGCACCTTTAAGAAAAAGCTAAAGACCCAGCTCTTTCATGAATACCTACTAACTTAATGATGATGGTCTCCATATTATTGATGATGATGATGGTAATGACGATGGTTTCTGTTTGATAACGATGACTTATAAGATGGTTTCTATACTGATTAGAGCTCTCAAGAACTGCCCTCAATGTTGTGCTTTGCCTCTGGTCACTTCCTGTCAGCACCTGTGTGTCCAATCAGACTCAAAGCTGATCGTTTGCTCTTACTGACAATGGCTGTATCCGAATTGCCACGTACCTACTCAATCTGTCAGTAGGCAGTAGTCAGTACCTACTATCTGTGCTGTATACTGTTTAGTATCTACTATTCAGTAGACAGATATTTGTTCCTACTTCTTCTGATTCATTCAGTATGGAAGTGACGTCATTTACGTTACCCGAACCGGCCGCATTCACCCGTTTTTTTTGTTTGTTTAGCTTTATTCAAGAAGAGTAATGCGCATACAGTCAGGTAAACAAAAAACAATATCACAATGTAAATCAAGTAAAAGGCAGATTCAATAACTAAATAACATCCAGTAGCCCTTATAAAGAAAAGTAGAAATGAAAGACAGTAATATACAGAATATAAAATAAAATAAACCAATAAAGACGCATTTAAATAGTGAAATCATTATTTAAATAGAGGGGGGAAAGGTTTTATAATAATGCAGACATTTGTTATATTTTCTGTTGTTTATTTAAAGTAGTGATTTCAGTCGGGACTTTAACTCTAGATTAAAAATTGATTCAGTTAATTCACGCTCGTTTGTTTTGATTTGGAGGCGCACGTGACGTTAACATTTACGTTTAATTTCGCACTGCATTGTGGGTGGTAAAACACAATTCATTTCCTGAAAGCACGCATCCGATCCATACTGCATGAAACCCGGAAGTTAGTATCCACACTGAAATGTTCAGTACACTGAGGTGGACCCAAAAGATGCATACTGAATGACCACGAGGGTTCAGTATACTGAAACTCCCTCCTGAAAAGTACTGACTACTGAACTGTGGCTATTCGGAAAGGGCCATGGTTCCCTCTTTTCTAGATCCTTGTTTGTGTTGTTCTTACTCTCTGACGTACGTCGCTTGGAGAAAAGCGTCTGCTAAGCGAATTGTAGATTGTCATGTTTTTTGACCTATGGATGCAGGAGATGTGATAACATGATGTTGACACTTGACTAGTTTATTGGCTAAAAAAGCAGTACATGGGGGGGGGGGGGGGCACGCTCAGAATAACAACTGAGGTCTTGAGGGGAGGATGCTGCACTGATCAAGCCTCTCCAGTCTACAACCTGACTGACTGACTACAATGACGTCAGTGTGTTACCCGCCTATGCCAGAAAAACCAAAATGAGTTCATCCACCTCCAAAACACCATCAACCCATTAACACCCCTAACATTTTAAGCAGCTTCTTTCTTTTTTTGTTGTTGCAATAAAAGACAATGCACCTTGTTTATAGTAAACAATAATAATAATGTTATTATCAACCTGGAGTGTGTTTGAAAAAAAAAAAAAAAAAAAGACACCAGTAGACGTCATGATAACCAGAGGAAGTACAGTGACGCCGTTTGGGCCTAAATACACACACACACACACACTCACACTCACACACACTACATCAAAATATATTAAACGACAAGGTTAACGCAAGACACAGTGACAACCCGTGCAGTTGTTGTCTTAAATTGCATAACAGGAAATTCAAGCATTGCGGGATCAGCACGTTTGTTTACCTCACACGCGAGGAAAAAAAAAAAAAAAAAAAAAAAAGGGGGGTGAATCAACGTTAGCTCAGCAGCTTAGCATTACGCTAGGGAAGTCAGAGCCGAAATGCTAACTTAGCAAGGCTGCAAGGCAAGAGAGTGCAACATAATTTATGGAGTTTCTGGCACATTATAGGAAGTGTACACACAGGGTGATACAAAACAAGCCCCCCACAAGCTCACTTATAATGACTAACACATAGCCTAGGTGTAGGACTTACTGCCCATGCAAGGGTTAAAGTTAGCATTTAGCTCAGTGAGCCATATGACAGACCAGCCTCTGCGGTAACATAGCTGTGTGTTTTTTTGCACTCACCTTCCTTGGTTTATCCCTTGCTCTTTATCGTTTATAGCCGTGGTGTATATCCGCCTGTATCGCTCGGCCAAGGCTCGACCTGAGAGTAACAGCTGGTACCGAGTCCGACAGTCCGACTGGGCTCCGGGTGTCGGACAAGAACCCATCCCCGACCCGAAGGTGCAAAGATCGGCTCCGGTTCCAGAAATGACCCTGACACCCATCCCCAGCGACGGCGATGAGGAGGAGGGCAGAATCCCCCCTCCACCAGCAGCAGCAGCAGCAGCAGCAGCACACATCATCGTTTTGGGGGAAACAATGTATCACACAAAAGATAGATTACATCCGGCCATCAGGTGCAATCCACTTGTCATTAAACCCGCTACATGTCAGATCATTTTTTAATCGTTCCAGGCTGCAGAAGTGCCACAGTTAAAGCATCCACGGTTGTTACAAATTGTAGCCAATCTTGCTGGTTGCAACAACTACGGTTCTTTCGATTCCGGCGAAGAGGGGGGGGTGGTGGAGGGGGAACAAGCGTCAACACTACACGGTGCTCGTCTCTCGTCTCTCTCCCCACAAATGTGCAGGGCTGTCTTCTTCTCAAGCCATAGCAAAAAAATAAAAAATCTTGTGAGATTGCAACAGAAAAAAAAACCGGCAGCATTAATTTCCCAGAATAGCCTCGTCGTGTTTGGTTTTTATTCGTTCCTGGAATATTTCTTGACCCCAGAGAGGCAGCACCCTCAGTTGGGCTGCCATCTTAGCTCCATCATCATCATCATCATCATCATTCCCTCCTCCTCCTCCTCCTCCCCTCCCCGGCTGAGTCTTGCGTCGCTAGCATGCCGGGATATTTTCATACCACTAAAAAAAAAAGAAACCAGGCGATGCTATCATTGATTGATTTCTTCAATTATTCCCCCCCCGCATGCATTATTCATTTACGTTGTTAATTTGGAAAGTAAAATCGACAAGTGGCAGTCTGCATGATTAATAGAAGATTGCATGTTGGCTGTTTTGCTCATTGTGCACAGTTGGAATTTGGACATTTAATTTGCAGATGTCAATCCAGGGCCCCTCCCAGTTTGATCCAAAGCAGACAAACATAAAGCTTTTAAAAACAACGCAGATCAAATTCCCCATCTAAAATGTGTTATGACTGCTTTTATTTTACATTATTTCTTCTCTGCTTCTGTCATGCAATCAATTCGCCACTGCATCAGGAATAGAAGCTGGAATATAATGCTCAGTGTTAGAAGTGATCATTTCTCTCCAGTGGCCACTGTGTAACTGTGAAATCTTTTTTGATTTGATTGATTGATTCATTTGTTTCAGACATATCAAATAAAATCAAACATGTCAAAAATACAAAACAAAATGAAAAGCACGAAAATACAATAAACAAAAAATTATTATTATCAAATTATTTCACAAAAAAAGAAAAAGCAAATTACATATATTCAATTGATATGCCTGAAAAGGAGTAGGAAGAAGTATAAAACGTATTTACTCCAACCCCTTTTGTTCCTTATAATCTCTCTATATATACAATCTATCTATATACAATTTGCTATACTATATACTATACTACACTATATTTGATATTTACAATCCAATGATTTTCCATACATATATACAACTTGATATACTATGATTTTTTATAATTTATACAATCCATATATCTATATATACATATCAATTTGTACAATTTGATGTACTATATTTACATTTTATATATTTATACAATCCTTATATCTATACAGTTTGTTACAGTATGTTTACAATTATACATTTGATACAATCATGTGATCATGTGATCACAAACAAGTCATTATTTTTCACAATTTTCCCCCTCTGGTTAGTCAAACACTGGTCTTCTTCACTGTGTACAAAGCCGTCATAGTACTACCTTCCAACAGAAAAAGAGGCCTCTTTTTATAAATACTGATGATTGTATTTGCACTTAATGAGACAGCAGATGCACCATGTGTTTATTTATACATCAGACTCAAACTGTAAGAAAATACAAAATGAAGCTAATGATTGTTTTTTCATCTTGTGGCAGGGTTTAAGGGTGCAGGGGGGAGTAGGAGCTGGACCACTGCAGGTAAGATACAGTGGAACACTATGATGATGGTTAAGTCATTCAAAAGGCAGTTAAAGGGTCAAACACAATGCACAGAAAAAGAGGAAGTAGAAGGCGAATTATTCCCTCATTTATGTTTCATGTCATTTCATTTGAAAAAGATTGGTGTATACGTCGATGTGTATACAAACATATTTATTGGGAGAGAGAGAGATGAATAGAGTAAGAGATGTACACAGACCCCAGCGATGCTTTATTGGCTGCCATGCCTTGCGATGGTCCAATGAAAAGAGAGGGGTTGGTCTACAGTCTCTTCTCATAGCAACCCAGGAAGCATCCAGAGATTATCATGCGCAGTATCAGAGTGCCAGCGTGTATCAGAGATGACAAGTGGCTCCTAACAGAAGAATTTGATCATTTAAAACCAAGGGATTGTACTATTAGGATTTTTCCTGGGATATACTTCAGACAAAAGCTCTAAAAGGGTTGAAGTGTATTGACAAAATGATTTTGTAGATGCAGGTTAATGTCGAGTTCGTCTCCCGGCGTTGACTTGTGTGACCTATGTGTCCAGAGGCTGCAGTTTTAACTCCTTGGGTGTCTCATCTCTGTCCCTGGAGAGAGAGGAGGGGAGGGGGTGTATATAGGGCAAGATGATGCCATGGTTCAGGCAACAGTGTCGCAAGCATGAGCTGGACTGGCAGAGATGACGTCCTGTTGGTTTGCACACAGGCACACACATGGGCTCAGGCTTAAACAGACGAGAAAGGATGTGGAAAGATGAAACAGGCAGTCCCAACACTTGTCCTGTAATGTGCTGCATTTCACAGATACGTCATTGAGAGGGGAATTAGAGTTCTTATTTCTCCTTAGAAATTAAATGCACATGGATTCTGAGGTTCTTTTGTTGCGTCTTATCTTTCACACTCAATACTTTTTCATTCAGACGCTGTAACAGAACAGGTTGCTCTCATTTTTGCTGCTTCAACCGAGCATATAACGATCAGGACGTGCTTTGCCTTGGGCATCTTGTTAGCCTAAATATATTTATTTTAACAGAGTTGTAAAACCAGATGTGTCTTTGTAGTCTTAGCGCCACCCAGTGTTAGTCATGTACACTTGGAGGTAATCGTGGATGAAGAGGACTGGAGATGACCACAGGAACACAACTTCTCAGCTACTGTCTCGTTGATCAAATATGCCAAGAGGCTTCTTCTGTAATCATAATGATGCTTATGTCATTTTTTTGTAATTTCAATCAGAGTTTTTGTTGCCCGCTCAGTCCAAAAGCTTCTGAACATGGGTTGTTTTTTCATCTTGTGTCCTTTAAATTGTGTTTTTAGTCTCACTTGGTGATACAGAAACGTCTATTTATATAAAAAAAAATGTCCCAACCTGTTGGCGCTAAGCCCAGTAGTTTATCACAGCGGAGTAGTCTGCATTCCTTTCCTGCTGTCAGTGTGACGGGAGGGGTTTACTTCAGTATCATGTTGTCACACCCCTCTGTGCTATGCACCTTTCATACCTTTGAATATCCAAAACACGGCACACCCAACAATGAAGCTCACAGTAACAGACAATGCGACATTTACGATTCATAAATGGTTTATGAAGTTTTGCGTCTCCCTCTGATGATTGATTACTAAGAATCAAGGAACCCCAAGTGCCACAGAACCACTCAGGGAGGCCCTAAAGATGTTTGATCATTATCAGTGTGATTTCACATAATAAAAAATGCTGTTTGGTAAAAGTTTAATTCAATTTTAAGTGGTTATGGCTGTAGTGAGAGCAGCTCAAGCGTTAGTAGCCACTTGTGTGAAATTACCAGGATGTTGAAGTTTTCTTTGGGACAGGAATGTAAGGTTGTTGGAACCCCGATAATAGGATTTTATGAAATATCACACACTAAAAAAACACCTTTTACTGGAGCTGAAAATCAAGCGGATATCATCCCTGAGTGCTTCTTATTAACATATATGAGGCAAAGTCCACTTTCAGCCAAGTATAGTATTTAAAACTAATCAGGATACGAAGACAGGCGTAGTGCAGGATAGTTTGTAATGCACCTGTTTTCATGTTACTTTTAAAGTAAGTATTAAATATTAACCAAAGATCTCTACGCAAGACCACAGTACATTAAAAAAATTATATAATTGGAAAAGTATTTTATTTTATCTCTAATCCTGAATTAAATGGGTTCATTTACTCCTTTTACTTGGAAGGTTAAAGAAGTCTAAAAGCCCCACCCACATTGAAACGCTGCTTCCTCAATGCCAAAGTTGAAGGTCAGGTCCTTCAGCTCTCCCACCCTATTACTTTATTTTTTGTCAACCTACAGACAGAAAGCCGAGCAATTAATAACAAGGTGCAAAAGGCGATGACGGACGGAGAAAAATCTAGAGCAAGAGGAAGAGAGAGAATGTGTTCTTTGATTGTTGTAAGAAGCCACACCCTTGGGTGGCCTTGGAATCTCCTCCCTTAAGGTTAAAAGGCAGAGTGACAGATGAGGGTGTGATTGTGGAGTGAAAGACAGGTTATTGCTCAGTAACATTTTACAAGGATTGTCCAGGAAAGTCAAAGCGCTCTGTGTGGAGGTACGTGCCCCGTCTCTCTTACTTTCTCAGTTAATATTGTCATTTTTATGCCTAGATATTTCAGACTAAGATTTGTTTTAAGCATTAAGAAAGATATTGAACTATTATCTATGGGTGACCGAGTCCTTCGGGATACTGACTTGTTTAAGACAAGGTGCCATGTACAATGGTCCTCGAATAATAGAGATAAAACCTACTTTGAATGAGACAACCTTAAGCATGTTTGTTCCGTTCTTAGGCCTATATGATTTGTTGTTTTAAGCATGGTTACTGATTCTATGATACACCATACGCAGGAAACCTCAAACACACACAACTGGATTTATTCTGTAGCTTATCTCTTATTGCTTATCATAAACCTTATACCAGGTTGATTTGTATTTTTATGATTGATATATTTCTTGTAGTGCTTACTTGCGCCTTGATGAGATTTTAGTCCCACTTCCTGAAATAAAGTTCGCAATTCTACTCTTAGATTTGAGATTTATTTGTCATTTCTAGGATGTGTATGCATATAAAAGCCAACAGCTTCTCTCCAAGCCTGAGGCAGTGTGACCGAAAACAACAAATATTAAATATATACAAGTTATGCATCCTCCTGTAAAAGCAACCCCATGCTGTAATGTATTTTATTACACACTTAAAATGTGTAAAACGCTTTCTGTAGAGGTTAAAAATGATTAAATGTGTAATAGGAAAGGAAATGTGGGTTATTAGTGAATCATCATCTTGACAAGTCTTTAGTTGTCGCTTTCAAAAATTGTTTAGGCTCTCAAATGTGAGATTCTTCTTCAACTTTAGAGTTTATTTCTGATCGTAAA